CCAGATCGTGCGTCTATTAAGCGCAATTTGTTTCAAACTCGGCTTGGAACAAAACGTTAATGTCAAACATGCACACAATTCACTAAATATTTACGAATGCACACTTTAAATTACACCGAGCGCGCTTTTCGTTTGTTTCACCTGCCAAAATTAAACGCTCGACTTGATGTAAATGCATGAAATGCATCAATGTCGTAACCCCATATGCGCATGTAATCAATGCGTAAATTGATACAGGATCATGTGAAGCGCTTGGCAAACGATGCGTTGTTAAGCCGCGCCGCGACATCAATCATTAAAATATGGTGCCAAGTTGAGAGATATATAGGTATATATCGGATTCGCTAACAAATCTAGTTCCAGCTGGTAATTGCACACACTTTGTTTGCGTTTGCACGTGTCGGCTTATGCACATCGCCGGTGGCATTTATGAAAATTCTCCAATTACGGGCCGTGTGCATTTTAGTGCAAATTACAGCGGTAAATGCGCAAAAAGAAGGCAATTTAGTGCATGAACAACAGCGTAAAATTAAGCAATTTGTCACTAAGTACTTTTTAACGGTGTTAAGACACGCGGATAACTTAATTATGAGAATTTAAATTACCATAACGTAAAAATCTCATGTAAAGTGCAAGAAAACACTCTAAATTCCCCGCGGTGTTTAATTAACAAGGCATAAAAGGAGTGAAAAAGGCACCACTTAAATAAAGTCACCACATGCCATGGCAGCGCTAAAACAAAGTGTTAAAACACCAAATACGGCGCAACATTCTAATACCTTAAGTTTTCCGCACAGTGCGCATAACTCCAATTCCTCGGCTTATTAAGCAAATATTTCTTACGATATCTCAACTAGAATCTCATAATGTATAGGCTTTTTTGGCGTCAATAAATAAGCAGATATGTCTTACTGGCCCGCAACTTATACAATTATACATAATAACCAGCATGGCTGAGAGAAAGGTTGTGTTATTGTTTCACGCGATAAAAATAATTTATAAAATCAGGAAAAAACACCCAAGAGTAATAAATTACACAGGCACGAGTCGCAATTTATGCGCGTAGAATCGAAACAATCGCGATTCAATAACTTATACCGCCGACACTAATGTTTGAATATAATCTCAAATCGAGATGCAGCTTTGAAACTCCGAAAGAAATTAATCGCGCGTCATGTCCACTGGGCTTATCTATCGCATGCTACTTTTACTTAGCGTTTTAATAAATTGCGCTTATGTACGCGCATGCGCACTGCAAGCTTCACCTACGCTCGACTCGATGCTGCATGCAATAAATGTTGTTGGCTCGCAATACGTCATTCGGTCAATCACGGAAATACAACTTGCCAACTCTTATAGAGAAATAGAGAAATAGCCCAGTCATTTGGTAGTTTTGCTTGGAAAATAGTGCGGGATTGTTGAAAATTGGTATTCATATAGATTTCGAGGTGCTCTTTACGAATTTCAACTTTGCCACCTCGTATCTTGTTCGCTCGAGCCACCATCTTGGAAAAATGGTGTCAAAAAACAGTTTTTTGACCATATCTCCTGTCCGACTCATTTTACGATAAATATATCTATATAATAAATTAAACTAGAGAAATTTTCCTATAATTTATGTAAGTACCTTTTTCTTGTAAAATTAATAGTTTTAGCGTACGGGCGCCGCAAAATCTACTTCAACATTAATGTTTGCCAAAAACTCATTTCCACACCACCATGAGGTAGAGTACGTGGCGCGTTTGTTTTTTTATCGTGGTTTCCTCAGTAGGCCTAATCCACACGCACTATTCCAAAATTTAATGGATTGTCTTCCGATACGCTCTTCGCGATAGATCAAGTGTTTTGCGTTAATTGTCTTCAGGACCGATCGAAATATCACAGGAAAAAATTTCTTCCATACTATCCGTGATGGGATTATCGTTTTCAATGCAATCTTGGTTCTCGAGTTCATCGTACGTGTGCTCAAAAACGGTAATCGTTTCTTCCTCTTCATCGCTATCTTGTGATGGAACTTGCGAATTATCACAGGTACCACTGCAATTTGTTCAGATAACGGAGCACTTCATTCCAGTCTTTCTAAAGCCGCAGGCTTTCTGACATCCCTTTTTGCATTTGCAAGATATTAGTTTTAACAATGTTTCGGGGGCTGGGGGCTCAAGTGTGGTGACAGGAATTAGCCCATTCTTGTTTCTTTTTCATCCCCATTGTTCTGCATTTAGTTCATTCCAATAGTACTACTTAACTTGGTGATAAGTTCTGAACGAATGTTGTCGGACTGCGGCTTCAATTGGTGGTAGCGATGCAATATTAAATTTATTTTTGTATGCTGATTTTGTGAAGCTGGCATATCTATAGATGTTTGAAGACATATTTTGCATAGTTTTCACATCACTGTAACTGTATAATTTAAGAAGGAAGAATTCGCCAGCTGTAGTAATGATCTCGGTATCAGCCTTTGGGTTTTTGAATACCTTGATAACTTCGTTTACTCGTAAATCTGGATTTTTGCGGAGTACATTAATACATTTTAATTTTCCTTGATGAAAGGGTGCAGATGTAGTATCACAGCCACAAAAAGCGTGTAAGAATAATATGTGATCTGCCGCTGTTTGATCGATCATGCTTTTGGTTGAATAGATTTGTTGCAAAATTTTTCCTTTTTCTGGTTTTAGCAAATATGTTGTATGTTTGAACACATTGATAGTGCCGTTAAAAGAATAAGAAGATCTACATCTTCGCCGATAACATGAACGAATTGTGATACTGTGCATTGGCTGCGACCAAATCATAAACACCCTCGAGGCATTCAACAATCGCTCTACCCCAATCATCATTACGTGCTCTAGGACGTTCTGAAATAGTGTTTTTCATCGATAATTTATGTACGCTATACACAATATTTCGATCACTCAAATGCGTCCGTTTTTATTTCGCTATAAATTCTGCTGTTATTTCAGCAGCGTACAAAAAACAATTATCTTTAAATGAGAATGTTGGGCACGTGGATCGCAGTTGTGGTTGAAAAGTCGTGACAACACTTCCTTTTTTAAACTCAATGATTAGTTTCTCATTATTATATCGTTTCCGACATATCTCGTGAACAACTACCGATCTCAATCCCTCTAAAAGTTTACTCTTATTATCCTTTATTTTAATGCTTGACTTACGAAAGGTCTCCAATCCTTTTTCTTTCACTTCAATCACTTCACTATCTTGCAATGGAGTTTTACAAAAGAAAACAATTTACGTTATCAACCATGGCATCAAAACTGCAAACAACACGACTATTCAGAACAATAAATATCAAATAATGACTCAATGAAGAAATAATGAAACAAAAGTAAACTCGGCCGGCAAAAGTTTCAAACAAGCGAGGGGGTGCAGGAGCACCCTCAAATCATAGCAAGCAAAAATAGGAGTCATGATGACCTGGAAATGAGTTTTTGACAAAAACGAATGTTGAAGTAGACTTTGTGGCGCCCGTACGCTAAAACTATTAATTTTACATGAAAAAGGTACTTACATAAATTATAGGAAATTTTCTCTAGTTTAATTTATTATATAGATATGTTTATCGTAAAATGAGTCGGAAAGGAGGTATGGTCAAAAAACTGTTTTTTGACACCATTTTTCCAAGATGGTGGCTCGAGCGAACAAGATACGAGGTGGCAAAGTTGAAATTCGTAAAGAGCACCTCGAAATCTATATGAATACCAATGTTCAACAATCCCGCACTATTTTCCAAGCAACCACGTTTTTTAGCACCAAATGACTGTACTAAAATGCGTAATGCGGAAATTATACAAATTGTCGCCGCGTGTGTGCGTTTGCGATGACTGGCCGAAAATCCAATCGAAATAAAATTTCGTAAACTTGGTTTACGATAAGAAAATGAAATGCAAATGCGAGGAGCGCGGCGGCGAACCGGTCGGATTGCAAAAGTTCGAAATGTCGTAAAATAGGAGCATCGAATGGCGCTCGAAAGTGATGTGAAAGAAATGCGCGACTCGTCCGCAAACTACAAAACTAGAGTTGCTACAGATACAGCTAACGACTCTCCTGTTTATCATAAAATAGCACTTTAATCAAGGCAGTAATTCGTTCGCTTTGGAATTACTCAAGAATTTTAAGCGCCCGAAATTTCTACGCGGAATTATTTGATTAGCTATTATTAACTTTCGGAGGTTGCAGATGATGAAGAAATCGACAAACAAGTAAAAACTCCAAAAATAAATTACATTGTAAATATAAACGGTGGCTAAACGCTGTCAAAAAACAATTTTGCTGAGTAACGACACAAAAATACATTGCGACATTCACGACCTTTCGCATTACTACATTTAAATTAAATTAATTATAACAATGAGGATTTTAACGAGGTTTGTGCAAGAATTGCACAGCGCAATAGCAAATTATCAACCCTAACAAATATTACACCTAAACGTCTAAAATTGACACATAATAGGCGATAAATTAAACTGTTGCCGCGGAATGCGCGAGCGTGGTCAATGAGCACAACAAAAATAAAACTCGCACACGCGCCGCAGAGACACAAACACCAAGCCTCTCCTCGAGCCGGCAATTTTTCTTATTTACAAACGCGCGCGGCTTTCGACGTCAAACATTTATTTAAATGTTCATGCACGAGCCGAGTTGCCGCAACCGCAGCCCATATTCAGCGCACACATGTAATAAAACACACAAAGGGAAATGATTGTAAAAATGCACAACAAAACCGTTCACCGGAGGAAATGTTGTTTATCTGCGTTTGAAACATTGCAAAGGAAAACAATTCGATCGTTTCGAAAAAGAGTGTTCACCAAGCTCGAGAAACTCGTTTGATCGCTCGATTTAGTTATGTGCGGTTCAATGCAATGACATTTTCCCAATAGGTCTTGTGTTAATTAACTCCTTAAGTAATTACAGCCAGCGATTTCCAAATGAATTGAAATAAAATACGATTTTGTAACTTAATTTTTATTTTTGTTTTGTTTCAGTATTGCCAGTTACATTGGCGATAACGACAACACACCATGACAAACCGGAAGAAGCACAACCCATTCAAATGGGTAATAAGATGCGCGCAGAAGACGGTTTTATTGTTTCCTCCCCGTTGACTGTAGCCGATTTAAATAGCAACACTTCACAATTAGAAACATCCGAGCGACAAAAGCGTCTACTGCCCTATATGACGTTCTACTTAGAGCAGGATTTTAATCGACCACATGGTCAACAATTACCATCAATAACGCCCACGAATTACGCGACAACCGGAGCTGTTAAACAACCGACGATTCTACAACAATATCACAACAAATTCACCGAGCTCACAAACGGCATTAGCTATCAACCAGCGACAAAATTCAATACGCCAGCGGATAAAATCCGACTGACCCCGTTTTCGCTGAACAACGCGCTTCCTGGACCCTTTCTACCCATGCGAAACCCGCCGAATGTGGAACAACCACAAAGTGTACGTGCACAAGTCCAGATTCAATTACAACCGCCGACAAAAGCCAGTTTTACATCAACAGGCACCGGAACGAGCGGTGCTGGTGGCGGGTCAAACAAACAACCGAATTATAGCGCGATATACGACAAGTTATCGCAATTAAAACTTCAGCAACAGTACCAATTAGCGCAAACTTTTACGCGTCAATATCCGCCGCAGCAGGTGCTGCAGTTGCAAGTGGCGCATCCATTGCATTCCAATCAAAATCCACCTCAACATTCACACCAAGCAAATTATAGAAAGCCGCCACCACCGCAGCAACAGCAGCAAGTACAACAGGTCAGCTACATCCCGATTCGTGATTACGTTCACGTGCCGCATAAACAATCCCCGTCGAAAACAATCGTACAAACCTACACGCCGTCGAGTATCGATATCCCGTCGCCCAGTCACGACAAAGAGACCAACAACAACGACGTCAATAATGACGAAGGAAATGCGGTCACCAGCGATGAAGACGTGCAATACGAGCCCGAACACATCCACCAACAGCACAACCTGCATCAACACCACCATCATGTCCCGCTGCCCGTTAAAACTTATAACGAGCCGACTGTCAAACATTATGGCCTCCGTGTGCAACCCCAACCGCAGAATTTGGACGAATTCAAGTTTGCGCCCGTCGAAGTTAAGAAGCACGTACTCAAGCCAGTCATCCTCGTGCGACAGAAACCGACGTCGGCGAATAACGCCGGCAAGCCATACTTAATTCTACAGAGGAAACCGACGCCCACACAATTGCCAAACACGCCGCAGCAGAAACCCTACGACTACGAGCTGCAAATACCCGAAACAATCAACTTCAGACCGATCAAGTTTAATTATCCGACTGTGCCGAAATACCAACAACATCACCACCAACCACCGCAGCATCAGCAGCAAGACGACCGCGATGAGGAAATCGGAAAGATTGTGGTCGAAAGCGTCACACCCAAATACATTGATATCATTCCAAAGTATGAAGTGAAACCCACGCTGTTGGCGTATTCACCAAACTATGGAAAACCATATAAATATTCTTTCCAAGCGAGTGGGCCTTCAGGATCAGCACCGTCTGGTCCCACGGCGATTAGAACAGTACTCCCGCAAGATTTATCACATAATACGCATGCTATTCCTCAACCACCTATACCAGCAACGCCACATCCGCATATTATTAGTTATCAACGTCCTATGCCTCAGGAAGAGTATAAACCATCGCAACCATCAACAATCAACTCCCAGGAACAAGGAGACTATGTAGATACAGAAGATGTGAAATATCAGAAACCTAAATATCGCCCGACTGTACAAGTTGAATACGCGGATAGTGAAGATAATGATGAGGAAGCACCCATTACAACTAAATCTCCGGAACCTGTGTACCACCACCGTCCAACTAGTGGGAAATATTCTCACCCGGTAGTAAATGAACCTACTTATGTAACAACGCCAACTCCTTATCCCACAAAAGTGGTCTTCACACCAACTGTCGCTACTAATCCTGCACCACTTCATCAACACGCAAGTTCCAATGATCACGAACCAGAGTATCAAGAAGGTTCTAATTCCTTGAGTTTAATTCTGAAAAAACTACAAGATACAAACGCATTGCCACAAACATTAACGCCTGATAATATTGACAACAGTATCCGAACTTTAGTGAAAATCCTAAGCGGATTGAAAAAGACGCCGAAATTTCAAAGACCTATAGTGGTGCAGGATGATTCCGGTGATTATGAAGGCAATAATGAAGCAGGGGTTGGTCTGGGAGAAGTTCCGGGAACCGTGACGCAGATATTCCCAGAGAATACTCCCGAAGGTGGCACGCCAGGAACACCCGGTGTGGATTACCCCGCATTGTCTAGTATTCCACAGACTGATTTCAATTGCAAGACACAGAGGTATAAAGGATTCTTTGGTGATCCAGATACACATTGCCAGGTTAATATAAAATTAATAATTAATATTAAGAATAAGAATAATAAAAAGGTAATTTTTAGGTTTGGCACTATTGTGATCTGAACGGTGGGCAGGCCTCATTCCTCTGTCCGAATGGTACGATTTTCAGCCAAGTCGCATTGACTTGCGACTGGTGGTACAATGTGAAGTGCTCCAACACCGCGCAACTTTACGTGTTGAATGAGAGACTCTACAAATACATTTTACCCTTGGCACCGAAATTCCCCGAAGATTATAGTGGACCACTTGTTGATAGGTAAAGATTTATTCCTAAATTAACCTAATATCATTTTAATAATTTTTAAAATTATTTTTAGATATCTTGCGTTGAAGTTCCAAGAAATGGAAGAAAAGATGAAGAAAGAACGCAAACCCAATAAGGAAAACTCTCCAGACGAAGATGGCAATACATCCACATCAAATTCGAAAGAATCTGGTGATACAAACAACTCATCACAGGAGAATGAAACGGTGCAGGACGACGCGGAGGAACTGCGTAAAGAGACGCATCGACACGAAGCATCGCTGCATGCGTCGACTGAATCTGCATCCCCCACGCATTCGGCACCAATCATCGTGCCGGATGAGTCTAATGAAACGACAACGTCCGCGGAAAACGAAGACGTTTCCTAACTATACATACGCACTTACACATACAGAAAATGATAATCCTATCTCCCCCGATATTTATTTATTAATTGCTCTGCGCAATGCAAATAACTATTTATTTTTCTATCTTGATGCTTCGTAACTTTCGTTTATCGTCGCTTATTTTCACTAGTTTTAAGAAATATTTTAGCCATTTATTTTATATGAAAATCTATCGTGTTGCCGAAAATGTGCAATAAACAAAGCGGTGTTATTAAATCTCGAAAGATTCGCGTGATTCGAGCACCGCTTGCAAATTTGTCATTTTATAAATTCTTGAATATTGTAAAATGCCATAACATAGTTGAGTTATTTTTTTAGAAATTAAGCATTAAAGAACGTAGCTTGGAATGATTTTCGATAGAGAAAAATCATTTTGAAAGAATTATTTTGTTGCGCATATATTTCTCTAGTCATTGCGTCGTATGAATAAATAATATTGTGTATAAAACTATTACGTAGACTACTCTTCTGACTAGATTATATATTATTGTTTGTAAATACTTTTATACGCAAATAAATATTTTAATATGAAAATAATCCTACCTTATGTGATGATTCCAATTTCTGGAGGGTGTCCTTGCAGTTGTCCAAAAGGTTGGTGAATTTCTCGACATCAGATGATTCCTTTAATAAATATTACATATTTAGCACATTATATTGTATAATGTATAAATCTGTAAATGATTAACTTACCAATTTGGTAATGTGTTTAACTTCGTGCTCTTTGTGTTGCTCGATAGTACAATAAGTACAAAATGTTCCTGTACATGTAAGACATTCAAACTCAAGCGGCTGGCCAGCATGCGTTGCACACAGAGCAATATTATTCGAAAAAATACGATGGTGCATTAAACCTTTGGCTGTTTTATGCAGTTTATCAGAGCAGTCGTTGCAATACACTTCCTCACAGTCCAAGCAACGCAAAGTTGCTTCTTGTTTACAACCAGCAGACTTACAATCTAACAAAAATGAATAAAAATAATTTAAATGATATAAAAAACAACAAAACACGACTTACTTTCAAGAAATTGTTGTGTTCCTTGCATATTCATAGATGTAGAAGGTGTAGGTGAAGAAGGAACCCTGGCAAATTGTAGATTTGTACCAAAATCATTCTTGTTTGGAAATTTATTGTAGTACAACTTTCCAGCCATGTAATAATTGACAGGAAAGTAATCCCTGGGATTAAAATCACTTTTTGCTTTGATGTTTAATGTAACCTTAGCTTTACAATCGCCACATTCGGTGGCAATACCCTCGGATGAAAAATGATCCATCAAACAGTTTTCGCATATTGTGTGAGTGCAATCAAGCAGTAGTGGAGTTCTTGCTATGAATTTCAATATTTCACATAAATAAAAATGAAATTTATGTCAAAAATAATTCTTACCACCCAAATCAAAGATGCGTGTACATTTTGGACAATACATTTTCACTTTGTTGGCATCATGACCACCACCACCAGCAGATGCACGATGATCATTCTTAAAATCATGCCTGTTTCTCATGTTTCGCTTAGGAGGTCTGGTATGTGTGACATGGTGATGTTGGTTGGTCATATTAGTTGGATATTCAGAAGGATGGATTTGCGGCATGTGCATTCCTTTGAGTCTTACATCATGTGCAGGATACATGTAGGATTGTAATTGTTGTTCAGGTTGTTGGGCCGAATAACAGCCTGCTGGAGGCAGCAGCATGTTTGGCATGGGTTGGTTTCGTTGCACATAACGTGGGGATGGTGATCGTGGTGCATGTCCATGAGGATTCTGCTGGTGGTAGTTGATTGGCGATGGTTGTCGATTGCGTGGATTGTACAAGTTGTGGTGGCGACCACCGCGCGATGCCATTTCGCGCGCTTGCTTCCTAACCTCAACGGCGATCTGCGGCAAAAAAATTGTTATTTTTCTGTTAGTAATGTATAAATCGCGTTTGTATGATTATAAATAGTTATGGGTACTTGTTATACATGTAATAGAATGATATTTTGGTAATGACCTTTGAAATTAATGAGGATGTTCGCCGATTTTCAGGGAGACGTTGCACATGCAATTCGTTTTGAACTCACTTACACACTCATACAGCGCATGTGCGCCACAGTACGTGGTGTGAGTTAATATAAGATTCTCCTCTTCAACAATTCAATATCAACAAGTTGCATAACAATAATATTTTGAGTTTTAGGTGATTAATTTGGCAATATTCAGATGTAATAAGATATTGCATTATTCTTATTTTAAGTGTTTTGAGAAACTAATATTGAATTAAATGTTTTTTATCGTCTTGTCGAAACAAAAATTAAAATTTATATCACAATACGATAAAAATATTAAATTCAAAACTAAGTTTTAAGACTTGTGTCCTGGCCTCTGCCATACCAAATATGTTAGTTTATCTATCTATAAATCTATAATTAAATATTAATTTATCTCATGCAAGTGTTCTAAGAAATTTTGCAACAAAGTTTTATTTGTATCTTAACTTAAGTGTTTACCGAAAATAAACTTAGAAGTATATATTGAATTTCCAATAATTGCGATTCAAACCTTATCAATATAATCAAATTCATTAGAGCATAATTTGCACAATAACGTATTTATTTTATGATACGAATAAAGGTACCTCGGAATTCGTAAATAAAAATTCACAGAAATGTGATTAATGTATTTACTTTTTACTTTTATAACTGATATTGCCTTATAAGGCTAGAATGCATGATATACGAGTATTTCTAGAATTTCGTCACTATTACAACAGATTCGTCGCAATATTATTGATGTAACTTCTTTTCGCGTCATTATTTCTACCACAGAATGTCCCACTGGACTGCTGGGGGTGAGGGAGGTGAAGGAGGCCCAGCTGGCTCGGGGGTCTACCAGGTGCAAGAGGAGCTACAGGCGGAAATGGATCAGGAGGCGGCGGAGGTGGCGGAGGAGGTGCTGGAACTGTCGGACCTGGAGGATCTAGTAGTGTGCCTACACCCCAATGGAGTGTCGAAACATTTTCCGCAAGAGGAAATGACGCTACCTGGAGTGGAGAGAGTAGTGTCCTCAAAATGAAACGTGGTACTCTTCTTTGCCATAGAGAGGTGCACCACCATCAGTTTGTCTTTGAGTATTAGCAAAAATAAAGTTTAGATTGCAAAGTGCAAAAACAAGTTTCAAGTGTTCGGAGAACTCATTGGTCCTCTATATTTGAATTGTAAAATTTTATTGATTAAATTTCCACGAAATTAGAACAGCTTAATCACTATAGATAATTCCTGATAAATGTATTCCAAGAATTCAAGTATTTCAAGGCACAACAAAATTCATAGGAAAGTGAGTAGAGAAGCAAGAAATGGATGAAAAATGTATATTGCCAATATGATTGAATAAGCGATAGAAGTGAAAGAAACCTTATCAATATTATCTAAATAGTTGATAGGTATTTAGCACGAATCACGAAGGCATTAGGTGGCAGTCACTCGACTAAAAATGGCGACTTTGTATTGCCCACAAATTGACGTAAAACTTGCACGAAATTTTGAAAAATACGACAAAGCCAATGCAAATGGCGAGCTGCATGTATACAATACTACATCAAAGAACCGCGGAGTTGTGAAAATTATCAACATTTATAAAACAAAGCATGATGATCCAAAAGAGCGAAGAGGCTCAGAAATTGACGTTCATAATTTGGTATCCCTATTCGAGCAAATGGGATTTACCATTGATATGGATGAAAAGACTAAAACCCAATCACCATATACAAAACAGGTAAGTAATGCAGTTTAAAAATTATGTTGTCGACTATATTTAATGTTAATCCAGGATATCATCAATAATTTAACTGCGTTTGTTAATAACAAAAAACTAAAAACCGCCGATAGCGCGATCCTCTTCATCATGGGTCATGGAGGCAGAAATTTACATAAGAGAGATTTCTTGAAATTAGCCAATAACGAAAAAATTTATTATGATGAAGTGTATGAATATTTCAACAACTCCAACTGCAAATATATGCAGAACAAACCAAAAATGATTTTCTCGCAAATGTGCAGGTAATGTATAAAATGAAAAAAACATAATCAAATAACATCTTTAATTGATTCATTTATAGAGGAGATGAGCCAGATTCTGGTGTGTCTCTCTTCCAACAAGACGGGGCTTCAAGTTCCGGTCCAGTTATGCCAAGCTTCACCGACTTGCTCATTGCAAATGCCACAGTTCCTGGTCAGTATACACATTAAAAAAGAATTCTTTTGATTTACCAATTATTGGGCTTTAGGCTTCGGTGCAATGAGACTTACAAACGCTGGAAGTTTATTCATAATCAGATTGTGTGAGCAATTTATGACTTCAGCTCATGAAGAAGACGTCGTTTCAATGCTGGATGCAGTAAACAAGAAGATTTCCGAGGAACAATTCTACATAGAAACAAATGTTGCTGTACAAGCGGCTGAACACACTAACAGAACATTTGGAAAATGTTATCTTAATCCTGGTATATATCGAAATGATGATAGAGTGGTTAGATATATTAAAACTGATGAAGAAGTGTCTGTCCAGCAAGTACATGGTAATCAGACCGCAAATAATCCAAATATTAACCCTAGGAATGACGAGGAAATGCGTTTAGACCGCAAAGGTTTTGAGCAAGCTGCTTATAGAAACGCACCACAACCAGAGATTAATGCAGAACATCGAGGAGGTGGTGGAGGTGGAGGCGGAGGTGGAGGCGGAGGAGGTGGAGGAGGAGGTGGAGGAGGAGGAGGTGGAGGTGGAGGAGGAGGAGGCGGTGGAGGAGGTGGAGGAGGAGGAGGCGGTGGAGGAGGTGGAGGAGGAGGAGGCGGTGGAGGAGGAGGAGGCGGAGGAGGTGGAGGAGGCATTTGTTAATGACTTAATATTATTAATGGATATTTATACTTTATACTATTACATTTTCAGAAAATTTTAATATTGTAAGAGTGATGGATACGTCGAACACCGCGCAATGCCAGTTTGGTTGTTTGCATTCTAACCTCAACAGCAAATTTCTTTGCAAAAAAAATATGCTTATAAATCCTATCTGCTTGATACCTAGTTATAGATACTTGCTACACATGCATTAAAAATAAATTTATGTAATAACCAATTAGTTTAATAAATAAAATCACGGAATTTCCCACTTTGTTTCGAACTCACTCACACACTCATTAAACGCCCGTACGTCACATTGCGATGTGCTCACACCCATGTTGTGTTGGATTTTATAATTTACTAGCTGACCTGGCGAACTTCGTACCGCCTTATTTATTTTTTATTTATTTAAACTTTATTACACAAAAAAATAATATTGTACAAAAGGCGGACTTAATGCCGTAAGGCATTCTCTGCCAGTCACATCGCTAGCGACCCGCCCCGGCTTCGCACGGAAGTAAAAAACCGCATCAAAATCCGTTGCGTAGTTTCAAAGATTTAAGCATACAAAGGGACAGACATAGAAAGCGACTTTCCTTTTTCAAACAAAAACATCAACCGGTCAACTTCAACCCACACGTACAGACATACACACGTCTATGCTTAGGGGGGAAGCTACGAAGCATCGCACAAAGAGGAGAAGGGGATAATAGAAAACTTTGTATGTATTTGCGTTCTCTTATTCTCCCGCAAGATAATCCATATACGCAAATATGTTTGTCTCTTTTTAGTGTCGTTTAGTGCCTTTTTAGAAAAGTTTTCACTTCAAAAAGTATCTCATTACCGTCTCCTGGCCCTAAGCTACCTCTCCACCAATTTTTAGCTAAATTGGATTAGCCGTTCTTTAGTTATAATGGAGTTAACCAACACGACTTTCTTTTATATATATAGATTCGTATTTTAAGTGTTTTTAGAAAAGAATATTGAATTTAATCTTTTTTATCGTGTAGTGATACAATTTTTTTTTTAATTACTATATCGAATATCGATTAAAAACATGAAACAACAAAAATTAAAATTTATATCACAATACCACGCACAATACAATAAAACTATTAAATCAAAAACTAAGTTTTAAGGCCTATACTATACCCTTTCCGGCGCCCTACCAAATATATTAGTTTATCTATCTACAAATCTATAAATAAATATTAATTAATCTCATGCTGTTCCAAGAAATATGGCAGCAAAGTTTTATTTGTATATTAACTTAAGTGTTTACCGAAAATAAATTTAGAAGTATATATTGAATCTCCGATAAATGCGGTCCAATCCTTATCAATATTATCGAATTCATTTGAGCATAATTAGCACAAATCACTTCCACGTCACTTCGGAACAGTTATTCAAGTAATAATGGCGACTTCCTCACAAAGCCAAATCGACGTAAAACTCGCATCAAATTTTGAAAGATACGATAATGACAGAGCAAACGGCGAGTTACCTGTATACAATACAACATCAGCGAATCGCGGAGTTGTAAAAATTATCAACATTTATAAAGTGAATCATGATGATCCAGAAGAGCATTGGCGAAAAGGCTCGGAAATTGACGTTCGTAATTTGGTATCCCTATTCGTACAAATGGGTTTTACTATTGATATAGATGAAAAAACCAAAACAGGATTACCATATACAAAACAGGTGAGTGATGCATTTTAAAAATTATCTTTTGTTGACTATACTTAATGTTAATACAGGATATCATCGATAATTTGTCTGCGTTTGCTAAAAACGAGAAATTAAAAACCGCAGATATGGCGATGCTCTTTATCATGGGCCACGGAGGCAGAAATTCAAACCAGAGCGAATACTTCTTCGTAGCCAATAATGAAGTATATTATTATGATGATGTGTATGAACATTTCAACAACTCTAACTGCGAATATATGCAGAACAAACCCAAAATGATTTTCTTCCATATGGGCAGGTAAAACATAAGAATTATTGGAGCAATAGATTAAACTAAATGAGTAAATAACTTATTTTCAGAGAGACTGGTAAATCTACTCATGAAATGGAGGATGCCCCTATTTCAGGTCCAGTAATGCCAAGCTTCACTGACATGCTTGTCATCAATGTCGCAGTTCCTGGTCAGTATACACATTAAAAAACGAAATATTTTCAATTTACCAATTTCTGAGCTTTAGGCTTCAGTGCAATGCGAAATGAAGACGTGGGTAGTTTATTCATTATCAAATTGTGTGAGCAATTTATGAAAGAAGCCCATGAAGACGATGTCGTTACAATGCTGGCTGCGGTGAAACATAAGATTTCCAAGGAAGCATGTGATAAAGCATCGCATGTTATTGTGCAAACGGCTGCACATATTAATGGAACATTTGACATGTGTTATCTTAATCCAGGCATATACCGAGATGATGATGGAGTGGTTAAATATATTAAAACTGAAGCAAATGAACCAAATATTTCACAAGTTGGAGAAAATGATGAGTCTGAAGCCCCAGGTAATGTTAATCAGGAAGCAAATTCAGCAAATCAATCTTCTATAAATATTGGAGCAGGAGGAAGTGGTGGAGGAGGAGGAGGAGGCAATAACGTATTTATTTTTTCTGTTGGGAAATTGTTTAACTAACGTATTTATCGCGTTTATATGATTCTAAGTTGATTTAGATACTTACTGCACATTCAATAAAATGATATTTATGTAATGATCTATCAGTTTAATAAAGACAATATTTAGACAATATTTGACGGATAACTAGGGTGACGGTGCACACGCACACGGTTTTGAACTCACTTCACGCACGGTACATTAACAACCGTGTGTGCTGACAAAATGCCAAGAATTTATCAACTTTCAAGTCTTATATAGTTTTTTTCTACTTGCAGCTTCAAATCGCCACTTTTTCCGCGGTTTTTGGACACAAAAAGTGTTCTTTAGTACTTCAGTTCGCGTGCGCAAAGTCCCATGTATTTTATAACCTTACATTTTCCAGTAGGGTGCAAACAAAGTTCAAAGTTTTACAATATGTAGGAATGTTAATACAAATAATAATAAAATGGACTTTTGGCAGTTAGATGATAATAATTTAATGAATATGAATGTGAATAACAGTAAAATCGGCCAAAATATCAAAATTACACAAAATAAAGTCAGTTAAATCTTCGAACAACTCCCGCACACCCGACGTCTAAAACTTCTAAATGATAACTGGTTCAAAAAAGGGCGTCTGTCGTCTTTATAGCCCTAATGCACTTGAAGTGTGTTCTTTCGTCTGAAAGGCTCTCGAATATTAGCCGTTCAATCCTACAAATACAAAAGTTCAATTACCATAACCTAAATGTGAAAATAGAATGGAAGTAGAAAAATAGCGTAAGTATCACGTCGCTAAACGTTGTTAAACACTCGCAACACCCGCTGTTAATAAATCTTGTGGTTAAAGTGCCACTTGGCGCACTTGATACTTAATATGAAATTATTGCCAATCCGCATTCATTGAAACGACTAGTGCGTCGTTCGAAACCAAATCTGATGGATTAAAAGCGCCGCGAATAAATATCCAATTATTTAGCGAGGCTCAAACGAAAAAAGATTAAAAACCTTTCACGCATTGCATACATGTTACAATTGACGAAACCTGGATATTATATTTAAAATTGTATCACAACACGATATATAAAGTAGAAATAAATGTACATTACAATTTATGCCGGCCTTCTCCGAGCAAAAAAAAAATTAGTTTATCTATTTATAAATAAATATAAAATTAATCCCAAGTGTTCCAAGAAAGTATACAGCATACGTGTCATTCGTTCATGGAATTGAATGTTTATTGAGTGTTGTTGATAGAAATATCTGATGATATAAATAAAGGTTTCGCGGAATTTATGCATCGTTAATAAAAATGTGATTATCGTATATACTTTTTCCTTTTATAACTGATAACATTAAAATATCAGCCTATAAAAGTTAGAATGCATGATATATTTCCAGACTTTTGTCACTGTTACAACAGATTCGTCGCAATATAAATTGTAAGTTTCACGTTATTATTTCTACCACAAATGTCCCACTGCAGTGCTGGTGGTGAGGGAGGCCCAGCTGCCCCAGGTTCTGTACCAGAGGCAAGAGGCGCTACAGGCGGAAATGGATCAGGAGGCGGTGGAGGTGCAGGAGGTGCTGGAACTGTCGGACTTGTAGGACCTAGTGCGCCATCACCCCCATGTAGTGCCGATACATTTCTCGCAAGAGGAAGTGACGCTACCTGGAGTAGAGAGAGTATTGTCCACGTATCGAAACGTGGTAATCTGGTTTGCCTTGAAGAGGTGCACCATGAACAGTTTGTAATTGAGTATAAACATAAATAAAATTTTGGTTGCAAAGTACAATAACAAGTTTCAAGTGTAATTATTCAAATTTCCACGAAATTAAAACAGTCTAATCATTATAAATAACTCCTGATAACTGTAGATGTGTTTAACTTTTGGAGGCTAGAACTTCAAATCCAGCCAACTGAGCCTAGGTATTATTATTCCGTATTTCTAGATACAACAAAATTCATAGGAGAAGCAGAAAATTTATGAAAAAGTTAGGAATATAAAGGTTTGAAAATGCGATAGCTGCGAAACAAACTTTATCGATACTATCTAAATCGTTGATAGCTACTTAGCACGAATTGTGTATACATCAGTTGTCAAAAGTTACTCGACTAAAAATGGCGACTCCGTATCTCGCACAAATCGACGTGAAACTCGCAGCAAATTTTGAAAAATACGACCAAGCCAAAGCAAATGGCAAGCTACACGTGTACAATACTACATCCAAGAACCGCGGAGTTGTAAAGACAATCAATATTTATAAAATAAATCATGATGATTCACAAGAGGATTGCAGAAAAGGCTCGGAAATTGATGTGCGTAATTTGGTATCCTTATTCGAGCAAATGGGATTTACTATTGATATGGATGAAAAGACCAAGACCCAATCACCATATACAAAACAGGTATATGATGCATTTTAATAATTATGTTGTTTTGACTTATATTATATACCTAATGTAAATTCAGGATATCATCGATAATTTAACTGAGTTTGTTAATAACGAGAAATTAAAAACCGCGGATAGCGCGATTCTCTTCATCATGGGTCACGGAGGCAGAAATTCACATAAGAGAGACTACTTGTACTTAGCCAATGACGAAAAAATTTATTATGATGAAGTGTATGAATATTTCAATAATGCTAAGTGCAGTTATATGCAGAACAAACCAAAAATGATTTTCTCGCAAATGTGCAGGTAATGTTTAAGGTAACCAAACATAATCAACACCAAAAAGAGTAATTGATTCATTTACAGAGGAGATGAGCCAGATTCTGGTGTGTCTCTCATACAAACAGACGGTGCTCCAAGTTCCGGTCCAGTAATACCAAGCTTTTGTATGTACTTTCAATTTACCAATTCTTGGGCTTTAGGCTTCAGTGCAGTGAGACTTACAAACGCAGGAAGTTTATTCATAATCAAATTGTTTGAGGAATTTATGAAAGAGGCCCACGAAGAAGATGTCGTTACAATGCTGGCTGCAGTAAACCAAAAGATTTCCGAGGAAAAATTCTATATAGCATCAAATGCAATTGTTCAAGCGGCTGAACACACTAACAGAACGTTTAGAAAATGTTATCTTAATCCTGGTATATATCGAGATGATGATGGGGTGGTCAGATATATTAAAACTGACGAGGAAGTGTCTGTGCAACAAGTAAATGTTAATCAAAAAGCAGATAAACCAAATATTAATCCTAATAATGGGAAAATGCGTACAGACAGCAGAGACTCTGAGCAAGCACCTAGTAGAAAAGTACTACAACCTGAAGCCGAAATACGCCGCGGAGAAGGTGGAGATAGTGGTGGAGGAAGAGGAGGCAGCGGGGGAGGAAGCGGAGGTTCTGGAGGCGGCGATGGGGCAAGTAGAAATGGTGGAGGCGACGGCGGAAGCACTTATTACACCGTTAACGATTAAAGCCAATTATCATTACGATTTGCTTATTATTTATGTTTGTTGTTATTTGCATTAATAGGTATTGTGACTAGTATCACATTTATAAAAAACTAGGAGGTACGATAAACGTTGTTTTTCTTAAGTTTAAGAATTTAAATTTTCACTTTTCATAAATAAGCTAGTGCATACAATTTAATACATTTAACAGTTTGAAAATGGGAATCACATTCACGTTTGAAAAGAGTTTCCAGTCACAGGAGAATAGTTTATTAACGTAAACCACGGTGTCCAATGTTAGATTTAATATTTTCTATTGTGTTGTGATAACAATTTTAAGTCTTTTTTCTTACATATACTGTATAATATACATTTAGTTGATAATATTCATTAGACGAAACTTGGTCGCAAAATTTAAAATTGCTGAACAATATGATAAAAATAATAAATTAAAAAATAAATATTAAGTTGAAAATATGAATAAGATGTAAAAAATTATTTGTATGGTATATAAAATGAAGATAAATAAATATTAAAAGTTAAGCCGGCCTTCTCCAGATCATATATTTCAGTTTATCTCTCTACAACCCAATATAAAATTAATCCCAGTTAAGTATTCTAAGGAACTCAGAAGCATATTTTACATTCGAACATTAAATTGAGGATTAACGGAAACACAAACACTGATAATAATTACGGTAAAAGAAGTATCTGATGGTCAAAATAAAGATATCGAGGAATTTGCGTATGTTAAACAAAAATTGATAATATCGCTAGATTATTCTATGTACATAAGTTACAATGCATGATATATTTCTAAATTTAATTCGCTGTTGCAACAGATTTATCGCAATATTAATTGAAGTAACATCATTATACTATAAAATTCCCATCTCAGAATATCCCAGTGCTGGTGCTGGTGTGCTAGTAGGAGAGGCGGGGAAGCTCAGTTGGTCTTAAATGAGTACCAGGCGCTTAAGGAACTACAGCCAACAATGGTACAGAAGGCGGCATAGGTGGCTGCAGAACATGTAGGATCTAGTGTGCCTACACACCAATTGGGTGACGAAACATTTTCCCCTAGTCCCCTACGATGTAGTGGTACACCACCACCAGTTTGTATTTTAGCATTAACAAAAATAAGGTTCAAAACATTGTTTGGAGTGTCAAACAATGGAGTGTTTCAAGTGTTTGGAGAAATCATTGAACCGTTTTAAGTACGTTGTAAAATATAAATAATCGAACTTACACAAAATGACAACATCTTAGTCCTCAGAAATCAAGATAACGCCAAATAGTATATATACTGCCACGTCGGTTAGCTGCAGGTAAATAATCATGGCGACCCCTTCTCGCCAACAAATCGACGTAAAACTTGCCACCAATTTTCAAAAATACGATAATGACAAAGCAAATGACAGGTTCCAAGTATACAATACAACATCCAAAAACCGCGGAGTTGTGAAAATTATCAACATATATAAAACAAATCATGATGATCCAGAAGACCATTGTAGAAAAGGCTCGGAAATTGATGTTCGTAATTTGGTATCCCTATTCGCGCAAATGGGATTTACCATTGATATGGATAAAAATACCAAAACACGATCACCATATACAAAACAGGTACGTATTGCATTTTAAAATTAATGTTCTGTCAACTCTACCTACTATTAACGCAGGATATCATCGATATTTTGACTGCATTCGTTAAAAACGAAACATTAAAAACCGCCGATATAGCGATGTTATTTATCATGGGCCACGGTGGCAGATATTCAAACAAAGATATCATCCACTTAGCCAATAACGAAGAATTTAATATTGAAGAGGTAATTGAATACTTCAACAACTCCAAATGCAAATATATGCAAAACAAACCAAAACTGATCTTTTTTCAAATGTGTAGGTAAGGCTTCAACATTATAAAAAAATAAGTAGCATAATAGTAAAATAACATATTATAACATCTGAATACCATTATATTTAGGGGGGATGTATCAGACTTGGGTGTGTCTACTATACAAACAGACTGTATTCGTCGTCAAGTAAACCCAATTAGGAAAGATATAATACCAAGCTTCACCGACTTGCTTATTATCAATTCCACAGTTCCTGGTCAGTATACACATTAAAAAATGAGTAATTTTAATTTATCAATTTTTGAGCTTTAGGCTTTAGGGCACTGAGATGTACAATGGGGGGAAGTATATTCATACAGAAATTGTGTGAGCAATTTATGACAGCAGCTCATGAAGACGATGTCCAAACATTGCTGGTTGCGGTAAACAAAAAGGTTTCCAAAGAGACTTTTTATGTGGAATCGAACCATATTGTGCAATCGGCTGAACACACTAACAGAACATTTGGAAAATGTTATCTTAATCCTGGCATATATCGAGATGATAATGGGGTGGTTAGATATATTAAAACAGACCAGCCTGTGCAACAAGACAATGTTGCTCACAAAGCGAACACAGCAAATATTTCTGCTAGGAATACAAAAAAACCACAACCTGGAGCTAATAAAGTGGTTGGGAAAGATTCTGCTACAAATAGCAGGGAAATGCGTACAAATAACAAAGAACCTAAGCAACCTGCATTCCAAAAAAAGTCGCAATTTGGAGCTAATGAAGTGGTTCGGCCACATTCTGCAACATATAGTTGGGAATCGCGTACAAACAGAGAACCTATGCAACCTGCATTCCAAAAAAAGCTACAACCTGGAGCTAATGAAGCAGTTAGACCCCAAGTTAATGTTGATTACGAAGCAAACGAAACAAATGTTTCTGATGAAAATAGTGGAGAAATGCTAACAAACGTAGGAGCTTCTGAGCCAGTTGTAAGCAGAAAAGAACTACCATCTGAGACCAAGGAACGTGGTGGTGCTGGTGATCCTTCACCAGCTGGAGGGGAAGAAAGTAATAGTAGAGAGGGGAGTGATAATGAAAGAGATGGAGAATGTCTAAATGATGATAAAAAAGAAAGTGATAAAAAAGAACAAAAAGACGACAGCGAAGGCCATTATTTAATCGTTGATTTATATTACGAGTATTGAGTACCTAATATATTTTATAATCACTGAGTTTCGTTAATAAATAGACTAGTATTAGATTTAAAAAAATCTACATTTTAATATTGTTCAAATGAAAAAGTGCTCTTAATAAACTCTAAAAATAAACGACAACAATATTCCCCTGCGCTGTGTATTTCCTTCCTCGTTTCGCGATCATCAAAGAATTTCAAGTTCAACTGCTGCATAATAATAAAAACTTATTTCCCGCTCGCCGCAAAAAGTTCAACTCGCCGCCGCACTGAGAAAAAGTGCATTTTAATATGTGTTCAAACCTCCTCATCTGTGCAGCTCGCCTGCACAAAGAAGTCTCGCCTGGCAACAACAAGTCTCCAAGTCGTCGCCGCCAACATATTCCTTGTATTTTGCTCGCTTTTCATCGCTGTGTCAAGTTTTACTGTTTACGAACAAACGACGCCTGATCGTTGTAACATTTCCAAGCAGCAGCAGCAACAGCACCACCCCCACGTTTCAGCGGTAGCGAAATTGGAACGCTGAGGGAGCAATCGAAGCAAAATTTCCACGCGTCGCGGTGCATTTTCTCATGCGCGCCGCCAGCCCGCATTACATCGAGGAGCCCAACGCACAAAACGAAAAAGACTTTGCAATGGTTTGCACAAACACACAGCAGATATAGGTACATGCGCATGGCGTTGCCGACACGCGCATAGCAACAGCGACGCGGAATAAATTCGGAAGGAGCGCGAGCGAAAAGTGGGAAAGCGCACTCTGGATAATTAAATGCGACCGCGCTCGACACTCGCGCGAGCTCACCAAAGCGGAAGACGACGGGCTTTTTATTGTCCTTACAAGCGGACGTTTAGCATTTTATGCGTCTCAAAGCGACAAACTGTAGTCTCGTAAAATTTGTAACATTTTCAAACCGGACCAAAGTTTTCTTGTTTGCACAAGATGCTAATCGTGGGCTTAAATTTGCATAACCAGAATTTAGTTGCGGTGGAAGGTAAAGGATTTGTATGAGCGGAGTGAACTTGAAATGCATGTGCAAGGACACAAGAACAAGAAAACCGAGGATTTTAAGGGTGGAACGTGTGTAAGCATGCAAGATACGGATTATATTATCCTTCAGGCTTACGGCGAATACTCACGACAGGTGCAATAGCAAAATTACAGCATTACACAACTTAAAACTCTATTAAAACGCTAAACAAAGAAAATTATCCTCAAAATTTATCCCCACTATTTTTCTGCTCACGTAAAACTTAAAATATGGGAAAATTTTTGTGATTTTCGCATAAAAATTGATTTTAATCGGTCGAATTTTATTTAAAACTTGCTAAACAAGTTTCCCATCGACAAAGTAAAATAATAAATTGCACCCTTTGAAAAGTGCGCGTTACCTGTGGCGCGCGTTAATGATGTAACCCAATTACCACCGCCGCGCGGAAAAAGCAAACGCGATTACAGCGCGCGCGACAAATTTTCAATTTCCAGGTGCGCGCAAAGGGTGGCAACTCAATTAAGCGACGCACGCCGGCGATACATCACGTCGCCGCCGTCCCCGCCCGCCCGGCTGTTGCGGTGGGCAGCGGAAAAGCACTGCGGTCGCAATTGCATCTTCATTACGGCGCGTGTCGGCTGGCTGCCGGCGGGCCGGAGGTGGCGTAACACAAAGGGGGCGGCAGCGTGTTCCGCACGCGAGTGGCCGGCACGCACCATGCACATTGCACATGCTCCCGAACATTCGCCACCGCCACTACCGGCGCCTCCGCCTCGCGCGCATCGCACTGCATCCCTCCGTGTCGCTTGTAAATAATAATTTCATTAGTACGTAACCGACGGTCATGCACTTCGGTTCGCAGGGCGCATCTTGCATCTGCATCCTTCGGAAATCACTCAATTCGAGATCAGTCAGTCCACGCGAATGAAAATATTTTTAACTTATTTAAATTAAAAAATAAATCATATTCAAAGTGTTAAATTATTGTGGGTGTTGGTTGTGATAATTGTGCGGGTGTTTGTGTAACCCTTGTGTAAGTGCATCAGTGGGGCAAAGGTCGTGCGAAGGGCACGTGTGCAACAGGTCGTGGTGTTGGGAAACTTGTAACGCGTTGGGGTTGGACAAGGTGCGCGCACGAGTGCTAGTGACGTAATCGAGGGAGCGGTGAGCGAGAGAGGTGAAGATCAAGGGCGCAGCAGCGCGCCGCCCCCGCCGACGTTCAAGTTCAAGGTAAATTCGCTTTTCACATTCGCAACAGACGCGCGCGTGGCAAATAAATGAAGCGATTGCTAAAAACGACCAATTCAATGAGTTACAACAAATTGACAGCAGTGCTAACGAGGAATTGATGAGTGTGAAAGAAAAAAGAAAACGAAGAATTTCAGAAGAGAAGAAGATTGAAAGAAAATTGAATCTAATGCATGAAATATATGAAATTGTTTATATTTCAAGGTTTAAAGAAGAGAAATAATGCAAAACATGCATGTTTATTTGAAACACGTTGATATTTTGCATTGTCAGATGATTGACGCATGATATGAATGTTTATTTTGTGTAAATAAGATTAAAATATATTTTTTCCTAACAGCTTCAACCCAGAAAGGAATATTTTATGAAATATTCAGTTTGAGACATTTGTATTTATTGTAAATTCATTTTTTATATTTTCAAATGGAATAATGTTATACCACATTATATACGCGATTGTTACTTCTGTGTTAATAAAGTATACATGACTATTTCAACTAAAAAACGCCGATTTACTACCGGAAATTACTTTAAATTATCTTTTCAACGTTCAGAAAAATTAGTGACCGCCATAACCTCCACTTAAGTGTAAAAGAATTTGCGTGATTTGCATTGATTTGTCTAAATTAGCACACGTTATGCGAATTAAACGTAACATAGTTAATTGAATAGATTACTTACCACTAATAAAGTTGAATCTGTAGGCTTCAGATGAAATTCTCTTCCATTTTGATCACCAATTTATTTAACGAGCAAAGTTAAATCTTCACCGACATCTTTCTGACAGCGCCTCTGTGAAAAAATGTATCATAAATTCAAACTAATATTTCGTGACCATGGGAAATTTATGCGCCTACGCTTAGGCAACCCATAATACATATAGTGTTGTACAAGTTACATATAACTATGCGCAACTTGCAGGAATTGCAGGAATGCCATGTGTTCATACGAATTAGACTGAATTGGATTGATGCGAAAGAAAAAAGCGCACGCGTAGCGGTACAAAAACCGGTGAGTTTTGAAAACGCGGCGAAAAAAGCGCCGCAATTGCGATGCACATCTGCTGCAGCAGGCGCAAATCGTACATCTGTCGCGGCCGCAGAGCGCTCATCTAAGCCCATCTGAGATCTAAGCAAAAGCCTGCACACAGGCCACACTTTGCTCACCTGTGTGAGATGCATAAAACGAATAATAGTAATCGTCAAACCTGTGTGCAGCGTGTTCCGGCTGTCCGTTTCGAATGCATACATACATACGGATACGGACACGATGCGGATGAGAATGAGCGCCTCGACCTTCCCGATTTCTTTAGATTTTCACCTGCCACGACATGCCAGACATTTGCATTCGAGCAGTTACGAAAAGGTAGCATTCAATCGCTTCCACTTGCGGCTGTAACAAGTGCCTGTGACTCTCTCAAGTGTAGTAAATTTAAAAATTAGAACGCAAAGTTTAGGGAAAGTTTAGAAGATTTGCGTAGTTCGAATTACTGCCGCATGGGTGGCGCTGTCCGCGTGAAGTTTCTAGCCCTGCAGCGGGAAGTTTGGGCGCAAAGGTAAACAACTTACAAAACATTCGAAAAACTTCCGAAAAGCAACGTGCCGTGCTGGAATTTTCCTTGGCGCTGTGAAAACCGGTAGCTGGCCAGTAGCGACGCACACAATGCGCTAATTACGCGCGACGCTGCGCTGCTGTCGCCGGAGACACAGCGAAAGAAGGGATTTCTATCGCGTTCCAAATGCAGTCGTGTACGCTCGACACGCACGCACACACTGCCGGCGCGTAGGTTCACGTCTCGCCTGCACGTACACGAGGGCGCGCGCATCTGTGTCGGTGCGCGCACACGAGCACGAATCGCGCCGAGAGAAAAAGGATGCGAGCGGAGAGCGAAATCACAATGGCGGTACCAGTACTATGAGCAGCAGGCCAGCAGGAGAAGTATACGTGCAGTGCGTGGCCCGTGCAGCAGCGAACGAGTGTGACTTAGGCCCGTGCGAAGGTAAGCCGTGTAAGGTGCGTGGTGCGTGTGCGATGCGTCGGCGGTGATTCGGTGGATTGGCTCTGGTTTGCTGGATTGTGCACGGCGGCGGCGGCGGCAGCGGCGAGAAGGGCTCCTGCGGGGCGCGCGCGCGACATTCCTAGTGTGTGCGTTGGAGTGTATGGGAGTGTGTGTGTGTGCCTGCGGATTCGCACATGGTAAGTGTGTCCCTTTTCGGCACGCGCGCCCGTCGTGTATCGTTAGATTTCTTCGGGGAAGCAGCAGCGCGGCGACCGCAGGTATTCGACCTATGCCGTCGTCGCACTCTCGCTCGCGCTCCAGCGCGCGCTGCCTCTCCAGTCGCATCAGCGTAATGTAGATAACTGTATTTCGGCTCAATACAGTTTTAGGTCAACAACTCTATTTTCTCTAGGCCGTAATGTAATGTAACGTGAACGCGAGCCAGCGAGAGCGCAGCAGCGGTGCTTCGCGCTTGTGTCCCCTGCTGGCGCGCGCGCGATCTTCATCTCGACCTTCTGCGCGGCACACCATCATGCACCAGCGCTGATTCTCGCCCATTTCGCTGCCCGCAGGTAATTAGAAGCGCCCGCCGACAATGGAGAGCGCCATGGATCAGCAGTTCCGCCTGCGCTGGAACAACCATCCGGACAACATGACCGACGTGCTGGTGAGCCTCTACCACAAGCAGCAGCTGTGCGACGTGACGCTGGCGTGCAAGGGCGAACTGATACGCGCCCACCAGACGGTGCTCACCGCGTGCAGCCCCTTCTTCGAGGAGATGCTGCTCAACATCAACCACCCGCATCCGATCATCATTCTCGCCGACATCAACCTCGGCGAGCTGAAGGCGGTGCTGGAGTTCATGTACAAGGGCGAGGTGAACGTCTCGCAGAACCTGCTCTCCGTCTTCCTCAAGACGGCGGAGGTGCTGCGCGTCAAGGGCCTCACCGACAACAATCTGCTCAACGACAAGGAGCGTCGTGCCGGCGGCGGCGCCGCCGCTGGCGAACTCAATCGGCGCTCGCACTCGCCCGCGCCACACGAGAAGCGGAAGCGGAAATCTAGCAACTGTGATACTAATTCAAACAGTGATAGTCGACATAATGATTCTCAGGTTAGTACCAACCACAATATACATAACAATATGATACAAACTGATTTATTTACATTATTTCAGGCCACAAGCAATTATAAATCAACGCATTTACCAAAGTCTCAAAGTGAAAGAGATGTGGGCAGTCCAGATGATATCATGCCACCACAATTAGTCAAGCAGGAGCCCCAGCAGGGCAGTCCACAGCACATTGATTCATATCATTCAATGTCCGAAGCACTGCAAACTGTAAGTTGTTGTTTTCTCTCATTCCTAACCTATTTATCGTTTATTTGGGCCTGATGCAAGTATAAGTAACATTAAATTACTGATATTTTGCTTCTGGTCTGTAAATTTTTGTAAATATTCAAGTTATCGCATGTGTTTACGTTTGTAAATTAAGTACACGTGATCGCCGGTGGTTTCTCCCCCGAAACAAATCGCATTACGAAGGAAGAAGTTGAAGTTTCCATACAAAAAAATAATTAAACCGTCGGAGATAAACTCAGTATTGCAATGAGAATCGAATATCAATATTCAGAAAGAGAAAATATGGACACTTGACTGACACTTATTCCTTCTGTTAACAGACTCGGGGGAGGGAGCCGCCCGGCCACGATGGCAGTTGGTACGGCGAGCATGTCGATTTGCAATCCGTTGAGATACTGAACTTTACGCGCACGCTAGGCGCCCGCGAGCCTGATATCGACGTCGAAGTCGATGTCGACGGTGATCTGTATGACGCTGATGAAGATATGGAACATGATGATGATGATAAAGTCGAAGTGGTGAATTTAATGTGCACCACGCCGCCATTACCTCTGCCTGAGTCTAGTGAAGCGCAACGCAGGCGGTCGCGGAAACCATTACCGATGCCTCCGGAGTTAGATAAAATCACAAGCGCGAGAACGTCGACGTCGTCGCCATGGCAGCCGGTGACTAAACCGGGCAAGCGTGGCACGCGGTTTCGCAGCGTTTGGCTGCAGCAGTATGTTTGGCTGAAGTATGACGCGATGGAGAATTTGATGTTCTGCATTTACTGTCGCAAGTGGAGCAAGACGCTGCATGACATTCGCACGTCTTTCTCGGCGGGCAATTGTAACTTTCGGCTGGAAATTATTAACCATCATGATAAGTGCAAAGCGCATCAGACTTGCATTGCCAAGGAAACTGAGTCCAAGAAGCTCGAGAAGGAGTCGAAGCGAAAGACTTGAAATATACTGCGCGCTGCGCATTTGTTTCGTTTACGTGTTGAATTACATATATTGATTGAAAAGTTAACAGTTTATAGAATATTTTAAGCATATAGATATATCTTTGTATGAAATTGTTGAAGCTATCTAGGTTTATATACAAAAAGCAATAATTATTAGGTTAATTATAGTTTCTGTTGAAATTTAAGGGTTAAATACGGTTGTAGGTTATGTGAAACGTGTAAAATCATATATTTGTATGTAAGATCTTTACTATTGTTATTACTGTTGGAAATATTTGGAGTATTTTCATTTTTAGGTTAGTTTAGTACAAAAGTACAATTCTAACCTCAAAATTTACTTGCATGTCATGATTGTATTATGATTATGCTATGAATTCTTCAGTTTTCTTTGAAAAAACTTCAAATATTTGCATTTAGTATGTATATAGTAATAATTTTTACAAAACCAGCACAATTAATTGATAATCTACTAAAAAAGACATTCTAATAAGACGATGTGGAAACAGTGAAAGGCTAGTGCTTGAATCCTAGACTTAAGACTATTTTTCACCTATTTTTATATAAAAATAACGCTATGATACATTGAATATGTTAAAAACTCTACGTAATTGTTACAATGATGACAAATGTGTATTCCAACCGCAGCTAATAATTAGTTATTACGTTTAATAAATTTTTATCATTAATTTGGAGATATTTGTATAACTAGTGTGATTATTTTGATTGCGTTGCAGGGTGGAAGCTTAAGCGTGCACCAGGACGACCTGCTCTCCAGCCACGGGCTGGACCACAACGAAGAGACGAAACCGCCGATGCCGCCCCTCGATCCGACGGACACAATCGACGGTGAGTGCCGCATTCGTTTTCTTCTTCTCTTTGGTTGTGTTTCTTTCTCTCCTATTTTATTGTAATTTTCGCATCATTATCACCTCACCGCCTTCATAATCGTAGTGGATAAGGACTAACCTGTTCACTGAGTCTAATTCAACTCCAGCTATGCGTATTTTTAATTATTAATCATCCCCAGCCTGAAATAACATCCGATTTCCTTCTAGAATAATGTACAATACGAAAAGTTTTCACTTTTTGTGTGTAAATATGTTAAAAAGTGCGAAAAATAAGCAATTGTTGTTGTTATTATGTAAAAGATTTAGTTTTGCATGGTTTTTTTAGTTGATTTGTTTGCATTATTTAGTTTGATATGATTTGAAATGGATTTTGAAGAGTACTGCACTGATTTTTTGTTTGAAATTTGAGTTTTTTTTGCTTTGTTTGATTAAGTTTTATGTTTTTTATTTAAATGCAAAATTTTGCTTTGATCATAAATGAAATAATGATAAGTGCGATAAAACGAAGAAAACAGTGTGTCACCAAGGACGAAATTCAGTGCAGTGTAGTTACTAGTTAGTATCCTGTAATTTGGTAATCAGAGGAAGTGGAAAATCAACATGCAACGTGAAATACACTCGCTTCATTTACAGTCACAATGTCTGATGACACGAATTACGGAAGAACTGACAGGACAAAGTGGATGCAAACAGAGAATCTGTTATTGCCAGCGGAGGATTATTGATGAAAAAAAAAAGGTGATTTGTGGACGGATATCGTTGTATATTATGTACATACAGTAATTTTAAGATGTCGCGCGTGCTGCACATAGGAAAAAACTGCGCAATTTAATGTTTAAACAAATGTAAGCGGGTTGTGCCTTGATACTGTGGTTATTTGCCTAACTATGCTCTTTTTGGGGGTGCACTGTCACTATTCTGCTGTCACTAATTAACACATTACACACTTTTTAATTTATTTATTATTAATCAATCAAAATTTTTAATTTTTTTAATATTTAATATCGAGCGCAATCAATTTTTAATTTTTCTTTTTTATTTTATTTTAATTTTTCGATTTTTCGAATTTAATCTGCGCCATTTTGTTTTTATCTTTGGAATTATATTAATTTTGATTATTTTCTGTTTTTGTTTATTTTACTTTTTTTATTTTTTGGCGATTGCGAAGCGAACAGACATAACATAACGGTGTTTTGGTGTTGCAGGTTCAAAAGCCTGGCACATGCGGCTTACGTTCGACAAGCTGCCAGGCGGATGTAACCTGCACAGGTGTAAACTGTGCGGCAAAATAGTGACGCACATCCGGAACCACTATCACGTGCATTTCCCGGGACGATTCGAGTGCCCGCTGTGTCGGGCGACGTACACACGCAGCGACAATCTGCGCACGCACTGCAAATTCAAGCATCCACGCTATAATCCGGACACGAGGAAGTTTGACGGTGTGCCGATTGCGGCGGCGGCGGCGGCGGCAGCAGCTGCTGCTACCGGTGTCGCCGGCGGTGGTGGTAATACGCCCGCTGACCGATATGTGACAGCCGCGGCCGCCGTCGCCGGCAACAGCGATCTGTCCAACGACTGATTTGCGCTGCGCTCGCCGCCGCTCGCGTTCCACGACTATTACATGATGGCCGCGACGGCGGCGGCGGCGGCTCTCTACTGGAGGCGCACGCAGGTCGCGATGCTTTGAGCACACTCTTAAAACTAATGCGAACAAAGCATGAAAAGAAACACTTTTAATAATAACTTAATCTACCAAGTGGCGAACAACCAACGACGAACACTGCTTAAACAAAATGTCCTGAGCGCGAAACACACAACAAAAAAGAATAGTAGTCCGCATTTTTGCTAACTTTATTTGTTTATTTAAAGATCGTTTGTTTTTATTATTTTGTTATATTTGTTTAAGCGCATTTTTTGAGTACCTTACTAATTTTATTATTCGTTTATTTTATTTTTTGATTTTATTTTCAAAGTTTATACGCAATAAGGTTTTTTTAATTTATCCTTTAAACAAACGAACACACTTATCGAGTCAAGGGCGTCAGTCTTCTGAAGACTTTAATCTTATATTATTGACATAAATACAGAACGTACTTCAGTTATATTATATTAAGCACAACGAATATGTGAGATTGAAATCAAAATTTTTTCAATGCGATGAAGAGAAAAACTTAATCAGAGCAAATATTTACACACCCAGAGCGAATTGTTATCAATTAAATTGTTATATGATAATTATTATTGTATTAGAATACGGATTCTAATTCTAATTATTGTTATTAAAAGAAAGAAAAGAGTTATTAATATATTTAACAGTGGCACCGAGGATGCGCGCCCACTATAAACTTATCGATTAATTAATTAACGTGCAATTATTTACTCAAGTATCTAATGATTATCGCAAGTAATAGAAAATATATTTAGTTATGTTTACTAAGTAATTTAATACGATGAACACTTAAAGAGATGAAAGAAAGCAAATGATGAAGATGAGATATTTTTATATATAAAGATGAATCGAACAATGATGGGCGATTGAGGTTAGGATGAGTGGAAGCGACATCTAACGACTAACAAATTACTAGAGATATTTACAAGAGTCAACGAAACGCGCACGTCGAATTTGCGTGCGCTCGCGTAACTATTGCCAAACTAAATGCTAGATATTTATATACGTTATTATATGAATGTATTTTACATTATACACACAATACACCGACATACAGAGACAGCAAATGAATAATCTATACTCTACGATAGATAATATGATGATTATTATACACTGGACAGCAAAGACGTACAGTTAAACAATTAGTATTAATAAGTATACTACTACTTTACTAAAAACACAAGTAAAACACAGGAAATTTGCAGATGAAGATAATATATTGCAGCCGATTGAGGTGCTGAGCAAAAAGTCAATACGATGATGAACAATTTTTTCACTCCAAGTGTACAATAGGTGAATTTCTATATAAAGTGCAATTTATTTTAATACGCATATGATTATTTTATTATTTATACGATACAATGGATTTGTGGAATACTAATTAGTTTCTCGTGTTTTTTTTTTGTTTATATATATATATTTTTTGATTAATGGGTTGATTGATACTTGTACTACACATTGATTTACGTTTGATTATCTGCTATGTGCATACCTCATGATTTATCATCTTTGATTGAATCATCACAACCTTATACTTATATATCTGTTACGTTATAATATATGAAATGAGTTTATATGAATTTTTGTTTGTTACGAATGGTGTAGACTTGCTGCTGACGAGTTTTTATATCTAATATTGTAGAAATACCTAGCTAGGAATGGAAAGTAATCGGAAAGTCTGATAAAAACAAACTGAAACTGATTGTTTACGATGCCGTGTTATTCTTGCTTTACAAAAGATGGTTGCATTTCATTTTTTTCGTACTTAATTTCACAATACGCATTTAATACGAATGTAATTTATGTTCCGGAGTGCTTTCCTGCCACGCAACGCGGCCAAACCGAACAAATTTGTACTTTCTTGTAGAGAGAAAAACACACACCGAAAGCACTCGATGGTTATTTATGTAAACAATGCAAAACGTCTGTATTTAATTCTCTAGCGTGTACTAATAGATACTGATTGTGATATACGAGGGTGAAGAATGGTGCTACGAATTGCTTAAGTATTCTTAACGAATTAAAAACGATGATGATGAAACAAATAACACTAAACTTTAACTCTAAGAGATTTTGTTACGATCGACGAATTACAAACGTAGTACGTGCAATATGTTTTTGGTGCTTCGGAGGTGAAAATATTTTTGCGGAAAACATCTGCTCAACTAATCTTTTTCTGTCACGGATGATTTGTTCAGTGTTTTCGTTTACATATTCTACGCGCTATAGACTTAATATTTTGATTAATATGTTATATTGTTTGTTGTCGTCATTTTCTTTTGTGTGTCGATTGTGTCGATCACTGTAAAATGAACACCAAATTAATCTTACGTTGGGTATGCGTTCAGTTCTCTGCAACGAATTAACTTATTAATGCAAATAGTAATGTACTCTGTGAAATTATTTAATTTATACGCAATGGAAAAGAATATTTAAATTATAAACTATATACGTGGGTTTTCATGATATATTATGTCGGGTTTCTAGTTTTTAGTTCTTTTTATATTTAATTCATTTATATATATACGCGGTATGCAGTATATATAAACATATAGCTATGAGCGAATATTTGAAATATTGAATTAAGGAAGATATAAAAATTCTAACACAAAAAATAAATAAATTAATATGTTATAAACTCGAATGTTTTTCATTCAAGTGAAGATTATTGTGAATTAGTTATGTATTAAGAGCTGCACACTTGAAAAACGTTTTTTTCTAAGAATTTCTTTTGAAAATTGAAGTTTTTTGTATTAAAAAGTTGCGCAATTATGTTTTCTTTTGAATAGTATACTTGTTTATGTTGTGCGTTTAATATTTTTGTAAATATTTAAGTTTTATTGAAAATTCGCATGAGTTTTACACAAAAACTTAAACAAAACATGTTTTCTGTTGTTTTTTGATACTTTTGATGAAGTTTATGCAGAAAACTTGCTTATTTTACGTTTTTTTGACATTTTACTAAAGTTTTTACGAAAAAAACTTCAAATTTATTACAAATGCAACGTTTTTCAAGTATTTTTTGTATCAATTATACTTTGCGGCTCTTAATACCCCACAAAATGTACATACGTAGCAATGTTTGAATGAGATGAGCAGGAACATCCGCTGCGGATCAAGTTAATCCAGAATCTGTGTGTGTTTCAGATAGCAAATGCTACAAGGTGTCGCAGCTGTTCGAGCGCGTCGGCACGATGGACGAGCGAAGGCGATGCGTGCTGTGCGGCAAGATCGTCAGCAATACGCGCAATCATTATTACGTGCATTTTCCGGGCCAATATTCGTGTTCGCAGTGCCCGGCGGTCTACACGCGCTCCGACACACTCCTGCTGCACATGCGAACGAAGCATCCGATGGTTGCCTAGCTGAGGACGATGTGATCCTGCTGCGCACCCTCCTACGCATCCTACCTCCCCAGGTGTAGGAGATTTTGATCACCAGGATCACCCGTTGGTTGTTGTTTTGGTACATATACTAGGTAAATGAGGGTAAAAACAATCTAGGGACTAAACGGAACTGAAATGCACAAACACAAGGAAACGGGGCCAGATTTATTTATTTAAACTCCATGCCAACTATTGCCATAGAATTATATAGAGAGAAACAAAAATGAAAGAAAAACAAACAAACGTACTAGTCGTGTCTGAAGCTATGTTAGTTAAAAATCAAACTCTTTAAACTGAACAATGAAACAAGTGAGGCCGAGGTCTTCATGAACGAAAAGGCTGCAAATGAAAACTAATAGAATTTACGAATTTTAAGGCGCGTAATTTATAGTCAAATATATGTAAATGGATTTAAAGTGTAGCGATAGGTGAGACAGGTAACTATTTACGTTGAAAATTACAACTTATTACAGTAAGAGTAAGAAATGCGTAGGTTTAAGAGAGGGGTATAGATATTTTTACGTATTTTTGAAAGATAACGCTAACGAGAACGAAATATTATTAACTAGCTCGTAGGATATGTCTGCATGAATGCAACAACCAAATATTTCTGCCAAAAATCACACAGTGTTACTGATAGTCAATGGAAGCACTTTTGTTTTGAAACGTTTTTTAGTACAAAACTAACTATTTTCTTGTGCCATAATCAAACTGTGCAATATAATACGGAAAATCGAACAAAACGCATGTTTTAATTGTGAATGACTTAGAGAAATTGTATGGAACGATGAAATTATAAATGTGAATAAGAGATATATTGTACAGATATAGAAATATTATAAGACTAGAGTAAAATATCATAATCAGGGTATGTATTCCTCTCAATTACACACAAGAGTTTTCTATGTATATGGTTCAATTATTGTTCAAAGTTGTGTACAAAACAAAACGCTGTAAATTGAATTGAATCCAAAGATTTGCCAAACTATTAACGTATAAGAAATCTAAGAGGAAACATTTGTCAAATTGTCTAAAACTAACAAATAAAGATTTATTGTGTATCAATTACTTACTTTTCATCAGCAGCAATCATACACATCCTGTTTTTGGTTGTTTCAGTTTGATTTTATTGTGTTTTTTGATTGTTTTGCTTCAGCTCTTGGTGTAAACACTGTGATTCTCTGTATTGTTGTTATGTATTGTATTTATTTCTTGTTTTAGAGATGCATACGACTGTGCCGACAACACATCTGGCTTACAACGATATGTTTGAGCAGTCTGTGTCGAATTCGCTGCTGTGGAAGTGTCGTTCATGCGCCAAGGAAGTCACAAATCGCTGGCATCATTTTCATTCGCATACGCCACAGCGGTCCATTTGTCCGTATTGTCCTGCGACGTACAGCAGGATTGATACGTTGAGGAGTCATCTGCGATCGAAGCATATTTTCATGAAGCATTTACACTTGTAAATTTTCTTACAGGGCTTGAATCTGGAGGAGTTTTTGAGTATTGTTTTTGTTATTACTATGTGTGGAACTGAATTAAAGTTTTAGATACAAGAGAATTGTTGCAGTGGATGTGAATTATAACTATTTCAATGTTTATGATTATTGCAAACCTTGCACAGAGCACAACAGGATGGGAAAGTATTGGAATATGTGTCAAAATCATTCTAGACAGTATTTTAACAGATATTTGAGTATAATAAGGATAAATAACTGTTTAAATAGATTATAACTGCTTGTGGCACGTAGATTTATCCCTGATTGTCAATTAAGGCCTGAAAATGACCAAATTTTTGGTGAAATTACATCTTTTAGCCACCTGAATGTAAATGATGTCTAATTGTATTTTTGTAATGGAAGGAAAACAGGGTCAATTACAATTGTAATGATTATATAAATTTTGAGAGAATATTTAAGGAGAAAACAAATTTAGAGATGAAAAGAGACTTTCCACGACAACTTCAGCAGGCAAAACAGCAATGAACATTGATATTTATTCAGTTTTAACATTTAAGCTGTGGTAAGTAAAATATATTTGTACCATATTTAAACAGACAAATTTCTGAGTGAATTCTTATTGATTTTCATGATAGCAAGACATTTTATGACGGATTATCAAATACAAAGATAGAATTGAAACATATATTACTGGAAGAGGTACAATATCAATCAATTATGTTTAAATATTGCACAAAAAGTAATGCATATTCAAACACACATCTATGGTATATCATAACCTTAAACCTTTGAAAGTTTACCAATAAATGTAAGTTAGGAAGAGTTTATCCATGTGCTTTTAGTTTTCATGATTAATTACAACTGTGCAAATAAAAATCTATGTAATACACGTGCATAGCAAGCACGTAAATAGTTGTAAAACAGATTAGAACTACAAATGCATTGTTAGCAGTGAGTGTTTATAACATTATAACTGTATACTATCCAATAATTACAGACTTATAAGTTGTACTATTCTGTAAGAGGATTTCTAAGAGGATTGTGTGAATGAAAATGAGCAGAATGGTGTGCCATCCAGGATGGAAACAGTATCTGCTGTGGTTTGCACAGGAGCATGTAGAGTTTCGAAGGGAGGCAAGCTAACAATTATATTACATATTACAATCTGTGTATTATCAATTAATGTAATGTGGAGCTGAATTGTGTTGAATAAAATGTTTGTTTCTAGGAAATCAGGTCTTTACTCTCAATGTTCAACATCAAAATGCATTTTGTTACCAAACCCATTGATGTGGTAAATATTTTCAGTTTTAATTCTTATTTTAATGTATATTTGGTTATCTACTTAGCTATAGATTTAGGATTGTGTTGTTGGTTAGACTTTTTATTGTTTTATATTTTAGGAACCTTTTTGGATTGTTGAATTCCCAAATGAAGATGACGCGAGACGTTTGACTAGTCGCTCGGTTTCTTTGCGAAGTTGCATAGAACTTTATTCTCATTCTAAAAGTATTCTTGATCTCCACAAAGACCTGAAAAGTTATCCTGTAGAAGTAATGGCGCCGTATTTAGGAGAAGAGACAAGTTTTAAAATCGACGTTGAAACATTCTGTAGACATTTTAGTCAAAAAGAAAAAGTTGACAAACTTGAGGTAGGTAGCAATAAATATAACTTATAAATAGGATTGTTTGTTAATACTTTTTATAATTGATGTAGGCTTTTGAATATTTGCCATTCAAAGGTCCAGTGCGTTTGAAAAATCCCGATGTTACATTCTCATATATTGAATTTTATGGAACAGATCCAAAATGTCCTCCGGAAGAACCTTATGATGTATTCTTTGGACGATTGGTAATTCATTAATCAACTTTTTAACATACAATACTAAATCATAAGTATTTTATTAGATTGCAAATGGATTACGGAATTTAATTCAAACTTTATCGCTCAAAAAACGCAAATTCATCGGTAATACAAGCATGGATCCACAATTATCACTCTTAATGGCGAATCAAGCTAAAGTACAAGATGGCGACTTGATTTTGGACCCGTTTGTAGGGACAGGGTCTCTATTAGTTGCTGCTGCACAGTTTGGGGGGCATGTAATGGGCACAGACATTGATTTTTTGATGTTGCATGCAAGAACAAGACCATCACGAATCACACAAAAGGTAAAAACATATTTATTACTATAAATGGGTTAAAAAATGAGGTTTGAATAGTGATATCTTTGTTATTTGTGTGAAAGGAACGAGAAAAAGATGAAAGTGTCAAATCCAACATGCAGCAATACAATTTAGAGTCAAAATATATTGATGTGATGGTAAACGACTGCGCCATGGTTTTCTGGCGACAGGGAACAGTTTTTGATGCAATAATCACAGATCGTATGTATAATCCACCTTAAATTGAATTATATTTCAATAAAAATTATTTATTTAGCACCTTATGGAATACGTGAGGCTACGGAACGTATAGGTACACTCAAAGAAAACTACACGATTGAAGAACGTCATTTAAAGTCACACATTCCCGCAAAGATTGAATACGGAATTTCTAAACTATTTAAAGATTTGTTACATTTTTCTGCTAAGCATCTTAAGATGCATGGACGTTTAGTATGTTGGTTTCCAGTTTTTCGGGAAGATTACAACGAAGATGGACTACCAAAACATCCTTGCTTAGAATTAGTAGCGAATAGTGAACAGATTCTTAATACACATACGTCTAGGAGGTTATTGACTTATGAAAAACTAGTGGAATTCAATGAGGATGTTCATTTAGTGACTAATTCGATAGATGAAGACGAAGTTAATAATATTCAAGACTTTAGGACGAAATATTATGAAACCAGGGAGGAGACACGTAAAGAACGGCGAATGAAACAAGCTGAGTTGCGAATGCATGGGAAATTACAACAAGAACAACGTTTACAACGAGAAAATGCAAGTTTTGAAACAGGGGAAGAGAAAATAAGTTGTAATAGTGTTGTTAATGACGAAAACAATGAAAATAAATAAAATAATTCTCATGTTTAATAAAATTTTGTGTTTTTAATGATTTATTTCATGAAAACAAAATTTGTTTGTTGGTGTTTTAAGTTGTTACCGCTAGGTGGCGCATTCCTGCATAAGTTTCAAACAAAAGTTTAAATTTACGCTGTTTATTGATAGTTTTAAAAGTAGTTTAGGTTAATTATCAACTTATTTCACCGTTTTTACTGTTTTAGTTTATTAAAGATACCTATAGTGCAATTATGAGCACTTCAGAGGAAAATGTGAAGATAACAAATCAAAGTGCTCCAATTTCTATACTACTACTTTCACACCACAGCTGTCAACGCACTTTCCTGCGGTGCTTGAGCGCGGTGTTGGTGTTGGTGCTCGTCCTGCAGTCGCAAATGTCGATTCTTTCAGAGTTTCGACTCGACAATTAACCGAATTAAGGGTGTATATAATGTCTGACACGGAGTGATCGCCGCTCCGCCGTGCATCAATGCACACAGCGCTGATTTTCCGATCGCGTCGCAATTCAATCGTGCGAGCGATGCGCGTTTGTTTCAAAGTGTAAACAAATCGCCGTCACCAAGTGTGGTGCAATTGTGCGGCGAGTAACGCCTAATTACCGTTGCTAGCGGAGGCCACACCAGCATGGAGAACGGCAGCGCTGTCGCCGACGACGACCGGCATTCCATTCTTGGCGACGCCAAACACAAGATACTCGGACAGATGAAGAACCAGTTCAATAGTTCTTCAGTTGGTGGAGCGTCTTCTTCAGAGAACGATTTGCTCATTGACGAGGAGGAAGACACCACTGACACGGACAGTACTGAGAAACCTGATAAGACCGTCAAGGAGCTGGTGAAACCAGAGAGTGAAAAGTCTACGGATGAAAGTGAGTCCACTGAAGAGGTGAAACCTCCAATTATTTTAAGCTTTCGCAAACAAGCAAAAGGTACAAAGTCAAAAATGACGACACGATCAGCTATACACCGCGGTGTAGAAGTAGAAAAGAAAAGTTCTGAGCATGACAGTGAATCCGAAGGTTTGAAACGCTCCACACGTCGAAGAAGTAAAGATTGTAATGAATCCGTTCTACAATCAGCAATTGCAAGGAAAGAGAAGTCATATAATGAGACATCAAAGCCACAACGGCTGACAAGACAACTAAAACCCACGCAGAAGATTCTGGATAATATTGCGGCAGCTGCCAAGGATAAATCACCACCAAAGAAAGAGAAAAAGCGCAAGACAATCGCGGAAAACACGCGAAAACGCAAGAGCGATGTAAGTTCAGAGTACGCAGAATCAAAATGTCGGCGGTCCGGACGACTAACACAAAACTCCGTCACGAATAACAGCGAAAGCGATTCGGATACGAAACCACACGAAGAAATCAACGGCGTTGAAGAAGAGCAAGATTTCACGTCGCATTTGGATGCGGATAGTGTCACGGCGCAGTTGATTGCGTCCAGATTATGCGTGTGTACTAGTCCTACAAAATACACACCGCTTTCTGAATCGAGTAAGTAAAAATTACCAAATCAGCGTAAAAAGTTTGGTTATGGTCGGCCATTTTGTAATTTGTGATTTTTTGGTTATGCGCAGGTATTTTCTGCAATGGTTTGGATAGTATTAACAACAGACTGATCGGATGCAATAATAGTGTATGTAAGGAAAGCGCATGGATGCTACGACCGTCTACTAGGGTACCCTACATGGTTCTCTGCAAATTACACCGACAAAGACTACGAGACCACCATTGTTGTGCGATGTGCGGTGTTTTTTGCACGCAGGTATTTTAAAACATAACTTTTATATCCACCTGAATATTATTCGTGTTTTTTGACGTCTAGGGTGGTTTCTTGCAATGTTTAAACAAACATCTCTACCATAAGAACTGCAAGCTATCAATCGGCGCGCTTGAATGTTGTCCGCACTGCGGCGCCACCGACAAGCATCTGAGCGTGACGATCACGATGAAAACTGACTCGCCGCCGGTGTACACCGCTTCACAGTGCGTCGGATCTGAGTAAGTATCGAAATTCAACGCAAAACACACTTAGCAAAAGACTGTCTTGCCTTGTGCAAGAATATAACTAAGTGTGTGAATGTAGCGAGTACGGCGTGGGTCATTTTGTTTCATTTTCTCGGTTCATTTGTTTTGTTCATCTCACCATCAGCTCATTTTAAAACCAACTACATATTAGTTATTTATTTAAGTTATGCTAAGATTTTAGACACATACAGAGCATATTTACCTATATAAGATGATATATATTACAATTTAGTGAATTAATTGCTGTTTTTCTATTGTGTTCAAGTTTTTTTTTTAATGAAATGTTTAAAAAAGATGCGCAAGATTTGTTTGGAATGCTCCGAGTTTATATCCAAGTTTTACTTTTACTCCTTCCTTTAATAACATCTTATCGTGAAACTTGAAACGTTTTTCAAGCCGAAACCCACCTAAGAAACTTACTCCCAAGAAACCAGCAACGGGCGATTCAAAGAATGCGGCGAAATCAGCGGAGAAAAAGGTGTTTAAAGAGTACTATGATGATTTGAAAGAAGAAAAGTATGATGAGGATGAAGATGAAATGGAAATTATGGCGCTGGAGCAGAAAACACGGCTGCAAATCAAGAAGGAAGTTGATGACTTGGACGAGGAACAAGATGCGCCGTTGATTACTTGTGATGATGAGTTGGAGGAGCTGGAGAAGTTGGAAATGCAGCAGTCGAATGACACAGAGCGAGGTGGAACTCCACATAGTATTCATGAGTTGTTTGAGGCGATTAAAAATGGTTTATATGCTGAAGTAGCGACACTTTTAGGTTAGTTTTTTAAAAATTTGTTTTTTATTTTTCTTTGTAGTTGTGTTATATTGATAAATATATTTGTGTTTATAGGTGAAACTGATCTCAACTTATCACAACTAATAAAATATCCGGAAAACAACGATGAAAATCATGATGAAGCCGATTGTGGCACCGTCCTGCACTATGCCGCCATGAACGGCTTTGTGCCTATTATGCACATGCTCAAAATTGCTGATATGGATCTCAACTTGCCAGACAGCGAGAATAATACACCGCTTATGGTTGCAATCTCGCATTTTCAATCGGAAGCAGTTAAATATTTCACTACTGCTGGTGCTTCTGTAACGGCAAAAGGCACCGATGGTATGACAGCGTTACACTTAGCATGCAAATGTGGTAATTTGCAAGCAACAAAAGAATTATTACTAGCTGCAGCGCACATAAAAGGTTATATTGATTGTCAGGATGACGGCGGATGGACGCCATTAGTCTGGGCATGTGAACATAACCATGTTGATGTTGTGAAACTTTTGCTTAGCGAAGACGCAAACCCGCAGATTGCGGACGTTGAAGGAAATGTTGCACTGCATTGGGCCGCGTTTGGTGGGAGTATTGCTATTGTAGAGTTGATTTTAAACTTTGGAGGAAAAGTTGATAGTGTTAATGATCAAGGAGACACTCCTTTGTAAGTTCATGTTATTATCATAAAGGTTTATATTTGGTTATGTTATAAATGTCAATGTTTTGTAGACATATCGCAGCGCGTCATGATAACTACAATTGCGTGATGGTTTTTGTCACGCGCGGCGCCAGTTTTGCTATAAAGAACGATAACGACGAGACAGCGTTGGATTGCGCACCTGCCGGAAGCAAAAGTCATCAGACGCTGGTGGTAAACAACAAGTTAAAGGTTTTAATCAATAAGAAGTGAATATAACGAAGCCAAAGATAGAGAAGACATGAAATATCAATTAATGTATATGAATTTCTTTTAATATTAGCATGTATCATGTTTCGGATTCGATTTTACTGCCATTATGATAAGTTGTTATCGTTTTCATTCGAATAGTTGTATAATTGTATTCGAATTTTAAATTCAGTCAGTATATAAGCAATACAATATTTATTAGTATGCATTTTGGGAAGTATACATCGTATTTGAGGTTACCATTCCTGCTGGCGACCTACGGAAAAACCCAACTCCTGGAGACTGGTAGTTAGGATACCTTGAAGTGGACATGCTCGACCGTGGAGACAAAACTGACCTCAGGGTTTGTAGTAAATGAAAAAAAACACAAAGTGACCTCAGGGTTGCTCTGCGGCACGCCTTTTATACCTGCTACGGAGTACAGAGTGGGGGTAAGTTGGGAACCAATAGGACTTACATACTATGCGTCCAACCCGCAAAAAAGAGTGGGGGAAGGTGGTTCTGCTGGTTGAGCGCGTACCAGCAGTGCTCTAGCTGCAAGTACCCCTAGCAGATAGTTTCTTGTTAAAAATTAACCTTATTAGTACCAATATTCAAAGAAAAACACAACACTCAAGCTAAAAACAAAAGTTTGCTTAAAATAAACAGCTGAAACTGGTTATAAAGTATATCATAAGTCTAGACAGAAACTACTGAACTTATAAACTAAACAAACAATGATTCAATGATTGAAACTAAATCAACTTTAAAGATAATAATGTTTAAAAATCCTCAAGACTTACTCGACCGTCACGCCCCACCAGGCACAAATCGTAACTAAATTTCGTTAACCCGTCGTGTTATTCACTTGTTTCGTCTGACACTCGCCTGGCTGTTCGCCGCACGTCTCTGCGTGTTGTGCTTTGAGTGTTTGTTTGCATTGTTTTTGTTTCACGCGACCATCGAGTATGATTGCGTGGTAGGGGTCGCACGTAATACCATTCACATTGTTCATCACGTTGGTCAGTCCAGCGGCGACTCATCGCCTTCGCCGCAATCACTAGTTTCTAAGTAGCTTCCGCTTCATCGCCCGCAAACCTGCATCAGACAACATTCACCGCTGTTGCTGGGTGTGAGTATATTAATTCTAAGTTATATACTGGTTAAAGACGCGAAACGAAGTTATAAATAACGTGAGATTGCGTCGCATTTTCCGCACAGCACATGACGTCAGTGTCGTGAGAGTGCGAAATCAGTCACATCATCGGGTTTTTGCTCTGCTTGCTTCGTTAGTTTTAATTGCTCGCCGTATCACGTTGTAGCATGTTGTGTGACACCCGCATTGGCATTCACATCATCCCCATCGGGCGCTTATAATGTTCAGCAGCAGCCACCGGAGGAGTAATTTCATCTTAGACTCACTGTCCAAGACACTGCCTGATGACAGGCCAATTACTTCTATACAGGTATGGGAATATTACATCTTGCTTGGGTAGTTATTCAGTTTCATCTAAAAATCACATATTTAACGTTATAATTGATTGCAGATTATAGAAAACGCTGAAAAGTGTCCACCGGGGTTTTATGTGATTAGTAAGACTTATGACCAAGACCAGGATGCGGATTTGTGGCGTGAATCCGGTTCGTTTTTAAAGAAAAAGACGTTGAGGTATCTTTGTCTGTCAAAAACCGAAGGTAAATTATGTTTCCTTTCATTGTTTATATAATGACCAGGTAAATACGAATTTAAATTAACTCATTCATTAATTTTCTACTCAAGGTCTTCCGAATTTTGTGCTAAAAGAAATCCACGTGGTGAATGATAAATCACTGCCGCCTGAAGGCTACAGTTTGTTGCATAAAACAGCGGATAGTGAACAGAAAGCTTGGCGCAAGAAACAAATTTGTTACAAATTATCGAACAAGAATAATATTAAGTTAGCCATCACAGATATTATCATCTGTAGTCGTTTGAAGAAAGCACCAGAGGGATTTACACTAGCTGGGTATGATTTTCCATTAAATTTTTAGTTATTTTCTATGAAATTATGTTTTTTCTTGTTTTTATAGTGAAATAAATGGTGTGATCGTATGTTATAAGATGGGAAACGCGCAAGATACACAAAATGGCGGCGCGGCGGCCGGTGTCAATGCGCAGAACATTGATCGCCCGCCTGATCGTCCTCCTAAACCCACAAGTGGTGCCTATCCTTCGTTATCCGATGATGGCGACTATGAAATTCTGAATCCCAGTGTCATACCTGGTTATAGGCCAGCGCCGCCTCCGCCTACTGGTGTACAACCACATAGGCCACCCGTTCAACACCAAACGTCGACTTTGAACTCACATTTTGGTGTTTTAGAGGGCGTTCCTTTCGTACTGAGTCCTCGTTTGACAAATAATCGTAATAGTACCAAGGTATAACAAATACTTTAAATAATAATTTAAACTTGATTTAAATGTTTTAAAATGATTTACAGCCGCAGATCCCAATCATAAAAGCTCGATCGCGCGCACAAGTCCTCAAAGACTACAACTACGACTTCCGATTGGAGCGTCACAGCGTCATCTAGATGTGGTAGTTGTTTAGTATTTAGTTTTTAGCCATTTTCATATGTCCAACATGAGCATGATCATCACAAGGATCCATAAAGTAAGTGTCATAATATGTTCGTTTTAAGTTGTGATTTTTACCGCGTATTATTTACGGACTCATTGTTTCTATTCGTAATCATTGTATTGATGGAGATTTGCGTAATCGTTTTTATCGTTTCGTGTCATTCGGCAGAGATTTTATCGTTTTTAGTGCCAATATTTTATATATCTATCCGTTATGTATACAATAGCGATTAGTGAACAAATATAACTTTTACTGATAACATGATTGCGTTCAATTCACCTGTTTACGAGTGTGATATACGTGATTACGATAATAACAACATTTTGTATACAGTCATCATATTTTTACATAATTTAGTTACAGTTACTTAATTATTTAAGTATAGTTGGTTTTTGTTTGCATTTTACTTAGCTAATGTAAATTTATCCATATTTTGAAGCATTGTTTGCTTGTCTGTTTCCATCTTCTCGAACTGTTTGGTTTCCTCTGCTTTATTTACTTTTTTTGTTTGTTTCACTGGCTTTGAAGGTTGTTTAGAGGGCGAATTCTGATGGATTGTGTCCTGCATGTTGAGCAAATCTTTGTCTATTTTATCGATTTGGTCTTTTACTTTTATCTTAATCTAAACAAAAAAAGTTAATCTTTTATATATTAACAAAAATAATAACAATTAAAACTTACATCTTTAAGTTTTGTATTGACAGCTTTAGCCTTCTGCTTCGATTTGAAGCTTTTTGCACCAGCGACCTTAAACACATTGTTCTTCTTCTTTCCCATTTTTACAAACTGCAAACAAATCACAAAATTAAGTTAATTCATTAAACTAAACTAAATGTTATGCAACAGTACACTTTTTATTTGTTAAATCTTCCTCTTCTTGTAAACCTTTGCGTTTTGCTGATGTTTCTTCATATTTCCCAAGTAAAATCTCTTTTCCTAGTTCAATCTTGACTCTCATCATCTCTTTGAAGTTACTTACAGTCCTCACCCGAAACAATTCCTTAATAAATTTACTCATGTCGCGATTCATGCAATCATCAATCAATTTCCGTGTGATTTCTTCAGTTTCCTCACCTTTAGCAAAACAATACAAGTAAATAAACGGTGCATTAAAGTTCTGCACTTCATTCAATTCATTTTCATCATAAAGTCCTTGGAAATACTTTAAAAATTCACTAGCCAACGCCGGTAGATTCATTGTAACATAAACAATCTTCCCTTCTTTCAAAACATTCAATAGCTCACGTTTTACATCTTCTAGAATAAAATCCTTCCCGTCTTTATTGAACATTTTTAAATTATCACCGATTTTATTCTTTTTCGCATTATGTTGCAACCATTTAAACGATTCTGGGTTTAAATCATTTGCCCAGACTTGTCCGCCATTTTTACTTACAGGAATAGAAAATGGCCCCACACCAGCAAAGACATCAAATAAAACTTGATCTTTTTTAACAATATTCACAATACGCTCGTGTTCGGTACATAAACGCGAGTTCCAGTAAACCGTAGCGAAATCAAACTCAAACACACATCGGTTTTCTTTCAGTGTGACCATGTAATCCTCTTCACCTGCCAATACTTCCATCTTGAAATTGCGATACGTGTTGTCTATGATGTTTATTTTATTGACAACAGTCCTGGAGGCAGCTACTTTATCTAATAATACTTCTCCAATTAATTCTTTAAATGGTAGAAGGTGATCTCTGAGATTTACATGTACTATGTGACCAATTTTTGTAAAACTAGCCATACCTTCTTTATCTGTTGGTAGAACTGATCTAAAAATGTCCTCAACAGAGTAATTATCAAAGGAGAGTTCTATTTCTTTTTTACTGAAGTCATTGGGACTCACACCACTTGTTTCAAGTGTCTTTCTGTCTATTTCTTCGATATCTTGATAGGTATTAATTTTTAAAGGGTTTAAAATAATGATAGTTGAATTGTTCTCTTCTCGGACTGGTCTGAAGCGTTCGAGTTTTAATAAATACTTTTTGATGGGTTTTATGATTCTTGATACGTTACTAGGTGTGACTGTGAGATATGGCACTTGTATATGCTTTTGGAAAAGAGATTTGTTTAATTTTTGCATATTTTGCACTCTAGGTGGTGGTTTCAAATCTTGCGGTGGATTTTGCATCATGGCGGACGTCATCCTCGCTGACAAATATATTTTATGCTAGAGTATAAAATAAAACAGTGAAAAATGAATGTTTATTACCTGTTAACACTAAATGTTGTATATTTTTGTTGAAAACACGTGAAATGAACATGGAGTTAACCACAAAACTCTAAATTAAACACGTAAAGATTCTATGTGATTGTATGCAACCAAATATACACTTCAGTATAGAGTTTAAAAAGTAAAAACTTATTTATTGTACTTTTGCTTTAGGTACAGACAATTTAACAGTTGTTGCAAGTGCCACTACTGTGACAGCGCAACATAACAAATTACTTGCTGCAAGACCATACATTTGCCCCATGTATCCATTGATTAAGGGCGCAATGAACCCTGCTAATTGTACTAAACTCTGGAAGGCACCATTGACGGCGCCATTGTTTTTCTCATCCGACATTTCAATAATACTATCAGTCCATGTAGACTCCAACAGTGTCTTGAACAGGGAGAACAACACAATGAAAACCATATACGACCAGAAGTAAGGAATGAAGTAAATCATCAAGAAAGCAAGCAGCATTCCAATCGTTCCCCATTTATATCCATTTTTCACATGCTTTCTTATCGCGTTCATTTTGACATTTACGACAATAGCACAGATACCATAGAACGAAATGATTAAACCAACTTCATTCGGGGTGGATTTGAATTCCTCAGCGAAAACGTAACCCAAATTCTGATGGTAAATGGATGCTGCTGTTTCCACAAGGAAACGTAGAGTGAACAAAGTGCCAAAAACTTTCCAATCGACTTGTTTCAGATTGTCAAAGATTTGACTAAGTGGCGATGCTTTTTCACCATCTTTCTTGTCTTTTTTAGAAGTCTTTCCTTTTTTGGGATTTGGTAAACAATGGCACACAACTACATAATAATTAACAATTATTAATACGATATTAATTGCGTTATGTTTTAGTACTTACGAACGTTAACAATAGCCAGCACTGAACACAACATGGATATTTTAAAGAAGCCATTGTCCATGCTCATAATAACACCACCGATGACAGGAGCCAAGGTGAAGGACATGGCGCCCACCGACCGGAGTTTACCTTGGACCCCAGCTTGGTCGGTTTCCTTGCTTTCGGTGAGCAAAGTCCGCACCAGGATTTGACCATGAAGGAAACATGCTAAAATTTAGTTTATATAACGTTTAAAATAGTTTATAATGATGACCTTGAGTGCGTTACCATTGAGTATTCGTCCGGCAACGTAACAGTATAAATTCGGCACGGAGAATATCAATTGTGCAAAGAGCAAACCGTAAGATGAGAGGAGTAATGCAGGTTTTGCTCCGACATTATCACTCCAACTTCCCTAAGAGTTTTAATAAGTTAATTGAGGGATTAAATAAGATTTGTTGTTGTAATATATTAATACTTACAATAATAGGTCCGGCTATAAACTGTAATAAACATTGTGCGGATCCAAGCATTCCCAGAATGAATCGATTGCCTCCAACGGCTATTATTTGAATGCCAAGGATCGGAATCAAGAGACCGAACGAAAACAATTCCTAAATAATAGTTTGTAATGTTTTAGTTGATTCTAAGTGTCTTAAAATATGTTTTTATATTACTTACAATGGATGATAAAATGTACACGAACTTTTTCACCATTTTGACGCTTTGAACACACTTTTATCAAACAATTTGTGTTGTGACGTTTGACTTGTCACAAAAGAATGAACTACAAAACTATATCTGGATAATTTATGCGTGAAAAATTTTTTCGCGCTTTTGTTGCCGCAAAAAGATGTGTTGCATCACCTGGGTGGAAATGGGGACTGCGAGCGCGAACACAATTTAAGTACGTGTAGTAAGTTGACTAGTAAAGTGCGTTCAGTGACATTCAATGATTGAAAACTGTGATAAGATAACTAAATTGGTTGATTGTCTTATTGCTAAATTCATATCGATTGCGGCATGATTTATGAGAAATTTAACTGTAATTATTGTGCAATTATAGTTATTTGGTTATATTCGGTTTGTAATGCAGTGAAGTAGCAATTAATTACATAATATTGGCATTATTTGTACGCAGATTCTTTGGTTGGAGTATTAATAGGAAAAGACGTTGATTTTATGTTATGTTTATTATGGGATTATATGTTTTAGTTGAGTTATTTATAATTTTTAAAAATTGGCAGAGGTAATGACCTTGGGCTGTTATTTTGGTTGTTGGGGGTAGGTTTATTTAGAAGGACCAATAAATACAGCCTTACTTATGCGTAAATGATAATAATTCGCGGCTCTTATTTGTGTTGTTATTTATTACATTCTAGGTGTCTGCGTGAGTCAATTGATGCATTGGCGTCAATGAGCTATGTATACGTGAACTCGTGCATTTATAATTCAATATCGGACGTCTAGATGTCTCTAGGATGCAGTATTTGCTTGTTGTGTTTACACAAAGATCAAATGAAAGGAAAGTGAGGTGGATATAGTGTTTACCTCGTTTATATAAATGTAAGTCTTTAACTTGAAACTTGAACATAGATGTCTCTAGTATTTCGTTTTTGCATTTAATACAATTCAATACATAGTTTGTAGTGGAGTTCAGTTGAGTTTTTATTTAGTTGCACTCTGTTTATCGTAAAATACCAGGAAAACTTTTTTTAATCTTGAATTCCGTATAAATGATAACAAAGATTTGTATTGTCTGGGCAATAGTAAATTGAATTATTCATTTTTATTTGTTGTATCATTAATCGTAAACATAGGAGGCCGAAACAAAGGCACCATACGTCCACCTTCAGTATCTTTCTGAGCATTCTTTATGTATGCAGTAGCAATGATTAAAGTTAAGATAATAATGAAGATTAACACCAGAATTATTATGAGAGCTATCCACAGTTTGAGATAACTTCGCCATGTTGAATTCTTCTTCGATTTCTTTGATTTTTTTCTTGATTTTGGACCTCTGGGGCACAAATCGATATCACACGTAGATTCACACGAATCCATTGATCCTGTTCTCCTAGTCGTCATTTCCATTTTGTATAATTTGACATATGTTAATAGACAATAAATAACCTCAATTCAAACAAAAGTTGGTTGTCATTAAGACTAGATATATTAGTCAAAAATAAATCAGTAAATTTAAATATGAGGAAATCTGTGGGGAATAATGATAAATGATTTTTTTCGATTAGGTCTGTACTATTTAATAGGTAAATTTCTATTTCTGGTGCTTTTTATATTGTGTGAGCGTAGGTTAATGTGCTTTTTTTATTTCGTTGATGATCTGATTGAATGTAGTTTATGTTGCTTGTTATTTGAATGTTTCTGAGTTTGGGGTTTTGTTTGCACGTCTGTTTACAAAAAATGTATGTAAAAGTCGCTAACACGTGCAAAATTCGTACTTGTATTTACGTATTAAATATACCAAATTGCAAACAAATAAACCAGTGGTTCCCAAACTTATTTTGTCTACTGCCCACTTTGAGAATAAATATTTTTTTAGCGCCCCCATTTTTTCACTTATTTAAAAACCACTCTAACTTCAAATTGAATTGATTAAATATTGTGACCTATATACCTATGTATATTATGTACAGGAATGCCCTGCTTGAGACCTGCAGCGCCCACAAGGGGGCGTTATCGCCCACTTTGGGAAAGACTGAAATAAACCATGCTTATCAAACCGGCAACGGTAGATTGAAGATTGTAGATTATAAGTAGTAAACATCCGTACTTGACACATGCGGCGTATGACCATTATTACTATCATGCGCAGGAGTTTATTTGATATAAGAAAGCACTATGAATCATAGATTAGTTGATTAATTGTTGTGATTAGGAGTATAGGCATATAAGTTCGATAGTTTCTAAAATCGTTAGTTTATTTACTTTATATCATCTAATAACAGTGTAAAATCATGAAAACTTTCTGGATCATTGTACTCACCCTTATAAATTGGTAAGTGAAATTTATTGATTGTTATTGTTATGATTAAAAAATTTTTGAAATGGCTTTTTATATCGTGCAAATGACTTTGTGTAGTCTGGTGACTTTGAAACCTGAAGATGCCTTTCCAATACCAAATAGACAATTCACGTGTGAGGATAAACTGGAAAACAATGAAGCACCACACCAATTCCGGCATGTTATTATTGGTGGTCCTCCCCGAACTAATTTAATTGAAGGATGGTCAAATTTTGTCCAAGAGTACAATCAAATAGAAACATTGATAATTAATGACTGCACGATTGAAGATGCAGCATTGCTAAATTTTAAGAAGTACACAGAGTTAGGACGTCTTCAATTAAGCCACCTTGATCTAGATAAATTCGATTTGGCCAAATTGGCAAACAATGTCCGTTTAAGTTGCTTGAATTTAGACAATAATCCAATTGCGACTTTCGAAAATGATGCGCAAATCACTCTTACGGATTTAAGCTTGATGAACACTAGTTTGATTGCATTGCCAGATCCATCTTTGCATATTACGAAACATTTGGAAACTTTGAATTTTACCAGTAAATTTATTCAAATTAGCCGAAAAGAAGCCTGTGAAACATATAAAACACTGCTTAAATTCAATGGCGTGCCATGTGCGCAGATGAACACAGATAGTGTAAGTACTCGTACAACTGAACCGACCACTCAAGAGGATCACGAACCACAAACTTCAAATTCATGTAGACCTGAGTCAATGGGCATTAACAAAACATTGCTCTACGCAATAATTATTTATGTATGTGCACAAGTTATCAGCGCTTTACCATTATCCGATTCTTCGACGACCAATATTAATACGAAATCTCTTCATCTGGAGTCAAAAAGCATTTCTACAGTGGACAACGATCGTCTTAAATCATTTCCAAAGTTGACTTATCTACATTTAAACAATAACAGCTTAACTACTTTAAACATCAATACTCCAAATCTACATTATATTAACTTAGACAACAATGCCATCAAAAATATTCAAAATGAAGACTTTGATGGAATACCTAATATAGAAACAGTCGTTCTTAGTGGAAATAACATTCGAAAGATTGACTGGGACCTGGATTCTGTGCTTCATCGCATCAATGAAATTGATTTATCACGCAATCTGGCTCTGCGCTCTGTGCATATCAAATCAAAGACCTTAGAAATTCTTTCGTTAGCCAATGATAATATTGATGACTTAGAATTGGACACACCTTCTCTAACATTGCTGGATTTTCGTAATGGTTATTTTAGTGATGGTGGTTTAGACGCCATATGTAGAAGATATCCGCGTTTAAATTTGACTATTTCTCACATACAAGAAAGTGATGCTACTGCGCAGTTTTACGATTGCAAGAAAGTTATGGAAAAAGAAAAAGAAAATATAACTGAAGATGATGTTCATGATGAAGTACCTGAAAAAATGGCGGGGTGTGAGTATAGCACATTAAGAGTCAATATAGACGATGTGGTGTTGAGTGCTGAGAGTTACAATATGTTATGTTGGCTGTTTATAATCATGAGTATAATGGTTATTGTCTTATTTATAATGCTTGCGTATTTTATTGTAAAATGGAAAATTGATTGAAAAACAAGAGTTTTTCTTATAATATTGGAATTGCCAAAATCGTTACAGAGGAAAAAGATGGATAAAAAAGAGGAAAAAGATGGAAAAGAGGATATGGTGAAGAGAAAGCATCAAAAAGTTTTAATGCCAACACTTTTCCAAACTTCGTGAATAGAATTCTAATCTCGCAAGCAAACAAAAACAAAACTTGTTATACATTTCACTTTATTAATTAACTACAACTTATGTAAATGGTACTCTACTTAAGTCACAATCATTATATCATATGCGTTTAAATTCTATTATAAATATTTACGATTTTAAGTTTGAAATAAAAGTTTACATCAACCAAATAATAAGACTTAGACTGATAACAGGGTAGGTGCTATATACATAATGAAATTATCAATAAACATTTAGGAATATCATGTTTGCCTTGTTTGCCTGCTGTTATGCTGTCAATTTCATAAATAACATTATTTTTTAAATATTCTATCCACCGATAGATGGCGCTACTTGATCAAAACTGTGTTTACATTAATATTTCATGAGGTTTTTGGTTCTATAGAGAAATACTATTGCTACAATTACTAAAATGAGTCACACGCCTACTTGCTAATAGCATGCTTCCTCTGCCGTATCTCATAACTGACAGGATTGACAGGGTTTACCTGAAAAGAACTAGGACCTTGATCATATGTAGGTCTACGTGCGCTTGCGTCCAAAGGAAATTGCACATCCGGTATAAACAACGCCCTTCGTAATTCCTTCCAATTGAGGTTAGCGATGACGATCCTTGCGTCGTTTGGATTCACGAATGGACTGCGTGTCTCCAAATGGTCCTGAATCTCATTTTCGTCTTTTTTATGATCAGAACTTGTCGATGGAGGTTGGAAAACAATGCTAGGTTCAATTAATGTATTCTGTTCGTTTTGGTTGTACCCTCTTGGTGGTTGAATAACCGTGCTGAGACTGGGTCTGTTTGGGTCTACTTGACTTTCCTCGATAGCAATTGGTATTTCAGGTGTTACGGTTTTGGGATAAACTGGTGTGGTTGCTTTGAAACTGCTTACAAAGTTGACTCTTTGTCGTGGTTGTGTGACTGGTTGCCTAGGGAAGTATTCCAAGTCATTGATGGTTTTTGGAGGTTCTACGATCGAAGATAATCCATAGGGTAAATTTGGTAGAGGGGGTAAGTCTACATTTGCTAGAGGTTCTTCAGGTGTGACGAAAGTTGGATATACTGGTGTGGTTGCTTTGAAATTACTTGCGAAATTCACTTGGGGGGCTGATACAGGTACAGAGGGTACTTCATAAGATGGTTTGTCTTCTCCATCAAGAGGGGGCGCTACTAGAACTACTTTAGGTTTATTCAGGGAGTAATCTTCTTCGATTAGAGGGATTTCAGCTGGTGCAATATTGGGATATACTGGTGTAGTCGCTTTGAAGTCAGATTTGAAATTCACTTGAATATTTTCTTGTTGTTCCTGTTGATTTTGTTCATTATTGTTTGAATTATAAGTTTCTTGAGGTTTAGAGTAGTAGGGTTTCTTGGTACGTTGTTCTTTTGGTTCTATAGGTCTTTGTGTGGTTGTAGATCGTTTATATTCAGTTGACCAATGACTGGGGAGGAAATAAGGTTGATCCCTGACGTCACTATCCCCTCCAATGAGATTTTGTTGGTTAGGTGCCTGAGCTCTACCCGTGCGGTAAACAATGTTGTATTCTGATGCACTGGGATGAGCTAATAGGTCAGGACGTGGAGTGCGGTGATAAGGGTGTTCATCATCATCCTCTACGAAGGGTTTCTCACGTTGTCCGATGAGTAAATTAGCATCGTAGTCTACTTCTGACTTACTACAGTTTACCATGTACCTAGAAACACATTTGAATAGTGTACAGATGTTTATTTATTTATTTATTTGAATTTTAGGTTTAAATAAGTACCAATGGTCGCATATTAACATCCGTTGTTGGAAGAGGGTGGTATTAGGGCAGGAGTAACTGAATTGTCGTCCTAGAGTATCACACATGTGATAAATCTACGAAAATAATAAGTTTTTAAATATTTTTTGCGTTGTAATGTTGGTTGCCTATATTAAACAGTCAGACATATTTATTAAGATTATATTTGGTTATATATACCTGGCATCCTGATTGCACATCAGCATAATAACCGGAAGCTCTTCCCTGGCATGAAAATCGTCCGCCATTTTCCTGTAAAAAATAATTTATTTATTTTATTATATTTTTTATAATTAATGTCAATGTTAATCAGCGTGTGATAATAATACGGAAATTGTGTCGCAACGGTTAAGACTTTACGACCCACAACGTGTCAATGTCTTCTATTAAAACCATGACATTTCTGATGGTAGCAGGTCGCGCTGTAATTAATTATGAAATAATTACCTCGACTCCTGCTGTGGAAAATTGGCAGTGCACGATTTGAATTTGCTTATTGCACGGTTTTTGCCGTCGCTGAATATTCCATAAACTCAACATCATTAAACTTTATGTCGCACGATTAGACTTGCAACTCATTAAAACATAATTAGCTACTAATTCGAGATGACATTATTAGAATTAGGAATTCAATACAATAGAAATAATGCATAATGGGTTGCCTATAGTAGAATGTTTATTTTGTTTCTATTATTTGTCTTCGCAACGATTTATATTCTTATTTTTTATTCAAGGAAATCAATAATTAAATAAATTAAGATCTGCAAAAGATTTGAGTTTACCTTGCCGTGTTTATACACGTTTAATTTGATTTCGCATACTAATGACACATTTCCTTGTGAATTATGTTTGAATATTTAACATTAATTTGTCATTAACCTTTTTATTGACGATTGTCATATTATTTACGATTCATCTTTAAGTAGCTTCGTTAAATGTGATCAAATTTGTAATATTTAATTACTACACACATAAAAAATACACAGATTTCGGTGTTTTTGATGGTTAATTATTGAAATATTGATTAATTGATTTAATTCATCATCGTTTTGATGAGATTAGCTTAATTAGTAACCTTGCCATTTGCAATCATGAAAATAAACAAGTTTTTCAACAAATATAAAAAAAATTATTGAAAATCTATAATATAAAAATAAATCGCAAAATATGTTGGTAAGCGCATAACTCAACAACGCCTAAATCAATTTGGCCAATTCTTTTTTTTTAATGTTCGTTAAAATCCAAAGATGGTTTTTACGGCGAGAGAAATTCGAATAATTGCCGGGAAAACCCTAAAACAGCCCTTTTCTATAGGATATAAGTTGACATTGAGATTCAATCATAGTTATAGTTAAATAGTTGAATCCGAGATGGCGCGCTGAAGTGCATTATTAGCAATTCTTTATATAATTAATTTCTTTAAAATAAAATTGCGAATCTTATTAATAGAATTAACACATACTATGTCTAGAACAAGACAATAAAAACAAATTACATTTTTATTAAATACTACCGGGACAAAGTCGCGGGCAAAAGCTAGTTGTAAATAAAATTCAATTATATTTAATGCACTTTAATGTTAAAAATAGTTTTTATACTGTTTTTGGTCAAACCCAAATTCATAAGTCATAACTCTATAACTTCGAACGCATGATTAATGAATATTCGAGTATTTCGCTGGTGGCTTGCATAAAACTTATCTTTCATCTCATAGTTTTAACTCTCCAATTCATAAGAATAGCAACAAATGAAAAAAGTAACGTAATCTGTATTTTGACCTTTAATATTTGCCTGTTTTCTAATTTCTATTTGCAATTTCGTGACTTTGTTAAATTATTTTTACTTTGATTTAATTACACAAAGAATCCTATTGTAATTTATCATATTTAGACATAAACAATCAATGAAATATATTAAACACATTCAACTGTCAGTAAAACAAGATTTGTTTATTTTAATTAACGATTTTCATCAATTTGTACTTTTATGTGCACTTTTAAACGATGTTTCGCAATAGTTCTTCTCCTAAGTGACTGCCAGTCGTTTGTGCTTGGCACTTAAACTAAATACCACTAATTGTAATCGCAATTAAAAAGAAACAAGATTAATGAACTTCGTTCAGTCACGAACGAGTATTACGGACATTACTGCTTAATTTAAATCGCATCGCGTTGTAACTACTTGGTGGCCTTGATACAATTCGGTTGCTCAAGCATCAGAGCATCAAGATGAAAGAAGACTAATCGTGCAATCAATTTTCTTTCAGCTGTAAACTTTAAACAAACAATCGGAACAAAGAATTATCCAGAGAGGATCTTGATACTTATGCAACACATTTCACACGAAATGCATTGTGCTTATCGATGACATTTTGACATTGAGTGTTCGTGGTTTTTGACGTTGCTACAAAATTACTCGTAAATACAAAGTTAACCTGTGAAGTTGTAAAACGGTAACAATAAGCTAAATTAATGAACTCATCAGCTTGTTGGAGGAGTAACGAACGGCGATGTGAAGTAATCGTCGATGCAGTTATTCCGAACAAACAATTAGAAGCGCAACTGAAGTAGACGCAGAAGAAAAGTAGGTTTGCATTGTAAAAATAAACAAATGAAGTGAACTTAAGTGAACTGCATGAAGATACGAGTGCATCGTACACAGCAGCTGCAAGAAGCAAGAAGCAACAGGTAAAGTAAAGTAAACTAAAGATGAAATGTAGGTTATGTTGCATTTTCATATACCTAGTAGTTGTAGATGCGCAAATTGCGAAAATTTCTTCATTTCTTCGACGCCGGCATGAAATTCATCTTCATCTCGTTTCTGCGATTGTGTTATTGTGTTACACCTAACAAGCGGTAATAACTGATTGGATTTTATGATGATTGATGATTTGATACTCACGGTCAACGCATCAAAATCAAATGTAGCAGTTAATTTAGAAAATCGCCGCAACCAAACGCACACATTGCATTTATAGAGATTTGTGAATGTAAATTTTGTTAACAATGGATTGTTTCTTGCATGATTTCGTCTGGTGTGGTTTCGTTTCGGGTTGTGAACGTATTATATAACTTTTTTCGCAAATATCGCTGTGATCGTATCTCTCGTGCGGTTCTTGCGTGGTGTTAAAGAGCAAGTCTCTTCGCAACATCTTCGTAAACTCTTGTTGCTTTCGATACAACAATCGTATTAAGTATATTGTTTTCTTTAATATTGTATTGTATAATATTGTCTAATGGTGTCTAATCATTCGAACGGGACTATAATTGAATAATATTACTATAATTAAATAATAATCTTGAAATTTTGCAATGTTGAAGATCGTAAACATTTTAAACTTTAATCTGGGTATTATTAAATCACTTTTTGGTTATTATTTTATCTCTTCCGGAGTGATATAAGTAAAATTAGGAAATAATAATAGTAATAAAAAAAGTATGGTTAAGAGAATGTTAAAAGTTAAATTTTGACGCAATTTGTTTTTAAAATGAAGTTAAATCTTTCAACAATATAAAAATAAATCGCAAAATCTGTTGGAAAATGCATAACTCAACAACGCCTAAACCAATTTGGCCAATTCTTTTCCTGAATGTTCATTATTGTCCTAGGATGGTTTTTACGGCGAGAAAAATTTGAATATTTGCCGGGAAAACCCTAAAGACAGCCCTTTTCTATAAGATAAAAATTGGCATTGAGATTCAATCATAGTTATAGTTAAATAGTTGAATCCGAGATGGCGCGCTGAAGTGCATTATTAGCAATTCTTTATATAATTAATTCCTTTAAAATAAAATTGTGAATCTTATTGATAGAATTGACACATACTATGTCTAGAACAAGAAAGTAAAACCGAATTACATTTTTATTAAACATTACCAGGACGAAGTCGCGGGCCAAAGTTAGTTAGTTTTTCATAAATTCGTAAAAAAGTAGTAATAATTATTTAAATTAATAGGAACTATTCTAAAATTTATTTATTGTTTTTACTTTCTGTTAAAATCAATATTGTACAATAAATTTTTTTTATACATATCGATTAATTAAATTCTTTTGAATGTACAAATATGTTCAAACATCGTTGGCGTTTTGTTTTAATCATTAATTTTATAATTCTCTAGGAAAATATGCCAACTGTAAACAAATTTCCTAAAAAACTTGACTGTGCTGCCCACACATCGATTACAAATTGGTTTATTCGATGATTTATGAATATTCACTGTATTAATCATCAATATATTGATCAATCTTTATGTGAACTTTAAAAAATGCTTTTTTAATAAACCAGCCATGATTTATTTTGTTTATTTTAAAATTTCACATGAATTAATTGATTTTTTACAGATTTACACTTTTATAACATGTATATATAGTTCAGTAGAACAAAACAGGTGTTAACCGACAAATGACAGTTGTTTCCTATTACACAACTTGTCATTTACACATTTTATGACTTTTTTTGCTGCTTAGATTATAAAAGATTAAAAAGTTTGGTAATTTTTTAAGTGACTCACATGTTCATGATTCTAGTAGTTTTATTTGTTTATTGGCTTTATTAACCTTTCGTGGCGTGATTTTGCAATCGTTATTAATTCACACACCACGATTCACACGTGTCGCGCGCGTACAACTCGCACATATTCACTAACAACTTGTGTCAAAGTGATGAAAATGAAAGTCTACGACACATGACAGTTGTGTTCGATAAATAATGACATGTACTAAATTATTCTTTTGGTCATTGCTATATTTGCCTATACACCAACAACGAGATTTTGTAATAAATAATAAAATTTTAGGTTATACTTAAAAATTGCGACATTGTATCATAGATGGCGTTAGATATACTCAACATAACCTAATATATAAGTTTACATACAAAAATTCATAAATAATCATGTAGATAGCAAATTACCGTCATTTACAAGCGTATTATTATTATTATATCACAATCACAATTAAGCCTTGTGTGCGCGTTGATGTGTGTTGTAAGGTGTTGTAAATTGTAATGCGAGCAATTTGGAGGTCTTTACGAATGTGGGATGTGGGCAGAAGCGCGAGGCAGAGTTGAGAAGGTACTTACTAAACCTTCTAAACATTCCTGATCGCTGTTTCAACTAGGTGGAAAATATTTCAATGTTTCTAGCACTGTTTGCATTAAGTTAGAAGTTAGAAGTTTGATGTTATAGTAAACATGAAGCGGGCGTTCAACAACACTTTGTTTGTGTGTGGTGTGCTGTTTGTTCTCGTGCTTAATACCTACATACCATACTTGATGCAGAACCAAATGGTGATATTAGTACTTATAATAATAATAGTATTATTTATTTGTAGGTGTTGCAATTGGAATTTGATGGTAACATTTGGAGAGAAAAATTTTGTAATTTTTATTTTTTTGTTCGTTTTGATGATATTTTGTGGTTTTACTTGATAAAATTTTAAAAATACTAGATTTAAGATGGTAGAGCATTGAATTTGTTATTATCAAAAGAAAAATTAATTATTTTGTGATATTTACGATAAATTTTAAAGCAAAATGAAGAAAAATCATTGTTTTTTAATAATTTTCAAGAATTTCATTCTAAGATAATACGTATAATGTGGTTATTCGTGTTTTAGTATTATTTCTATTAAATTATCATGATTACGTTGGTAATCAACGGATAGATAAGTGATATTTGTAATTAAAACCTCATCAAACCATTTAAAACTCAATTAAATTAATGTTTTTGATGCTAAAAAATTATTTTTCCTTTTATTTCTTGAAATTTACAAAAATTGTTGGCGTATTTTTAACATTTAAGAATAGTGTACTTAAATTAGTCGACGTGTAAATGCGTGTAATACAGGTAGCAAATTACGATTTCCTCATTAATCTCCTCGAAATCTCTTAATGTGCGCAGCGGATTCTAAACACCTAGCGCCGACTTAATTGAAACCCATAAATGGAAAATTGTACAATTTGTAAGACTGCAAAATTATAAGTCAACACTCACTCGGCGCTGAATTGCAGGCGGATAATTAGTTGTTACTTGCTACACCAACTCAATCAATTACTTTGAAAATTTTTAGTAAAAACGAAAAAAAAGTTTAAAAAAATTTGAAAATTGCGCCCTCTTACGGGTAGTAGTATTAAAATACATTAAAATATAAAATATTTAAAATATTATTTAATTTTTAATATTAAATATAATGATTCTATTAATATACGAGATAATTAATCATTCACACACGCGCTTCTTCATCATTTTTTTGCCCGTCATTAATTGCAAGCACGTGCCGATATTGACAAACACTTTATTCGTTAAATATTAATATTAACAATATTAAGTACTAAGTATATTTACTAAGAAAATCCTCACGCGCATCTATGCGTGAATAAAATTATCGTTTGCTTTTAATCACATCGCCGCATCAGCACGGAAATTAATTTCTTAGTAATTATTCTACGTACGTGTATAAACCAACTAGATACATCGTGAATACAAATTCAATTACGTTACAAGTTCCCAATCTTAATCAGCTACATGTTAATATAGGAGGTACATTGGTATGAAATTTAATTAACTTCTTTTATTGTGGTGGTTATTCATTGATAGATGGCAGCTTGAAGAAGTTGAAATTGAAATATTTATAGGTTTAAAGTTTAATCAAAGTAATTTATCTCAAGTTACCAACTAGTAAGTGAGAAATGATGCGTAAAACAATTAACATTTGCTTAACATAAAATCAATTACCTGTTTTTCACTTAGGTGATTTTATGCTTATTATAAATAACCATAAAGTGGATACTTTATGTTTAATTATTTTTATATTCCGCATTGTTTTTAGGTTCGATTAGGTTAAAAATGGTCTCAGCTTCATTCTAACCTATAACTTTTTAATGGAAACATATTGAGTATACTTGTTCATAGATGGCGTAATTGTAAAATATCAATTTGTAATGAATTTAACAGAAATTTTTTTGTTTTAACGTTGATTAATTTGTTGAATCTGTAATTATGAACAATTATTATTGCATAACACAATAATCGCTACTTCTCTTTAATTCTAATCCTCATAATTCTCATAAACATTTCGCTGATTCACTATTTGCACTCATAATCACTTCTGTAGAATGTTTCAATTTGTAAACAAAAGTAAACACACGCGTGATGCGCACAGGAATGTGATTGATGTGTTATTTAGCAACAAATTACTTGATCAAACTCAAAAGATTTTACTAAGCATACAATATGAAGTTTAAAAATTAAAATTACAGTTGAAATGGGAAACGAAACGCAACAAAACGAAAATGTGTTGCGTTGTTGTGTTGAGATTTAAACAAATGTTATTATTCCTATCCTTAGGGCCCATCTGACGTTAGATATATGGATGTTAATTAACATTTCAGCTAAACTGTAATATTAAACTTTAAACACGTTTATTTATTATATAATACGGTGAGTTTCATGTTACTTGTAACGAAACAATCAAATGCGTTCGTAGGAAATCGATTAGCCATAATCATCAACTCATCACCTCATAACACGCGGTTATGATGTGTTTGTTTACATAAAAACATATAATAACCGCACTTTTTCTTTCACATCGACAAAAACTATGTTAATACCTATAATTTAATATGACTTGTGTGATATTAAACATTCGTTTGCTTTTCTTCATATACAATGTTATATAATCGGCGAGTTTGCAATGCAAATGGTGATAAAAGTGCCAAAAGAGCAAAAGTGCAATAATATTATTTGGCATGACTAAACTATTCAACAATGTTGAATTAAAGATGGGTTTATGTGAAAAGAAGTAAATTAAACTTTAATTTGCAGGAAAAAAATGTAAAAAATGTTGTGTTGGTTGCATACAGCTATATTTTCCTATAGTTTGACTTCTCGTATCTTAACCGAACATAATCCAATTCATTTATATATATTTTTTTCTGTTTCACGGTTAAACCAACAATTTTGGTTAAATCAATGTGCCCACAATGTTAAATGGGTTGCATACAGTTATAATTTTCCTATAATTTGACTTCCCGTATTTTAACCGAACATATCCCAATAAAATTTTAATATTTTTCTTTCTCATGATTAATCTTAAACAATTCCGGTTCATAAATTAATAAATAATAATATTTAAACAGGTTATTGTTCCAGTTTGTTATCCTTTAAATATCATGCACTTATTTAAAGTGACGCACTTAATATGCAAGCAATAATAACATTTTATGGTTATTGGTTTCACTTGCAATTTGAAACTTGTAATTTAAAATAAAAAGACTATCGACCCTGACTTTTAGAGATATGGATGTATAACACGGTAAGCAACGGTTAATGACCATAAAATTACGTGGAAACAATATAAAAGTACACCGAGAGAAGTTCCAGGTGCAGTTATGCTTATGTCATTAACAAAAAAATGCTATTTTAAATATCAGGACAACATTTTTCACAATTATCTACTAATTAACTTAACATTTACTTGTTTTTTTTATTAGTATTTATTAAAAATAAGTTCAACAAACTTCACACATTGAATTAGATAATTATTATTACGACTTCGTCCCGGTAGTGTTTAATAAAAATGTAATTAGTTAATTAATCAATAAGATTCGCAATTTTATTAAAAAAAATAATAATTATATCAAGAATTGCTAATAATGCACTTTAACGCGGCATCTCGGATTCAAGTATTTAACTATAACTATGATTGAATCTCAATGCCAACTTTTATCGTATAGAAAAGAGCTGTGTTTAGGGTTTTACCGGCAATTATTCGAATTTTTCTTGTCATAAAAACCATCCTTGGACTTTAACAAACATTTAAAAAAAGAATTGGCCAAATTGGTCTAGGCGTTGTTGAGTTATGCGCTTACCAACAGATTTTGCGATTCATTTTTATATTATAGATATAAATTGATTATTTTTAACATAATTTAAATAAAAACACAGAAAAATAAATAAAATTATTATTTTTGCATAAAAACAATTAAAAAACTATTAATTAATAAACAGGAAGTAACAATTAGTCCTAAACAAAGTGAACATTGAAGTTTATTCACTTCGATGCAAGTTAACACCGATTCTAATTATATTCACACATAATTCACACTCAGTTAAATTTACATGTTCTTCACATATTCTTTACATGCGAATACAATGCAGATATACTCATGAAAAGGTGATGATTGTCATTGACATTCTGCTCATAAATGATTCCAACACTATCCTGTGAAAAAATCTATCAAGGTCGACAGATACACTTACACAATAAAAATTGTGATAATGCAACCCACTTAACACTATTACACTATAAGTGAAACTATAGCAGTGTATAACGGGTTGCCCGATTGACACAGCCTAACCTTTTTCACTTTTATTCATTTTATTACTTTATTAAGACTAGTTTTATGATATAATACGAATGGCGTCTGCCTTCGTAATTGTTTAAATTGTTTAATCGCACGTCGCGCATTCGCGATCACGACCAATCAGTCTTTGATCTTTACTTTTTTTTTGTTAATCATATTGTTCGCCTATTATTCCTATTCGACTCTGAACGTAGCTCATCTTTTACATAATGTTACGTGACGCTTGTATATGACTTTTCGCGACAATTGTTTAACGCTTTTTTTGCTAACATTTCCAATTTATTCGATTGTAATTTCGTGTTCGATGATTGCACATCTATAATAATCATTCAGGAAAAAAATGCCGACGATTGATGTAACGATTGGTTCGAACGACTTTGACGCGCGCCGATTTCTACTCGTCTGCATTTCAATGCGAAACAATACGCGCGCACGCGAAATAATGAACAATAACGATGCGCACGTACAATTTATTCATTTGCATTCGTCGTTATTTATTATTATTCGCGCATCGACGCCGTCATTATACGTTAACTGCGATGTGTATTGTTTGCGATTTGTGTTGGACCTTTGGATTGCACGAGATATTGCACATTCCTTAATAGATATAATAATTGTAATCATACAGACTGGTTGAAGATAAAACTAAATGAAATGTTGCCCAACAACGCCCTCTGGGATATTTTATAGTAATTGTGTTTTAGTGTATGTATGATTGCCTATATAAGTGAATAATTGAAATCATACAGAGTATCTATAATATAAAAATGAATCGTAAAATCTGTTGGTAAGCGCATAACTCAACAACGCGTTGACCAATTTGGCCAATTCTTTTTTTAAATGTTCGTTAAAGTCCAAGGATGGTTTTTACGACGAGAAAAATTCGAATAATTGCCTCGAAAACCCTTAAGACAGCCCTTTTCTATAGGATAAAAGTAGGCATTGAGATTCAATCATAGTTATAGTTACATAGTTGAATCCTAGATGGCGCGCTGAAGTGTATTATTAGCAATTCTTTATATAATAAATTTCTTTAAAATAAAATTGCGAATATTATTGATAGAACTGACACATACCTACAATATCTAGAATAAGAGAGTAAAAATGAATTACATTTTTTATTAAACACTACCGGGACGAATTCGCGGACAATAGCTACTTAGAAATAAAACTAAAAGAAATATTGCCTTACAACGCCCTCTATGGTGTTTTATAATTTAGTACATGTATTGTTGCCTATATTATAACTATTTTTACGTTTTCTTTCAAGTCGAGTTCAGTAAAACAAAGTGTTCATTCATGATGTCGATTGAAAATCCAGAACAAGTACTTGATCCTGATTTATATCAACAATTACACCCGTCAGCACGCTAAGGTAAGTGTAAATGATTGCACAAGCAAATGCATTCAATACCAAACCGTCGTCAAATGTCTGTTCAATACCTCCTTAAACGGAATTTAAATTCGAAACACTAAATATCGCCCAAAGGTGTGCGATAATCATCTCGTCATCGTCATCACCAACGACTCTATCGCGGTGTAATGCATTTTGCAAGATGCAAATCGATGCACACGATGTAAAAAACACGCACCGGTTGAACTATCGAAACATTGAAGCATTGAATCATTAAACAGAGACGTTGAAAGTTGTCAATGCCTTTTAAGCTTCGATTCTATCCGAGTTCTACTTCGATTCGATCATGTATAGGTCAAACCTTCGAATGTGTGCAGTGCGCACCTTCATCATTGAGTCAAGTTAAACAATCGCGTGCCTACGGCGGCCATCTTGTCGAAATTGATCTATTTCATGACATTTCGAGTGATCTTATAACGCGCGACTCAATAACATGCTCTGACGCTTCTTGAATGCAGAGTAATGATCAGATTTACATAGATATTAAGAACAAGAGCATCAGTAAATTACGCATGCGCATATTTATGGTATGACATATAAGGAAATTAATTCATCTTCATTGAAGCATATTTACATTTTATTAGGTTAATGTGTTTACATTTGTAACACGATACAAATTACCTTTCAGTTTTTTATGTTTTTTATTTATTTATAAAGATTACGGTAATAAAAGTTTAATTAAAATGTGTAAATGTGATTGACCAAATGTTAAGCAACCCACTTTACATCGCTTGGCGTAAATCAGATAAAAATCAAGATGGCAATCATTAAAATACAATAAAAATGTATTTCTTCAAGTGTATAGGGTTGCCTAAGTTAGTTTTCATGATTAAATCCTTATCATGTGTGGAAAAATACGTTTTTAAACACATTTGCGCAATCCGAATAAGTTTATTACTCTTACCACACGTACGGGTTTTGCTTTCAAGCGCTAAAATGGCCGTTGGTACAAGATACGAGCGATTAGACATCTCTAACGCCTTTCGGTTGTTGCCGACGCTTAAAGAGCAATTACACGAATTGCGCGTACCTACTGATGATGAATCGTTGCGTTAATGCGCCGGCGAGCATCTTCGAAATCGCGATTTGGATGCGCCTGAAAACACGAGCGCACAAAACCAACACACGAATTAGGAACGACCGTTAGCTTTTATGTGAGGTTATGTGTGCGATTGTTCTCGCGCTGTAAATCAAACGAGAAGCGCACCAATGACGAAATATTGCTAATTGATGAATGAACACCGAAGATGCGCACGATTTTATAGCCCGAGCGTCGCCGGCTAAACGTTTTTAGTGAGTTTTAAGTGTTTTACAATGTTTTCGAGTGCTTTAAAGTGTGTTTCGATGTAATAGTTTTACGGACTCGTTCATGAATGGATTTTAAACGCATGCACCTTTCTCGTTTTCCGTGTGCATGCATTCCGAAGTGTTTCGCTCGCTGTAATAATTGTAATGAAGAAGGTTTTAGTTGAGTCGCTGAGGATAGTCGAGAGGCTGTGAGCGCAGGAGTCGTGTCTGCATGCGCAGCGAATAAATTTCATTCCCCGCACTTAATGTAGACAATAAAAATTAGTAAATGTGAATTTGTTTGCGGCGAAACGGTTAACGGTATTTGAAAACAGTCGAAGAAAAGTTAAGTTTAACCGTTGCACAGCGCAAGAAACACGTTATATCTTAAATCAAATGAAATGCAATAAATAATCACGATAATTACAATTTATGCCTTCATTTCCAGCACCGCATCACTCAAACGTGTAATAAATTATTGCATAGCGATTAAAAATCATGTTTTTTATGAATAAAACTTTGATTTTGATATAATTTTAATACAAGCAAAGAAAAAACTCTTTTTATTGATTTAAAACTTAAATTTTGTGTAATAAATTATTGTATAGTGATTAAAAATCAGGCTTTTGTAATAAAAACTTAAATTTTGAGATAATTTTTATATTTTAATATCAAATAAATATTTTTTATTGTTTTAGACTTTTAGATCTTGTGAAATATCTGAGGACGTGACTTATAATATTGTAAATCAATATCTAATTATTATTTATCGGATATTGGCATATTTGGCCAATTTTTAGAATGGTAAATACTTCTTTTGTGATCTTGAGTGAAACAATAAGTTTAACCATCTTGAAGATGGTTAATTCGACCGTGAACGTAACAAATTTCACCTGTAATTAGCCTACTGACTGACATTTACTCAGTCATTGAAGTAATCACCCGTTAAAACATTGTAATTTACCAAATTGAAATGTTACTAGTTTTATAAATAAATAGAACCACTTTAAAGACGTCATTTCATGACTAGATCATAAATAATTGCAAAAATAACCAAACAATTGATTAAATGTAATAAATTTTATATTTGTTGTTTTTATTTATGCAAATCAACTCGTCTCACTTGACTAAATATAAGTTAAGTCACTTGAGACGTTAAATAAGTGTCTTAGGCGTCGCAAGACAATCGACTTTAGACGCTTAACTAGGCGTAAGTTGACTTAAGTAAGTCATGTCACTCAATAGATACGAAACAAACACATTATGTACACTTCGAGAGGCATTGCTAAACGCACAAAGAAAGTTGTGTGCTAAACAAGCGCGGTAGCAAAAAATCGACTCGGATTATTATTATTATATTGCATTATGCGTACATTAAGTATCTAATGTATTGTAATGTAGTATAACATTAGCAATTTGATGCAATCTTTTATTAATCCATCATACGGAAAGCGCTTTACATCATTATATCATAATATTTAATTTGTATAATGTGTTATAGTGTATTTAATTGAATAAAGCGTTTATAGTACAAAATGGCGGTAGGTAGGTAGGCGTTTGTTCGATATGTTGAGCTACTGGTTTTATTATTGATCGCTATATGTGGTTCAATTTATCTGACACATCTGACATGTTACTATTAAGTTTACAAGACGTATATTAAAATTTACAACTTGAAATTTCACTTTTTAGAGGTTTAAATAATATTAAATTAAAATTTTTAGGTTAAAACTATATTGTCTAGTATAGATTAACTTCTTGTTTAATAATATGTCATGTTGGTTGCCTGCATTAAAAAATTTAATATGATTAAACAATAAATAAAGAAATAAATTATGAATAGAATATAAAAATGTAAGCGCCACTCGTTTTTATTGTTCATTTGTTTATTAAAAAAACATAAAAAGTTTCAACAATTCAAGTTGGTGCCATGAAGTTCCAAACACAATTATTTATGATTTAATAATTTATCTCATAAATAATAGAATAAATAAAGAAATATAATAAAATTGAGTTGTGTTATAATAGCAATTTGAGGTTAATGCGATAAATTAAACACATGTTTTGTCGCTTTGTTCCTTTCACAAAATATCAAAGATTTTTGTTGAAAACCAATTCAAAACGCAGCTGTTAATTATATTATGTCATAAAACGCACAATATAATAAAGAATAATTTCATAGATTCTCTAAAACAAAACAATAAAACATCATATTATTTCTGGCTTATATTTTGTAACATTACCTACAGTGTAATTAACTGACATTCTATTAATTCAAATCCAAAATATATTTTTCATTTCACTTTCAGTTTCTCACACAAATGATGTTTTATTATTATTGATACCAACAATTCCAGTGAACGACACAAGCTGCACGCACTTTACAACTGTTTCAATATTTATTTCAATTCCAGCAAACAATAAAAACATTTCGTGACGATGATTAAAACACACGAAAAACACAGTCGTACAAGTATTGCGTGTTTTTGAAGACGAAATTTGATGATGAGAACCAAATAACTGAAGATTCCCGTCGTGTTGTAGACTAATTAATGTTTATTTATCTAATCTCCTCATATTTCATGCTAGGAAATTATTTTATTGATAAATTATCAAAAATTATGTCATAACTATTGCTAGGAGAAAATTTAAGAGTGAAAATTGCAATTAATTTAAATCTGAATGAATTATAAAGTTATTGTGCTCTCAGCTTGCGTTAATCTGGGCTTAACCTCATTCCAGAGATTTAGCCTCTCAACATATATTTTTTGACGCTTCTGACATGTTTGATTTGTTGATTATTTAGCATTATATCAACAAGTAACATTTCTACACCTATAAGCTTATGTCTGATTGATTGTACTTTATTACAATTTGCTACAATTCTCCAGCTCATTTCTTCGGCCCATTGTATTCAAATAACACTTGGGACTGTAATCCGCTTAAACCTCTTAAACCTGAAATTATTTAAATATGAACCAGTGCTTTTGTATAGATAACGAGGTATCGCAATATTTATTTGTAACTTGTTGAGTTTTTGAGTTATTGACTCTGCAAATTCTCTACTTGTCAACTTAAGTAGTTGTAAAATAAGAAATTAATTAATTCGGACAGTTTTTAAAGGTTTTTTTTAAATTTATTTATTTTATCTGTGAAAAAGGTTTAAATTACTTTGAATATCAAAAACACATCAATGATTTGGCGCATCGGCACGGAATCGAATTTCGAAATGCCGAAAACGTGTCCACGAACGTATTTTCCTCTTAAACTAAAGACAAACTTAGTTAAAGTGAACGTTTGGGCATGAAACACGTTCACAGACGCTCTGTAAATGCATATTGAGTAATTAAACCGAAAAAATTTTACTATCCGTGAAATTATTAAGTCATAAATCATAATAGTAGGTAAATGACTACATTGCATGTTTAGAAGAATATTGGTAGTGAGTGTGACTTGCAAATTTATCGCATGCATTTTGATTATGTCGAAAGTTTCATAGGTTCAAAGATGTCATAGACAGAATTAAAATTTAATAAAATGTTGAGCGATGGCATATGTTGTTTAGTCATATACCTAATGATTTACAGGTTTTGTGTTGGGTTCGATGATCTTTTGAATTTGAATTGCTTTTGAAAATTTTATTGCCATTTTCGACAAAATTATAGGTTAACTTATTGCATATTAGGTTATTGTGGGTCATTAAACTAGGTACCAATATGACATACATTATTTAATAAAAATGAAATTATTCATATTGAAAAATGGATTTTTTTGCATGACGAATGTCTCCAAATGTCGCCATTCAAGATGAGAAATTATTAACTTGATGATAAGTCATACCAGTCCGAACGTGACGATCTCCAACATCAGAAACGCATAAAATCAATAATAAATTATAGTCACCCAGTCTCATAATCATAGATGTTGTCATATTGACTCTTGCAAAATGCATGTTCGCATGCAAATTTGTGCTAAATTCATTTGTGAATAACGCGATGAATTCATATCTCGAAAAGAAAACCAAAGGAAATGTGTTTAACCTGTTTTTATAATGTGAACTATTGTTTAATTTATATTAATGAGAGAAATGATATTTACGCATTATATAATCATGCTTTCCTGAAATTTATTTCGCTTTTCAAATTCAATTCGTTAGAGATAATGCCACATTCATGTTTGCAAAGTGTAGTAAAGATTCACTCAATCACATTCCAAATTCAATGCGAATTGTACTCGTATTTGCATTGCGAAGAATTCTGGAATTCAGATCGTATGCAAATCGTTACAAATTCCGAACATGACATTTCATGTTCGAAAGGATGCTAATAGAGAATACCTAATGAAAAATTGTAAAATTTATTCCTTTTTTTTCTTTTGTATCATCCGAATAATTTATTTTTTCAATTTTATAATTATCTAGGGTTTTATTATTCGAGTGTGACATTCAGGTGTAACTGCACGTCTTGGAAGACCACAACATAAATTCAAGGTTTACTACGCATTCCAACGTTAAATTGATTTATTTTGAGAAAAAATATATTTAAATGTATTTTTATGAAATAACTAAATAATTAAATTCTAAACTTTTTTAAAAAGTATAATTAAATTAAAATTAATAGCATTTATTTAATTAACTAATTACTTTGCCTTCGATGGTAAAATCTTAGAGTTAAAGCAAATCACATGTCAAAAAATAGAAAACTCAAACAAAACGTAAGTTGAAGAAAGTAAAAGTTTGGTTTGCCTAGGTTTTTATCACATTTGTCACATCTATACATTAGTTAAACTGAAAAACTTGCAGATTTCGATATTTCATCAGTGACCTTTTCGTAATTAATTCAAATTTAGGCTTTAATATACTTTTACTAATAAATAATTGATAGATTTGCAATTTAAAGTAGTCAAAACATCAAAAAAAGCTTAAAAACGTAAAAAGTTTACGTTCTTATTAAGACATCAAGTCTAATGACTAATGACTTTGTTTAAATGTTAAATATATTTAATTTACTTTTAAAAAACTTACCGGTGACTGTGCATTGCAGACTTGAAGTGCACAAAACGCAAGAACTACACCGATGCAAATCAGAAATTGATGTTTAAACACTGACAGTCTTAGAGTTTTACTTTCCATGATTTATATTTTAATTATCTTTTTAATTTTTGTAGCCTCTGCTAGTCCAACTTAAGAATTAGGTCTTTCAACAAGATTTTTTTTTATTTTGTTGATGAAATTCACAAGTTTTTAATCGCTTTTTTCGTAATTTCCCAAAAACATTGAGACTTTTGCCTGGCTCAAGTCCCGCATTTGCGCAATTTGCAAACTTTGTGCAACACACTTGGAAGTAGTTGTAGTTTGTAGAGATGTTGGAGTATTATCGCCGGTGTTATAGCTTATTTCCGTTGCGAAGAACTAAGAAGTTTCGTAAACTTGAAACGGGCGCTCGTCCACGAAGCGCGCTCGCGGCCAGAAGACGACTCCGCACCCACGCTGCTCTTCTCTTCGCTTCTTGCACGACGTAGCGAGGAGAGCTCTCTCAGCGACAGCAACAATGCATCGGAAGGCGGCGAATGACTGAACGCCCGACGCCGACCGTGCTGTTATTTCAAGCGTTCAAACGGTTTCAAAGCATTCGATTCGCGATCGCACTCTTGATCACCCTACCTACCTGCTGACTACCGACTGCAGCTGCTAGGAAAACACAAAGTGATACACGTAAAACAAACGGATTCACTAATAGTCAATTAATGAAATAGTTTTATCTCCTTTTGGGCTACCTACGATATAAATTTATATTTAATTGTTTGATATCGACTTTATTGTTACCGCAAAAGTTGGTAGAAGGTAATATGTAATATCTTCAGATCATAAACGGCTATGCGCCAATCAGTAGTGCGTGCGACTTGTGACAGACATTACTATAATCGGAGAGTAATATTTATTTATGAATCGACGCCACAACCGCGACCGTTTGCTCACTCAGCCAACACGAAGCGAGCCAAATTCGTCTGCAAAACCTGTCTTGGGCTCTTAAACCAAACAAGACAATGAACACATGTTTTCATTAATAAATTGCATAAATTCATACAATACAATGCAATCCAATGATAAAAAAATCTTCATTTTTAAATTTAACCTAAAATTAATCATATTTTTCATCCAACGCCATCTATTAATGAGAAATTTAATTTTTTTTCTTTACAATAACCTAGCATTAAGTTTGGTTACATTTTGGTTAATTATTAATTAATATTTAATACACTGTATGGTGGAATAGTAAACAAACACGTAACATTCGTATTTATAATTATAATTAGATACGTAATCGGATATTTGTCTCTAGTTTCAGGATGTAGACAATGTGGATGTTGATGAGTGTCGAGAGCGACCACACAGCATCATAAAAACAAATCAAAATGAGTCGAAGTGATTCACCTGTGTGCACACAGTTCATTATTCAAGCAAGGTAAGTTTCAAAACTACCCACATTACAAACATTTTGCGGTTTTGACATCAGTAGGATCTGTTTTTGTGTTTTTCCAGAATATACGCAAAAATTTCCCAATAAAATTCTCGAATTTGCTGCTTTTAAGAATAGTTAGTGATTAATTTAGCAATTATTCAATGATTAAACGTTTAATTTGTGTAATCGTCCTTCCAGAGACAAACGAATAATTAAGAAATTGTTTTTCGAATGGATGTTTTCGATGTATCACAATGCATAATTCGACATTCGAGGATGTCTCTTGTTTGAAGTCATCGACGGATCGCTATGCGGTTCACATGATTGTACTTGGCGTCGCGTTGATGATATAATTGGCGATAATTGCATAAGGTGTTCATTATTCGTTGCGCTGCGACTTCCTATAAATTCGTCTCGCGTTCGAGCAGAGACACCGGTTCGACGTGAATCGAACATGAGATTAACAAGGATATTCATGTATACATGTTTAATTCATTATTAATCTCTTGAAAAACTATGAGAAATTGACAAGAATTACAATTATTAACCCTTAACAGGCTACACGGGAGTTTTAGTCACGAGATTAATAATGGGCGAGCCTGGTGAGCGCCGTAGGCCACTGCGCAGGCGCAAGCTCCACCCCGTGTCTAAAACCTGTGACTAAAGAACTTTAGCCACCGTCTTGCCAGCCCAAATTAAAAATACCACTTTTTGTGTCTCAAATCTTGGAAAAACAAGGGTGGAATCGGAAAATATTATTTATATAATATCTAATTGTTTATATTTTATGGGTATTCTAGGGTTAATAATGAAGAAGTTGTTGATGACGATGGCGTTTGGCTGTGCACAGCGTGGCAGCATAATTGACTTGTAATGATCCGTTCGTCCCGTCCCGAACGGCGCGATACGATCATTGTGCAATCAATCAAATTGTAAACAACTAAACAACAGCAAACTGCTCAAGTGGTAAAGTGCGCAACGTTTTATGTCGACTGGAGATTATACACTTGATGCGGAGATGGATTTATTGTTTTGCTAACGTTGTTTGTTTGCAGTTTACCGCGACGCTTTTCGTGTTTAGATTGCTTCAATAATAGCTTCAATGATTCGTCAAATTGCTCATCAATTTAATCTTGCCTCAACATTTTAAATCAATCAAAACTAGTAAACTATGACTTAAATTCAAATTATTATCATTTGATACTTGTACCGCAAGTCAAACGTTGACATCGATAATAAAATCAAATAAAATAAAGTCTTCTATGAATAATATATCAATATAAATGTAAATAATGTCAATTTATCACATTATAATACGCTGGTGTTCGGATTGACGGTTGAAATAGTTACCGCAACGATGCATGTAATACGGTTGTAAACGTTGTTAGCAACGCGACGCGAGCAGAGCGAAGCGAGAGAAGATTAACATGAGAAAAGCGACGGTAGGTGTTGCGGCATAATGTGTAATGAATGTAAAGATTCCACATTGTAGCATGATGTGAGTGTAAACAATGTGTAACACTAACACCACATGTAAAATTTCATTTGGTTTTATTCCATCATTCCAGCAAGTAAAGTAAAAGAAGTAGTTGAGAAAAAGTTGATATTACCAAATAACACACATACCTAGTACTTCTTAAGAAAACACCTGTGATGGTTTTAATTCAAGTTTAATTAATTGCGTGGTTAATAATTATAATTTTTATATATGTTTGAGTTGCTGTATAAGTACTGAACGTCATTTGTTTCTAAATGAAATTAAAATTTGAAATTTAATTTATAATTTATTACCGAAGAAAACAATATATTCTAGTAATTAAAATCAAGGAAGTAAACTTTTCATCAAAGTACAAAACCGCAGTCGTAAATTCTTTATTTATTTATACATGGACAATACTAGTTCATAAACATATTTATCGTGATCCCCAAGAGCAAAAGAAAAGAAAAGTAAAAAGTACAACAGAACAATTTAAGACAGCATAATAAATAATTGCAATATTACGAGAACGTCAATATTTTAATATTAATTTATTTTTTCTTGTAATGATTTTTGTTTGCTTTTGAATCAATTATTTCATCCCAGCCGTTTTGTATAGTGATTTAATTTAGCTTGTCATGTTTCGAAATGTGAAACAGTAATCTATTAAAAGTCCATGTTGCTCAAGCACATTAAAAGCATCAACAAATTTTGTAACACCCAAATTCCATCCATTGTTCACGCTCAATGGTAAAGATTTCTCGCCAATTGCCATTAATCACTCTAGAGTAGTTAATATTTAAAACGTTGAAAATCGGTTATACCTGTGGTGCGTGAATGTTTAAACCTACATTTCACACCAACGGATTTGTTACACACATTCTATAATAACATAGGACATCCTATGTTCGATTCCAATACTCCAACATTGGCAATTTATTCTTTTTAACTAGATGATGATTATTTATTTAGTATTCTTTGATATTAATTTACAATGCTTAGTTTTGGTTTCTTTGAGGAATAATAATAACATAGGACGTCTTATGTTCGATTCCAAAAGTCCCACATTGGCTTTAATTTTATTCATAAATAATAATTATTTACTTATTATTTCTTGATATTTATTTACATTGTTTAGTTTTTATCTTTTTGAGTTATAATAAATAACATTTGACATCCTATGCTCGATTCCATTTCTCCAACATTGGCAATTTATTTTTTTAACTAAATGATAATTATTTACTTATTGTTTCTTGTTATTCATTTACAACGTTTAGTTTTGGTCTCTTTGGGTCATTATACCAATGATTGTGTGCATATTGCATAATATATGTGGAACGTAAATTCCTTCCTTCGACTTTTGTAGCCAAACAGCATTGAAGTTACCATTTGCAGCACTTTGGCGATAGCAAAATGTGCGTCTAGTCACATCGCGAGTCGCGCCGTGCGTTACATAAAAACGTGTGTCCTTTGTGCTCCTCTCGCTTTACCTTTTCTACAATTCCACAAATCTATACGAACCGAATTTCCATCGTTAACAGCTGACTTGTGACTGCATAGTTTACTTTTCCACACATTTCTACACGTAATCTCGAAATCAAAAATGGGCATTTTTTTGCTCTCGTTTCGATGATAGATATACTCGTAGAAACGAAGATGCGTTCAAACAACTTTTCTCGATTTCCAATTAACTACGTTTAAGAATTTAACATGCCTAGGTTCCTCGTCAGTTAATTAAACTTGTTTCAACTCGAAGACATAACCTTAAGATACAAAAATGTTTGTAACCAATCATACAATACTTATAAACGTTTTTTTTTTGTGTATTATTAGGTCGCGAGAGTAAATTCGCAATTCAAATTGAATAAATGCGAAATAAGGGTCAGCAGGGTCAACGAAGTCGACAGCGCAGATCACACTCGTTGCACAATCCGCATATATGTAAGTACGAGTACATTCCGCATTTCTTCATTTTGTGTATTTAGTAGGTACACATTCAATACAAATACGAAGTGTTACAGTAATTTATTATTATACAACTCTCATTGCAAATACTCTTTTGTTTTTATCCTTAGCAAATTACGAAATTCTTCAAAATACTAATTTTATATACCCATGCATAAAATGACTTGTTAATGTTGGTTAATGTTATTAATGTCCATGTTTTGTTTCGGGTTAAACAACGCGTTTTTTTTTTCGAAACGTGCAAATTTCAAGCCTTTGTAGAGGTTATGTAAACCACCGCGCGTCAAGTAAGATCGCTTTAATTTGATTGATCTCATGCGCCGGAGTGGGTGGCTTCGTGTCGACTGTCGACCGTGCTGTTAATTTCGAAGAAAAGAAGACGCGGATCGAGGAATCTTTTCTTGCAGCGCCGCGTGTGTGCATAACGCGTGAACTCTGAACTCGTCAAACCGAATCAAAGGATCAGCGAATTTCTGTGCGCCCGCAAGCACTTTTACTTCTTTCTTTACGTCTCGTTTGGGTTTTTGTCTGATCGTGTCTGTTAACTAAAACACTCTATACCCCGCGTCACAAATAACAAAAGAATTAAAACATGGTTAGGTTGTAGTTATCATGTCAATTAGGTTGCCTATAACATAAAATTTTAAAACAAAAGTTGTATTTATTTATTTTATTTCTTTAAATATTATTTTAACATCCCGTTTTTAATGTGCCAATTTTAATCTGTCAGTAGTTTCTGTTGTATTCGCCGTGGCGCTATCGAGATGTCGACGTAATGAAACGTAACACGTTTTTAATTCATAGTGTTACGAAATGCGCGAACAAAACGTATCGAAAAATCAGCGTCGTCGAAGATAGAAGAAGGAAGAAACGAGGATGAACCATTTGATGAGTGTTTTTAGTTGGACTACTCGATGAGCATGGTAATTTCGTGTTTGATCAAATGTTATACACGCAAGGAAATTAAGCTATTACTGTGGTGAGTACCTACATTTAATTCTGCATGTGATGAATAAATTGTTGAAATTGTATGCAAATTAAATGAATATATTTACACAGAGAATGTAATCGAGACTTTTTTTTTAACATTTCATGGATTTTTACTTAAATTTTGTTTGATTCATTGTTATTACGTGAAGATTAGATATATTTTAATTCAAGAGGTTATACATTCTCTTCTTTTTTAAGAAAATTACACAAATTTGGTTTAAAATTAGGTTAATAATTAGGGGGAAGTCCCCTAGTGGCGGACACCTAAGGTTATTTATAAATAAATCAAAAAATATTTGAAGAAATGTTAATTAAATTATGACATATAGTAGATAACAAAGTTAGAAATCAAATTAAAATAACAAAAATGCAACCTCTGTTATAAAATAATTAATACTATCGATCAAACTTTGGTAATAAAAAGTATAGTTTTAAAAAGTGGCACCTAGTACCGGACACATATTTGTGCCATACCCCTCTCACCGGACATTTCAAATATGTCATATGGTTAGGTAGGCTACCTTGTGTGGTATTATTTATGGGGCGGTGGGGGGTGGGGTGATAGAATTTAACGATTTAATCAACGGATTTAACACACTGACTAGAAGCAGCCCGTGAATGCATACATCCACTAGCTAATGTGTTCATTTCAGTTACAATGAATACTTTAACTACGAATTTTAGCGAATGTATGCATTGACTAGTAAATGTATACATTTACTAATTGTATGCATTGACTGCAACATAGCCATCTCCTCACTCTCTCTCTCTCACAAGAAATATCAATATGTTTACTGTCCGGCGCTAAGGGACAACTTAGTGTCCGGTGCTAAGGGACAGACATTTTCGTTCATTTGGTGGTACCTACTAAAATTGTTTAAAAAATCTAATAATATTCTACCATTTTACGGATAACAATCAAGTACTACTTGTATCTTTGAATGCCACTCAAATGTAAATGCATAAATATACTAGAATTACTTACATTGATATTTAGGTGACGTCGTGATTTTGCGCCTGAAACAGCAAACGGCTGCTCCCGCCGTGGCCGTGTGCGTTACTGGCGAGCCACGACGAGTGATCCTGTACCTGTGTGCCCCCCGCGCCCCTTTCACTTGTTTTTTGAAATGAAAAGATTTAAACTAGCTTAAATAGTACGAGTGTCCGGTGCTAGGTGCCGTCCGGCGTTACGGGACTTCCCCCTATATATAATCTGTGATTACTTAGGTGTTTTGTAAAGAGTAATTTTCTGAATATTTATGTTCAATTTTATGCATAAATGTTGTAAATACTTTATATTTATTGTTATATGCATATCGAAATAGTTAATGTTATTAATGTCCATGTTTTGTTTGGGTTAAACAACGTTTTTTTTTCGAAACGTGCAAATTTCAAGTCTTTTTTAACATTTCATGGATTTTTAGTTAAATTTTGTTTGATTCATTGTTATTACGTGAAGATTAGATATATTTTAATTCAAGAGGTTGTACATTCTCCTTTTTTTCTAGAAAATTACTCAAATTTGAGTTTAAAATTAGGTTAAAAATTATATATTATCTGTGATTACTTAGGTGTTTTGTAAAGAGTAATTTTCTGAATATTTATGTTCATTTTTTTGCATAAATGTTGTAAATACTTTATAGTTATTGTTATATGCATATCGAAATAGTTAATTTGAAATGTTTTTCCTTTGAGTGACGGTGGTCAGTCCATAAATCACGCTCATTATAATAATTTCGACCGTGTCGAAAGTTCAAAGCGGTTCGCTTCGAATATTCGCGTCAAAATTTGCTAAATGCCATTCTACTAAATTGCTTATAGTTATAATTTTAACGCCACACACGACTTGATTGATTTGTGAATCTTACTGGTGACATTCGATTGAAATAATCTGCCTAAATACCAATTCAACCTAAAAACTTTAAATGGCCAGTACGAAAGAATTCGTTGTGTAATACGCCGACATCTTTGTTCTTGATTCGAAACATATTTAGCAAAGCTTATTAACGGACTAATAAAATTCGGAATTTATTCAATGAAATTAATAATTTCTTTAAATTAACAAGCAATAAATTATTAATTGATGAAATGTGTTGTGATGTACAGAAGTTACCACTGATTAGGATTTGATGGACGCCACACGAAGAAATCATTACAACATCTTTGATTTTAATTAGTCGTGGCTGTCAGACACTTATTTGTAGAAGTAACATGGTAAGTTGAATTGTCGACTATAATTAAACGCGAATATCAAATGTTTTCTTTATTTGTCTGCAAATGTAAAAATATTATTTGTTTTCCATTTGTTTTGAGTAATAAATAACCTAACTTATGTTGTTTATGATCATCCTAACCATGGTTAACTTCAACTTTCTTGCTGTTTAGCACATAATGTGTTATGGTATTTCATGTTCTGTTGGCGCGGCGGCGCTGGGAAGAAGAAGAGTCGCGATGAAATCCTTGACATTTTTTAGTCGCTCTCGATCTCGACGCTCGTGCTCGTGCCGCGTTCTTCTTCTGTTTTGCGCACTCGGATCACATACTGAATATCATATCATCGAGAACATAAAGTACATAACATCTCAGTTGGTATCTACAGGGTGTTGAAATGGTTTTAAATGAATAAACGGTTTTCATCTTCAACAACTGTCAATAGAATATAATACATAACCTCAATTGACCACATTTATTAAGGTTATTGTAATTAATAAATATTAAAACTAACAAAACAGTTGTTGTGGTCTTTATCAATATTTTGACTCATTCAATGACTTATTTCCGATAGTCATCTATTGATCCATTCTTGTATTTTGTATGTATGTATTGAATTGTTGTGAATTTACTGTTGAAGTGTACTTTCGGTTTCGTCGAAGGAGAACGCACACAATCGTGACATTGTAATTTAATAAGTATTAATAACATAACATATGTTATGTTAATTTATGTTATTATTTTGTGCATTTATTATTTAGGTATTTGAGCAAAAAATGAGCTCAAACAATACAAATCAATGAACTTGAAGGATGCTCAAGATGCTCTCGACGTGTTTTCATTGAAATGTCGAAACGTTCTAACGTTCTAATCAAAATAATAACATGCATTTGACGGTTTCATACTCACATGAGATTTTGAGAATGTAATTTGATATTTAATTCTATAATTTTATAGAAATTATTTAAATTAAACTCATTTTTAAGGCATTTGTTGCAGTATTTTACAACATCCTGTGTAAAATATAAAATATTTAATAAATTTAATATTTTAAAATATGATTTGGACATTTGGTTGTGTCCACCAAAAAGAAAAGTGAACCAAAATCAAAAACCTAAAAAGTATTCACAAGGTCGTCGATTTCGATCGTCTCGGTGATTTTATTTTACTTTTTATTTTATTATATTTTGCTCCATAATATTTTTAATATTCGTCATGCTTAAATCTTTAATAAGTTAAACGTCCATTCATTAAACTTTGCATGTAGGCAATAATTACACTCACTGGGTAATTTAAATATAATTTTTGCGTGGTGTTTCAATCAAGATGCCATTTTATTTGCATATAAATCAGAGTTTAAGATCAAGATTAATTGTTTTGCATTCAATCGCACTTTGCCTCTTGATTTGTGATTTCTTCATCGTCTTATTGATTCAAATCGTGTTTTGATCTTTGAATGTTTTATCTTCATTAGCCATGTTGCGAATAATTGAAAATATTTATATAAATAATATTATTTCGCATATTATAATACAATAATTAAATAATATTTTGTTTCAGGGATTCATCTCCAAGCACCGAACGTGATTACCAATATAATTACATTTTTAAAACAATCACAGATAAATAAAATCATTCGTTGACCTAATTTATTTTGTATTGTGTGTCACATGGCATTGTCTTCTTGTGCATTTTCATTTAGATGTACCTATAAATATTTCATCGTTATGTTAACAAACTGCGCCGGTGTTGTTTCATCTCTTGAACAATAAACGCATAAACAATAACCGATTAAAACTAAATCGGTTTCTTCTTTTGTTCCCATCGACCACAATTTATCCTGTACTTCTGCAAAAAATAAACCAACGCACAAATTAAAGTTCAGACAGAGACTAAAACTCGATGGTAATGAAAATCGTGGAATTTTCTTCTTTGTTTTGACATAGCAACTTGTTAATTGCTTTCATAGTGCGCAATTCTGTAGTTCTATTACTGCCATTGGTTATATTTTGCAATTTGCTTTGTTGTACCGTGTAATTTTGACCATAAGTGCGCTAACTTATGACATACAAGCAATCCAATCAGATGAAACATTAACCTCGTGGAAAATATATAAAAAAGCAACGTTGCATTGCTAGAATTGTCGCAAGGTCTGCATAAATTAAAACACTATTGAATTATTGGTAATTATTGCATTTTTTGCATTTAAAAATGGACATTTCTTGAGGATTTCACGTTAGTCGTCTTTATTTAGGTATTAATTGATTGGATATAAACCATGAGAACATTTTTTTTTACTTCTAGGTAGAAAGTGTCAGAGATTAATTAATTTCCTTGGTAAATACAGTTGTCATTTGTGAATTTTTAGACAATGACATTGATTGAAATCAAATTAGTTTATAAGTGAATCAGTAGCAATTTAATCATTAAATTCATGGTAATATGAGTGATGTCGTTTGCTCACCGATCACTCCCGACCAAGAAACAAAACAATTCCAAGTTTCGTTTCATATCCCCAAGCAAAACGTTCGCTCCCCGAGAAAACGGCTTGTTAGACCCGAAACTCCAACGACATTTCCATGCCTTTAGGGACTACCTTCAAACCGCGGTCAAAGATTTTAACCAACGTTGGAGTCGTGATGATCTGCGTTACGATGTAACCCTTGACGATTATGAACTGATTCGTACTCTTGGGGTTGGTGGTTTTGGGAAGGTAATGCTTGCCGTTCAAAATGGCCGCAGTTCCGAGGAATATTATGCGATTAAAATTATGGATAAGCAACACATCATCAAGTACAAACAGCTTGATCATGTTGTGCAGGAGCTGAGGATTCTGGACGCTGTCAATTTTAAGTTTTTGGTTAATCTGGTAAACTACTTCAAGAACAATTGTTATTTGTTTTGTGTGATGCCTTTGATTCCTGGCGGTGAGATGTTTAACTTACTGTCGAAGGAGGGCAAGTTTGAAGAATGCAATGGGAAGATATATGCCGCACAAGTTATACTGGCTTTTGAGTATTTACATGCAAACGGCGTGATTTATCGGGATTTAAAACCGGAGAATATTTTGATTGATGCTGAAGGGTTTTTGAAGATTACGGACTTTGGATTTTGTAAGAAGATCGATGACAAACGCACATGGACGTTGTGTGGTATGTAGTAGTGTGTATTTTCTATTTTTAGTAGTTTTGTTTGGATGTGGTAGTTAGAAATCCTTTGCCACTTGTGTGAAATCCTCACCTTTATAATTCTTTAGAGGTATCCCAAAATGCCCACCAAAAAGGGTTTTTTTCTCAAATTTTTAAAACTTGGTAGAAAACGTACCCTACCCTTATGAAAATGGTTTATAATTCAGGATTTTTAAGTAGTTTCCAACGGACCAGAAGATAGTTAACTTTTTGTGCATTCATTTCACCTCTAGAACCCGTAATAAGTGCCCAGTGATGTTCATTATTGGCATTTTTATGAATTTTTAATCTTTAAGGTAGAAAAGACTCTATATCTTCTGAAATAAATCAGTAATTTACAGTTTTTTATTGTTATAAAACAGATTTAGAGATAGTTACAACGTGCTTACACTTTTCACTCTCCAAACACTCAGGGAATGCCCTAAAATGCCTATTAAAAATCAGTGTTTTCTCGTATTTTTAAGTTTAGTCGAATTATGCTATTTCTTAAAATATTTTCTCTCAAACAACGGAGTCGGACTTTTTTTAACTTTTGTGGTACAATATTTTTGCTCAAACAACAGGGTCGAACTTTTTTATGTAAAATATTTTTGCTCGAACAACAGGGTCGAACTTTTTTAGTAAAAATATTTTTGCTCGAGGAACAGGGTCGAACTTTTTTTGTTAAAATATTTTTGCTCGAACAACAGGGTCGAACTTTTTTATGTAAAATATTTTTGCTCGAACAACAGGGACGAACTTTTTTTGTTAAAATATTTTTGCTCGAACAACAGGGTCGAATTTTTTTTTGTTAAAATATTTTTGCTCGAACAACAGGGTCGAACTTTTTTATGTAAAATATTTTTGCTCGAACAACAGGGTCGAACTTTTTTAGTTAAAATATTTTTGCTCGAACAACAGGGTTGAACTTTTTTACAAAAAATATTTTTGCTCGAAGAACAAGGTCGTACTTTTTTTGTTAAAATATTTTTGCTCGAACAACAGGATCGAACTTTTTTAGTAAAAATATTTTTGTTCGAACAACAGGGTCGAACTTTTTTACAAAAAATATTTTTGCTCGAAGAACAGGGTCGAACTTTTTTTGTTAAAATATTTTTGCTCGAACAACAGGGTCGAACTTTTTTACAAATAATATTTTTGCTCGAACAACAGGGTCGAACTTTTTTGTTAAAATATTTTTGCTCGAACAACAGGGTCGAACTTTTTTATGTAAAATATTTTTGCTCGAACAACAGGGACGAACTTTTTTAGTGAAAATATTTTTGCTCGAACAACAGGGTCAAACTTTTTTTGTTAAAATATTTTTGCTCGAACAACAGGGTCGAACTTTTTTTTGTTAAAATATTTTTGCTCGAACAACAGGGTCGAACTTTTTTGTTAAAATATTTTCGCTTTTAATAATTCCTATTTTTATAGAACCTACATTTCCTAAAAGTAATGATTTCGTCATAAAAAAGCAAATAATGATGCGTAGGTAGACTGTCAGCGGTGGTGAAGGACTTGGGTAATGGTAGTCTGGTGAGGGTGTCGCTGTTCTGGGAGGCGAGCTGGCTCGTAATGTGTGGTTGCTTGGCCAGGTCGGAAGCACGAGTGTCGTTGTTGGTTGCCGTTTGTCATGAGGACAGCTCCCTAGGATCCTAGCACTCTAGGATCTCTAGTTGAGCGTCCTTAGCGCGGTCTAGTCGGCGGTGCTCGTAGCCGATTCGCCGCTAGAGGGCGCCGGAGCCAAGGGTGGCTTCAATAATTTAAGTTTTTTATGTTGAAAATTAAAAATAGGAATTTTTGAATTCTGATTTTTGATTCTTATAGATTGTTTAATTCTACATCAATTATTTAAGTATAATTTTCTTCTATCAATGACAGTTTAGGCACTATCTGCAATTTTAATGGAAATAGTTTTCCTCAGAATTTAACAGTAAAATGGTGATTATTATCAAAACTATTAATCTTAGAAAGAAAATGTGCTTAAATAATTGATTTTGAATCACGTTTTCTATGAACTAGCGTTATAAAAATTACAAATTTTCATTTTTTATATTTTCCTTAAGAAACCTCTGCGTGATTTAAAAATACAGTTTTTCAGCATTTTCTCAAAGACTATTAGACTTAAAGAAAAACGGTTTTCAGATACGGATTCTGGGTATAATCTTACATCATATGACACTTTAAAAAATTAAGATTTCCACATTTACGTAATAATTAAAAATTGTCCATAACTCAAAAACTAATTAAGATATTGCAACAAATTTAACACTAATGGATTCCTTGCATCATTCTAAACCATGTTACAAATTTTCGTGAAAATCTGAGCTGTGGATCAATTTTGTCAGTTTCAATTTTCACCAGTTATTTTCGAAATAATCGTGATATCGGAAAACTGATTACATATTCTTCATCCCATTGAGATTCTCTATCGCTTGGCGTTTTCCATTTTTTGCTAGCTTGAAAAATAATTTTTGGACCAAAAAGTAGTCAAGAGGTTACACTTGACTACTTTTTGGTGATTTTCGTCAACTTCAGAAAATGGAAAAACAAAATCTGCCATTTTGTAGACTCGTATTAGGGCATGAAAAAAATGCAAAAAGTTTTGGAATAACTTTTATAGTTTCTGAGGAAATCGCGTCGGAAAATTCATTTTTTCATGATAAAAATGAAAACTTTAAAGTCTTATCTTATGTAGAATTTAATTTTGAACTTAATACCGTTTACGGTTTTTCTCTATCTTTATTAGTTCTTGAGATAATTGATAATTAAGTGTTACTCCAAGTACAAGTTTTATTAAAAGGTCGCTGCAGGGCACATTATTAGTACTACTAATTGTTAGGTTGTTTTAATAAAGTAATTAAACGTTTCTTTACACAATGGCATTATTTTTAATAATTATTTAAAACTGTGACTTTATTAGTTAAAAACTAAAATTAAGATTTTTAAATTGATTATAGATGATAACAACAGATTAAAATGTGCATCTTTTATCCTAATATATTTTTTTTATATTCGTCTTAGCTTTCGAATTATTAACGTTTTAAAGTTTACATTTCGCACATCTTAGTAACCACATTTGAGTTTACTTTTAATTCGCACTATAGCAGGATGGTGTAAATTTTATTTTTAGAGCGAAAATATTTTAAGAAATAGTGCGACCCTGTTATTCGACCAAAAATATTTTAACAAAAAGTCCAGCCCTGTTGTTCGAGCAATAATATTTTAACTAAAAAAGTCCGGCCCTGTTGTTCGAGCAAAAATATTTTAACTAAAAAGTTCGACCCTGTTGTTCGAGCAAAAATATTTTAACAAAAATGTTAGACTCTGTTATTCGACCAAAAATAATTTTTAAAAATAGAAATTAAGTGTGAAAAATAAAAATAAAAGGAAATTATAAGGGTTATAAAGGGTCTCTTAGACTATAACATGACAATAAAAAGCCCTAAGTTGGTCTAAGGTTATAACAATATTCAGCACATTTTGATGAGCATATTAGGGCACGTCCCATGGGTTCCAAGAGAGGAAAAGAATACGCCTAATTTATAGGGCCAAAGTTAGGGCCAATTGGGATTAAATCTTATTTTATAGGGACACCTGAATATCTCGCACCGGAAGTAATATTATCACAAGGCTACAACTTCTCCGTCGACTGGTGGACGCTGGGTATCCTAATCTTCGAGATGACGGCTGGTCATCCCCCATTCTATGCTGCGGATCCAATGAGCCTCTATGGCCTAATCGTAAACGGAAAATATCGCATGCCAGAAAAATTCAGCCGGCCATTACAGCATCTCACGCAGAACCTGATTCAAACAGATAGGGATAAAAGGTAAAACAAAGCATAATACTGCCCTTAATAAAGTGTACACCCTAGGATGTTGGTTGCAGGTTTGGTGTGTTAAAAAATGGCGTCAAAGACATAAAAACCCACGAGTGGTTTCGGGATGTCGACTGGCAAATGATTATGTTGCGTCGTATTCGACCTGCGCACATCCCTGTCATTGACAACCCTCGGAAAAACGGAAACTTCGAGATCTATAAAGAGGAGCCGCTGCGCACTAACGAGGTGGAAGAATACGCCAAAGAATTCCGTACCATAACTCTGCATTCCAATATACCCGCGCCCGCCCCTCGGCGCCATGATGATAATCACAAACATGCACGCTGAATTAAGTATTACAACAGTGAAATTGAAAATTAAATATATTTATCAACCATCATCCATACAATGATCATCGCCACATTTTTCTCATACACAAAGTCAGCGTGAAATGTAAAATTATACTAAATGTAGTACGCGCTCTACATGACAATCAAATTCGCTTCCAGCGACACATCATAGACATAAGTTTCAAGTATTTCGTACACGTACACCTAATACTAATAGTAAATCATCAGTAAGAAATTAAACAATGCTTAATACGACAAAATAAATCATTTTATATACAAATGACCCGCTCCTCATGCTCGGAGGTGGTCCCTTCAATCGTCATCATCGTCATCGTCGTCCGAAATATACTTCTTTGTGGCGCGTTTGCGACGTCCAGATGGTGTCTTTTTATTCTTCAACTTGAACTTCATCTTTGTCGATAGCTCTTCATCATCTTCCTCATCTTCTCCTGAATCCACCTCCGTCTCGAGACGTTGCTTGGCTTTGGTGAAGACCGACTGCAAGACGATGCTGTCTTCGTGTATCAAAGAAGCTTCCTCGTTGTAGATCTGAGCATTCTGGCAGAGGAGCATGAAGTCACGTTCTAGATCAGCCATGTCTGTATACTGAAATGTTTTAAAGATTACAAGATTAGCTTGTTTTTAATATTTGTAATTTTAGTTTATTTTTTACCTTGCCATCATTTATCCTATTGACAATTTTGGTCATATCAATAGGTTTCTTGATAATTTCATAATAGTCGGGGTAATCCTTACGAGGTGGAATCTTCATGAAAGGTTCACTCAACAGACGCCCATCACTATCAGTGTATTTCATTACGATATTCATGAGCTTCTTCATTTGTCTCTTCAACTTTGGATCAATGCCATTGTTCTGTCCCCGTCTTTTCTTGGCAACGCTTGTGCAAGCTTCATCGTCGGAATCGTCATCACCACGACGCCGCCTCTTCCTGCCCTTCTTCTTACGCAATTTCTCTTCCTCCTCCTCCTCTTCCTCATAATCTCCACCTTCATCAATCGCCTTCAACCATTCTTTCTCAGTCAAACTGTCAGTGTAATCCACTTCCTTGCGTTGCCTCGTGCCTCGTCCCAAAACACTCTCTTCTTCATTATCATAGTCCCATCTTCCTACTTCTTCATCATCCTTTGTTAACCAGTCAGGCAATTCGCTCTCTTCCATCAGCCGCGCTTTACGGTCAGGTCCCTTAGCTGCCTCCTCACGCCTTCGTTCAATATCCATCTTCTGGAATATCTCAAACTCAGCCTCTGTTCGCGCGACCATTTGATTAACAGTCTCATCGTCCGGAACTTCATTCTCTTCCTCTTCATCATCGCCATCTTGATGCAAAATGCTCTGCAAGAACTGTTGTCGTTCGGAACCAGTTGACTTCTGATCGAACATACCAGCTTGAATGACTTTCTCATCCATGTTCAGCTTATAACGCGCCGCAGCCAATATTCTCTCTTCTACAGAGTTCACAGTCATGAGACGCAACACTCGTACCTCGTTTTGTTGACCGATACGATGCGCACGATCCTGCGCCTGTAAATCTTGATGCGGATTCCAATCACTGTCGAAGATGATGACAGTATCTGCAGACTGCAAATTCAAACCTAAACCACCAGCTCGAGTGGACAACAAAAAGAGGAAATAGTCGCTGTTTTTGTTATTGAACTTTCTCAAAAGTTCACCTCTGTCCTCCGCCTTGGTAGTACCATCCAAACGTAAATAGCTAAATGCACGTAAATTGAGATAATCCTCCATGATAGTCATGAGCTGCGTCATTTGACAGAAAAGCAATACCCTGTGCCCAGTGGCTTTCAACTTTGGCAAAATCCTATCCAATAGCTCAAACTTACCGGACGCACGGTACACGTCCGGCCCGGAAATAACCCCACCGGCCATTCCAATATGATCGCAATACTTCTCTTCAATATTTTGGAACATGAAGGGATGATTGCAAAGCTTTCGCAGTTGCACGATTGTGTTCATCAACGCCTTCGCTCCACCTCTACCCTTACTACCTTTCTCGGATCCATCAGTAAGCAAAACACCTTTGCTCTGCATGTGTTTATACAACACGCGCTGCAGACCTGACATGTCGCACTTGACAATATACTCTACTTTGTCGGGCAGCTGACTCTCTACTTCCTTCTTCAAACGCCGCAACAAGAAAGGACGCAATACTTTATGCAGACGACGAATAATCAAAATAGTTTCTTCCTCGTTCAACTCCACCTTCTCACCGGTGGTAGCAAATGGCGCATTGAACCACTGCTCGAAAGTAGAACAAGACTTGAAGATGGATGGCAACAAAAAGTTTAAAAGCGCCCATAACTCCGGCAGTTTATTCTGCAGCGGGGTACCAGTAAGTAGCAATCTATGCGGAGCCAAATAATGTGTGTTCAACACCTGCGTCAACTTACAATGATGATTCTTCATACGATGGCCCTCATCGATGATCATGTACTTCCATGGCAACTTTGCCAAAACACCCTTATCCTTAATGACATACTCATAAGTAGTCAAGAGGACATTAAACTTCGTAGAACGCATTTGTGACTGAATCGTCCTTCGCAAAGCAGGGGAACCTTTATAGGATACAACAAACACGGAGGGTGACCACTTTTCAAACTCAAGCACCCAATTCGACAAAGTTGACAGAGGTACAATAATCAAAAATGGCCCATTCAGTTTCTTCTTCTCCATAAGATGAGTAATCAACGCAATTGTTTGAATTGTCTTACCGAGACCCATCTCATCGGCGAGAATACCGTTCAAGTTGTTGTTGTATAGTGACACTAACCACTCCAAACCCTTGATTTGGTATTCCTTGAGGTTGCCGTTGACCATGATGCTTGCTTGTTCTGTGACAATCTCGTGTACGGTATGAGCAATACTGTAGTATGTTTGCTCCTCGCTAGACTCCTTATGGTATTCATCATCCTCCACCTTGGCAGGCTTCATAAGGGCCTTATCCTTGTCGTCTTCGTTCTTTTCAGCTCCCTTTGAATCGGCCTGTTCGTCATCGTCTTCATCATCATCGCTTTCTTCGACAACCTCCCATCCGGGATGTAACTCGAGCCAGTGTTGCAGTTGGCTGAGCATAGGGGCCTCTTCACCTTTAAGTGTCTTACCCGTGGCGGTTTCAATAACTGTAACCGGCTTATCAGATCCTTGTGATCCTTCATCGTCAATCTCAACGCCATCTGCCCCAATACGCTTCTTCTTCTTGCGTTTCTGCTCTTCCTGTTGCTTGCGCCGCTGTTCTACCTTATGCTGCTTAACCATCTCCGTAAGATTCGAGATATATTCATCTGTCTGTGACAAGAGGAAAGCAAGACGCTTGTCTTTCTTTTGATCAATGAGCTTCCTGTAACCCTCCTCGTCCTCAGCCATCAGACGACGCATACGCTCCTTTTCAATACGCTCCTGCTCCTTCTTTTGTTCGCGTTCCGCATTCGCATGGTAATTCATAACAGCCTTATTGAGTCGAGCAAGTTTCGCTTGATTATTACGATGGAAATCTTTAAAGTCCTTGCCATGTTGCAGCACCGAACCCAAGAATTCTTGATGTTTCTGACGACGTTTACGCTCGGCTTCGAGCTTCTGTTGCTTTTCCAACTTCTCTGTCGCACGTGCTTCGCGTAATCCTTGTCGTTTGGTACGTTTATATGCCTTAACATTAACGGGTGTCTCTAGAGTAGTATCCTTCCTCGTGCATGCAATAATTTCGCTTCGTAATTGGCGCTGAAAGTTGAGGCAACGCAATGCGCGCAATTCAATCTGAGCCTGAATGCGCAAATCGTCCGGCATATTGGTCGGCAGACTATTCAACTGTTGCATGCGTGCTTGAATTCGCGCAGCGACACGATTTTCACGCTCTTGCAGGATAACAATCGGGTCAATACCGACTGGTTTCGGCAGGGTAGTAACGCGGTTTTGTTTTCCTTGCGGTGCCTGTTGTTGTTGGGGTTGCGTAGGTTGCGTGGATGGTTGACTTGTGGGAGGCTGCGCGTTTTGCCCGGCTGGGGTTTGCGGTTGATTAGCCTGTGGACCACCAGGGCGTACACCAGTTGGTCCAGTAGGAGGCGTGGGCTGGGGAGTAGGCGGTTTCTGCAGAATAGGTTGCCCAGACTGAAAATTTACATAAAAATTAAACAACCGCCATAAAAACACCGCCATAAAAACACAGATAATTGTATGCATTTGTAGTTCTGTTTTTGAAAATTTTCTTTCTCGTTTAGAATGGGTACCTGTAAAGCAGGCGGTGGAGGCGTTTGTGAGGGTGGTCCCTGCGGTGGTGGAGTCGGCCCGGGGGTGGGTTGAATCACAGGCGGACCTGGCGGACGCATCATCGGCTGCATAGGCTGTGCCTGTGGTGGGGGTTGCTGTTGCTGAGCCTGCGGAGGCGGTGCCGTGACATTCGGCGCACTCTCCACAGACGCAGGTCGTGGTGGCTCGCTGCTTTCACTCGTTGGTGGAGGTGGTCCCTGGGCCTACAAGTACCAAACGACATTCTAGAACCCTGCTCCTCTGATCTCCTCACATCATCAAAATGTCGTGCACTATGGTACTCTTGGAAAAACATGCGTTTGCGTGCCTCAATACAACATTTACAAAACTAATAAATAAAGATACAAGTGTTACGGTAAGTGTGCTAGAAAAAAATAATAGTAAAACAAGCAGAAAACTATAAATACAGAACTACAAGTGCAATCAATTCTACAAATACAAATACGCAAAATTACTAATTAGTAAAGAGTCATTAGCAAATCAATTCAATTATGCATACGAGTGTACGTTAAACAAATCCACACTAATTATAAACTCAATGCTAGTCGAAAGTATATGTGCAATACAATACCTGCGGCCCTGATGGTTGCGATGTCGGCGGGGCAGCACTAGGCGGTTGGAATGGGCTAGAGGGTGGTGTTGGACATTGGGGTGTACCATCTGCCCGTTTACCCTGTACAGCCATCGTCAACTGTTGCGTCAGCGGTTGATTACGCGCCAACATTCGATAGGCCATTATCTGATGTCTAAAATATTAAAAATTCGTTCAAAATCAATATCAAAAAACACATTTTTTTTAGAAATTTACCTCAATTGCTGTATCTGCAACTGATTAAACAATGAGCTGTTTGACCGTGCCCTCAACGCCAACAACTGCGAATATCGGGGATCCTCCTGCATGCCCTTTTCCTCCATTGAATCAATAGCACGCTGCAAGGCGTTCAGATTTTCCTGCCCCTGCGGAGCAGACCCAGGCGGACCTGATGGTGGCGGACCACCTCCAGGCCCACCGGGTGGACCTTGACCTTGTGGTCCCGGTGACGATGATGGATTCTACAACCAAACAAAAAAACAACTGTCAACATATCAATGCGCCTCAAAAACATGAAAAACAAAAACTTTTGCAGCAGTTTGTAAAAACCCACAAGATTAACATAACACACATAATCCAGGTTGTTTTATTACACCGACTTCAATTACGGTCGCCAATTGCGAATTAAAATAGCGAAAAACCCGCAAAATTCAAAACGCAATAGACGCATCATAATAATAAATTGTAACCAAAGATTAAAAATAAAGAAAGAAAAAAACTGGTTTTCTAAATTTATTAACGCTGTGTTAGCGTGTTTTTAGCGTAGAGTAAATTATTGTCCGTCTGACGGTGAGTGAGTAACAGAATAAAACCCGTAAATTCCATTCAGGCACTTTGAGAGTTGTTGGACGTTTTTGATTAGTCACAACCAACAGCTTACAACTTGTTATTAATATTTACGTCGTACGTTTGTTTAATCTCAATTCAAGTTCTGGTTTCGACAAATACAAGCAAGATGAGAAGATACATGTTATGTATTAACAGAGACACAAAATTCCATGTAGAGTACAAAACCGCAAAAAAAAAACCATAGCAATTCCAAAAACTAGTCCCCGTACGCATTCCGCATATATTTAAGTGATTGTTTACCAAGATACCAGATTACACTATAATTTTCTGCATCAATCTCGCTGATTAAGTAATTAGATAATTGTATAATAAACGCGCGTGCACGATATTAATTAAAACCATTCAAAGGTGACTGACATTCAAACGAAGATATTTCCAGCCAAAAACAAAGTATAAAAACCAATTAACACTTGTTTTTCATTTCAACACGTTCGTAATTAAATCATTATCTTATTCACATTAGATAATTTCAATAACACTCGTGTATGTCACCGGAACGCACGGATAATCTATTCACATATTAACATATAATCATAATTTACGTTAATTGTTCCATGCTATTAGATATAACACTTAATTTCGTAGCTAAAAATAAATAGAACAACTTCGATAGGAATTAAACGCACATTATTTTACTTTTGTTTTTGTTTGTTTAGCGCTTTTCAGACGTTACCTGCACACAGAAGTGACCTCGTTGTAATTTTTATTCAAATTTGTTTAATTTTTTGATAAGTAAAACATTCGCGCCTTATTTTATCTGAATTAACATTTATCATAATATTCACACAACAAGATGTTACTAAAACAAAACATAAAACACTATTATTATTAATTGTTGATAATACAATTATTAATTTTGAAATTAAAGTGGAATTACTTAAAATGCACTTAAAATAATAGATATATCTTGAATGATTAATCAATTTCTTGTCTTTGTTTTAATTCCGAGTTTGATAGACAACTTACATTGACCTCGAATTGGTTTTATATTATAATTAATAAACCGTAAACTGTTGGAAACACAAAACCACTTAAACTATTTGATTATTTCTATGTTTAAATACAATATTCGATTATTTAATTCCTTGAATCAATACCAATCTCTGAATGAGTAAATTTTATTACAATTTAATAACTTTTACCTTCTTTCGTTCGACATCTGTGTTTCAATGCTCTCCTAAGCACACGATAGTCACGATATAATTACGCACTCGCTGCTCGGAAGGTACTTCCTAAGGTGATTGTTGTTTCGGCGCGTTTTGAAAGTAAGGCTCCTTGTGTCCGGCTCGGAAGTGCCGCAGCCTAAGCTAGCTAATTGTTAATTGTATCATATTGCGCGGAATGATGCTATCCGAATTTCGTTATGTTGGAAGCTTTTTCAAGTTCTCGGCGCGCGCGGCGGCGCGTCTGCATTACCATTGCGCCAAGGTTGGCGCGTTCGGGTGCGTGGTGCGCGCCGCCGATATAACTAGCTCGCAATCCACCCTGCAACTCAGTAGCGCTCCGCCAGCCGCGACTTTTGCAACTGTTTTTTTGCATCCTTTCAAACAACGGAAGAGATTATCTCTCAATTACGAGAAAATCTGTCCGTTCTGTTTGTATACACCTACAAGAATTCAAACGCAGTTGATTCAAGTTTAAAACTTACAGTTTTAAAAGTTGAAGTTTTTTTGTTAAAAGAACAAAAGTCGTCAAAAATCATATCAAGATGAGTTGCGAAAACGATATCCAATTTTACTTCGAGTACGTCTTGGATTTGGTACGGAAAGCTGGCATGGTAAGTTTTTCATTATTCAAAATTTAAACTTAAATAAAATTATTTACATAAAATAATTGTTATTTAGGTGCTACTAGAAGCGCAAGACATTGACGTGGAGTTAAAGAACAATAAGCATTATGATATTGTCACACAATTCGACACGAAAATCGAGGAAGTCCTGATCAAAGAGATCCAAAAGAAGTTCCCCGATCATCAGTAAGTTTTCCTTACTAAATACTAAATAATACTAAACACACAACGAAAACAACTTTATAGGCCGTTACATTTGCAAATAATTTACAACTTTTCCGTGCAATTCCAAGCAAATTGCTGTAACAACAAATAATAAAATCAAAACTTTACCTTCCACGCTTGAAAGTCAATGTTAAACGCGTAAAATCAAAACCCCGCGGTGATTGACGGATTACTTTTCACCTTGTCTTCAATAAAACACAACATTAATCGCACAATTAGATCGGCGATTAAGTCAAGTTAATGAAGTTCCGTTTTCGGATGTTGCGCGTTACGCGTGTTTCTGACAATCGTAAATAATTCATAATTTATTATTTACCTTTTACGACCTTCAAGCATAAATATGTAATAACCGCATAATCAACGGTAATAGATCGTGATCATGATAACGCAATAAAATACAAATAAAACATTAATTATATTAAATCGATCACCTTGATTTTGCGTCGCCGCGCGCGAATGGAATTAATCATCGGATAAAACAAATAGTTGTCAGGTTAACTATCAAGTTAACAAGCAATAAAAAAAGGAACACAATATTACAATAATTACATGAATAATATTTCTAGTTCTAGGTCTTTCTACCTCTTTGAAAGTACCTGCGGTCAATTTAATTCGCTTTCCGCTTTCGATCGCGCGCGTTTTTTATCCTTAGCATGCTTATTAGTCGAAATTGCGCAATGTGTAGATAAATAAATGCCAATTCGTAATTATCGGGCCTTCAACGCCTTACATTTGCACGCTGCAATTAATAACCGCATTCGAATTGTTCGCGATTTCAAGGTTGCGCATCGTGGCCCACAAAAATGATTCAAATTTCAACTCAAAAAAGCACAAACAACCTTCTAATTAAACAATACAATTTCAACATTATTATTACTCCTAAATCAAATAGATTCATCGGTGAAGAAAGCTCAGCCGCCAGCGACAAGCGCCCGGTGCTCACGGATGAACCCACCTGGATCATCGACCCCATCGATGGCACCTCCAACTTTGTTCGTCGCATCCCAATTACTTGCATCTCTGTAGGATTGGTGATTGACAAAGTGCAGATTTTGGGCATCATCTACAACCCCTATATGGAGGAGATGTTCACGGCTATTCGCGGCCAGGGTGCTTACTTGAACGGCAAGCGGATTCGCGTCAGCGAAGAAACCGGTACTTACATAATCGTATAAATTACTAATCTATGCATAATTATCGAATTAATTCGACACGTTCAAAATTCAAAACGTTTTACGAGAAATAGCTAATGTGTTTTTAATTAAGCGTAAAGTAAACAAAAAAATTCATGGAATTCAATGACAAATAATACGTTTTGTGATATTTTTTCTGTTTAGAAATGAAGAAAGCTCTCTTCAATTATGAGCTGTCGCTGGCAATTAGCAAGAAGAAGCGTGACTTGTACATGCGTCGTCTGCCCTATTTGCTGGACAATGTGTGCGGGTAAGTTTATTTTTATTTATTAAAAAAAAACATGCAAATTTTTATTCTTTCCTTCCGTCTTTCGCAACTTGCGTAATCCTGGATACGCATGTGTAACTTTCACGCATAACTCAAATTCAAGGTCGCCGGCTCACCTAATAAATCAGCCGCGGTGTAATTACTGAAACACGCAACATTTGTATACACTTACGAATATATTCAACGTCGCAAAACGAACGCGAAAAAGTTATCTCCTCGCGACTGTGTCGCAGACAATCCGCCGTAAATCAAAGGCGCGTATAATCTCTTCACCTTGTTTGGCCACGCATTGCACGTATGCCGGCAATGTGTTTGTGTACACAATGTACCCAAAAGATAACATTACCAATCCTGCCATTTACATTTACATTTTGTCTTATTTGTTGTGTGTTGTTGCCAGAATTCGTAGTTACGGATGCGCTGCGCTGAGTTTGTGCTATGTCGCGCAGGGATTGATGGATGCTTATCAATGCGATGGGCTCTACCCATGGGATGCCGCGGCTGGAACCCTCATCGTTCAGGAAGCTGGCGGATATATTTGTGATTCAAGCAGTAAGTTTCCCTAATTTTTCTTTTAATTTCTGCTTGAATTTACTTTAAATTTAATGTTTTATTATTAAAATTTTTCAGAGGAGCGTCTCGGTGAGAAAATGAACCTCATGCACCCAAACTTCCTGGCAACGTCCTCCGAAGAACTGGCGCAAGAGTTCATAAAGTGGGAGCGCATCGCGGACGAAACCGCCAACAACTAGATCGAATCATACACGAGCAAATACACCAAATGTAGTCGATATTAAATTATGATCCTGAGCCGCGTTTATTGTGGCTTGCGCTTTATCATTAATTCTAGCTAGATGTTATAGTAATTAGGTAATTTAATTAAATTAAGTGCGCACTTAAATTAATTATCTGTTGCATTCTATGCAATGTTTTGTATATAGTAGAAATATCTTAATTTTTTGATTTAATACAAGAAAATAAATCAATTTTTTAAAGAAAAAATATGGCTTAAATAATTTAAACTAACCTGTTGTGGTCCTTGCGGCCCTTGAGGCCCAGGTCCTTGCGGGTGTTGCATCGGCTGCATTCCTGGATGCCCCGGATAATTCTGCCCCGGGCCACCTGGTGGCATGCCATGCATGTTATGCGGTGGACCACCAGGCTGCATACCAGGATGTCCAGGCGGAGGTGGTCCACCAGAATGAGGTGGATGTCCCTGTTGATGCCCCTGTGGCGGGCCTCCTGGATGTCCCGGAGGTGGAGGTCCTTGTTGAGATGGCGGTTGCCCTGGATGATTCTGCGGTGGACCATTTGGATGTGGAGGACCGCTGGGAGGAGGGCCGGAATGTTGTGGACCGGGGGGACCACCCGGATGGCCTTGTGGTGGACCACTCATCATGCCTTGTGGAGGTCCACCATGATGCCCCTGTGGCGGGCCACCTGGATGACCAGGATGACCCATTGGAGGAACGCCTGGGTGTTGGGGAGGACCAGGAGGATGTCCAGGATGTTGCTGGCCTTGTGGACCACCTGGATGATGTATAACATGACCCTGAGGTGGGCCTATAGGATGACCTTGTGGAGGTGGTCCGCCTGGTTGCATAGGATGCCCTTGCATAGGTGGTGGACCACCAGGATGAGGCTGCATGTGGCCTTGCGGACCAGGAGGACCAGGTGGGTGACCCTGTGGTGGCATACCTCCTGGTGGTGGGCCGTGTGAATTTGGTGGCATTCCAGGGTGACCAGGATGTGGAGGCATACCGGGATGAGGAGACATCCCTGGATGTGGGGGTTGATGATGTCCAGGACCTCCAGGTGGTAAATTTTGCATTTGCATGTTTGGAGTTGGCGGGCCGTTTACATGCCCTTGTGGGCCTTGATAAGGACTATGAGGAGATGGAGATTGCGCAGGGGATTGAGATGGTGGTCCCATGGGGCTGGGAGCCTGTGGAGGTGGCATTGGGCTGTTTTGTGGCGACGGACTAGCCATCGTTTACACTTTATTCGAGTCCTAAAACATGAAAACACATCGACGTTAGGCAACCAACAACACAAGCAATGAAAATGTAATAAAGGTCAAGCAATTTTAACTCTATTACAGCTAATGATACATAATCAGATTAAAATGTGGACTCTCTACACTGAAAAACAAATCCGGTAGTATAAAAAATAAAAAAATTAACGTTTTTCTGAACTATTATGTGTTAAAATCGAGCTTGTGCAACGACTTTCTCAACACGCACGAATCACGTTGGCGCATTCCAACGCGATCCAATTCCTCACCGATCGCCGACCCACCGTCCACCCGGCGTTTAACACCGAGCGCGCGCTTCTTTCCGCAATCAGTTCACAACAAAACACACCACTTCACGCGTCGTCTTTAATTAGCGAAAACTCGGCGATAAAATTACACGTTTTCAAGCAAATATTTCATTTGCGTACATTGCAAACATACGCCTATACAACGGCGTACATGTTTCCCAAGCTTCTAGAATGTATTGGCCACTCACCTCGATTTTACGTCCAAATCCACGCCGTAAAAAATCGCACACTATCACTGCACTATTCCTCGGACACTCGGCGAATTATTCGTAGGGGCGCGAAGCCCACAATCAGCAATGCACTCCTCTAATCGTCGAATTTCATGACAACATTCGCAGAAACAACGCACTAGCTATGCGCCATGTTTGTCGAGGTTGGCCCGGCTTGTTTGTTTCGCCGCGCGCGTAAGTGGCGCCGCTGCTGGCGCATGCGCAAACAAACGAATCGTTTCGAACAAGTCGTTATTTTCCTATAGGTTACGAAGCTAAAATTCTTAATTATACTCAAATAATCACCTAAGCAAAATGTTAAATCAACTCGGAGAGCTTCTACTAGATGTGGGGTATCCTAACGTGTCTTCTATGGATGACGATGAGATTGCAAACCTATTTGATACGGAAAATGTACTCAAATTTTACCGATGGTTTGTCGCTGAGCTGCTGGATTCAAAATCAATGGTTGATTCATACAAAGATAATAAAATCTTTGATATTCTCTGTAGTTTTGGTTATTGTTCAAAGAAACAAAAAGCGGCTTTGGTGGAAGGCGTACTGGATTTTGAGCAACAGGTAAATTTCATTAATTTATGTATAAACATAAAAATAAAACACTAATGAATTGATTTCAGTATGAAATGATATTGGGAATGCTCACAAGTTTGAAAGAGTTAAGAAAAGTTGAAAATAAAGATACAGAGTCATACACAGTGGTCACCATAGAGCAACTAAATGATTTAGTTAAAAAGAAGATTGATCTTTTTCCTTCATTCACTGGAAAAAAGTCATACACAGCAGGAGAACGAGAAAAGCAGGTCACCAGTTTACAAGAACAAATCAAAGAGTTAGAGGAAAGGTTTGGGACAAATCAGCCGACTGTTTCTCATGAATCAGAAGAAGAAGAATGTACAGAAGGAAATACCACAGCTGCATCACTGCATGATGATGATGGCAAGGTTGATTTAGCTGCTGCAATGGATAAATTTCTATTAAGCACTTCGAAAGTCTCTGAGATTCAACATGAAGTTGAAACAATGAATGAATCATTGAATATTAAAAAACTAGAGGATATGTTTGGTCCTAAACTTGATGAAAGCTGTTATAATGTTTTAGCTTTAGAAGAGGTTAGTATTAATTTATTATTTCATAATGTAAATCTTAAATTTGTTTTATTTTATTGCAGTATTTTAAAAGTTTGAATATTGTGCATGATTACAATGCAACTGAAGAACTCATTGATACAAAAGAAGCATCTGAGTGTTCTTTAGCTGTGGAGAAACTTCTAAAAGTTGCTGAGTCATTGTAATATTTCCTTATTGTTAATTTATTGTTATATGTTTATTACATTTTTGTTTCTACTTGTTTACTTTGAATGAGTAAACGATTACGATTACCAATGCTCGTCATAACCACCGTGTCCGTGTCCGTGTCCATGTCCATATCCTCCACCGCCATGGTGACCACCACCGCCATGACCACCTTTGTGCTTCTTGGGATCGGGCAGAGCGTAGCCGGAGGAGACAAATGCCGCAAGAGCGATGAACATCAAAACCATCTTCGAAAATATATAACATTTATGTTTATATACTGCATATATTAGTTATTATTAAATTATAGATTAAGATCACTTACCAATGCACGGAACATCTTGTTTTTTGGTTTGGTTTAAAGTTTAAAGTGTTGAAAGCAATTGTTCTGTGTGAAATGATACAAAGTCAAACAATGTTCGGCTATTTATTGCAATTTTGAAGATATTAAGCTAGTACTAATTATTTTAATGACAGATTATTGTTTTCTAATGAGGGAAAGTTTAATAATCAGAGTTAAAGTGGTATTTCGGGTAAAAAGAATTAAGTTAGGCTTCAAACTTAACGACAGGTGGTTAGAAAAGTGTTTATAAATAGTTGCAAGTCATAGAACTTTGCCTTTGTTTTGTAAACGGGTTTTTAATTTCACAATTTGAATATTTTTACAATTTTTAATATTTTGGGCTTTGATTACAGCAAAATTCAATGAAATCCTAGCTAAATGAACATAAATTATTGTTTAACAAGCAAAAACGATAATTTAATGTTCTATTTCAATCAAATTAAGACACATCATCAAATTTCTTACTTATACTTTGACCATAGTTACTAAAAGCATTCTAATATGAGTTATCATTGGAAATGCAGTGTCAGAAGTATGAAAATATTAATTTAGCAGCTGTGGAATGCTATTTTTACACATCGAAGTTCATTGATAGCTGATTGCATCTCTCAAACAATGAAAAACTTATCTATAACAATTAAATTATAAATTTCCTAATAAAACCTTGATTCCTAAAGATTTTTCACTATCATTATGCAATCTAAGGCCACAATATCCTGTCTAATGAATTTCTTTAATGTTCCACGCGTTCTACTTAATCGTTTACTTATCGCTGATGCCGCTGATTTTATCAAAGCTGAGTCCACAATAATGAACATTTAAACTAAATGATTATCTCACAATTTATTCACTCATTCATTGTAAATTACATCTACAACAATGAACGACTCCAAGTTTTTGATGTACTTTCAAAATGTGCATTTTAAGTTAATATTTGAAGATAAATTAGAACAATTTGATAATTTAAAGACCAATGCGTCCAGAATTCAATTTTTGACTGCTTTCTGTACGGATTTTCAGTATGATTTTGTTGCAGAACTTGTTAAAGATTTAAAAAGTGCTGAAAAACTAAAAATTCGAGGTGATAAATGTCTTCATGAAGAGATTAATGATCAGGCGGTGATTCTCTACAACGAAGCGATAAAAATATGCCCACAGGATACTTGTAAGTGAAATATTCTATTAATTATTGATAAATTTATTAATATAAAGTGATTTTCAGCAGAAGGCAAAGAATTATATTCAAATTTAATAGCAAATCGTAGTGAAGCGTTTTTTAATGATGGCCAACACCAAAAATATCTTCAAGATGTTGCTTTTCTACAAAAACATGGCTACCAAACCAAGATTATCACAAATAAACTCCTGGAAGCAACACAAAGTCAAAGTTTACTGAGTTTAAGACAATCTGAGTTTAAAAACACCGAACGTAGTCCAAAAAATGTATCATATCCTGCATTGTCAAACAAATTAACAATAAAACACAATAACACCATGGGACGATACGTTGTGGCCTCTGAAGACATCAAAACAGGTGAAATTCTCGCCGTGGAGCATCCATATGCTTCAGTAATAAAACGACAATCAAACTGTGGACATTGTGGAACGTCCAGCGATCAAATTTACGCATGTGACGAATGTCAAACAATATACTGCAGTCTTAAATGTTTAGAAAAAGCAAAAATATATCATCAATATGAATGCGCCATTTTGTTACCATTGTTGGACCTTGTTGACTTCTGGTTACCACTGCGAATGGTAACACAACGCTCTCTGCAGCAAGTTATCAATGATACCAAACTGAAGAAAGCAGAAATATACAAAACTGATGATTATTACAATGTTAGTCAACTTGTACAACATGAACACAAACGTAGTCCGGATGTAATGTTGCATAAATCATTAATTGTGACGTTTTTTGTACAATTACTAAAGAAAACCGGATATTTTGGATGTGTAAATGGTAACATTGGTTTATCTAATGATGAAATATTTATTGGAGAGTTACTTTTTCTATATATTGAGATATCAAAGTGTAATTCACACGCAATCTATACAATGCATGATGGAAACGATTACAAAAATTGTGGAGTAGGATTATATCCAACAGTTTCGTTGTTTAATCACTCCTGTGACCCATCTGTGGAAAAGTAAGTTAAGCAAATATTAAAACTAAGTAATTAAGTAAATAATTTGATTGATTTTGTAGGTATAATGTTAAAAACATGATTGTGGTACGTAGTGTAAAACCAATCAAAACAGGTGATGTTGTTTATGATAATTACGGCCCATTGTACATGTACAACACAAAAACTGCACGACAAGACAAAATGGCGGACGATTATCAGTTCACTTGTGTTTGTCAAGCATGTGTTGAGGATTGGCCTCTTTTAACAGACATGAACACAAAGAATTTAAGAGTTTTATGTTGTTGTGGTGGAAGTATACTCCTCAACATTTCTGAAAAGATGAAAAATGATTTAGGGTTATCCACATGCTCAAAATGTCAGAAAAAACAAAATTTGGAATTTATGCGTGGGATTTTATTGGTATGAATGTTTAATTTGTGTTTTAATGTAATAAAACATGTGTATGCTTTTAGGATTTGGATAAACAAGTAAAAAAAGCAAATAAATTGTTTATCAATGGTAATTATGGCAAAGCTCAACTAATATATGCTAATATAATCGACACACAATTAAAATACTTTGCTCCACCATTTGTAAGTTTACTCACAGCTCAGGAAAGACTTATTGATTGTTTTCGGTATAATGGTAACACTAAAACATAATTATTCAAAATAAAACCATTTTATTAATAAAAACAAGTAAATTATACAATTAAACAACACAAATATAAAATATCACTAGTAAGAAATTAATGTAATTCCTTTTTGTCTCTGTTGGTATTTTAAAATCACCGCTACGCTCACGTTTCTTCAAAATCATCGATTCTTTGACAGTCTTTCTCTCGGTAACCCATCCTAGTTTTGCAAAACCATCAATCACATACGTTGTCATGTTTCGACCATCAATACCCGTCTCGGAGGCTTTGTAATCCCACGGGAAAGAGTGATGATAATTGTGGAATCCCTCCCCGAAAGAACAAAGCTTCATAATTGCATTTTCAACAGGTCCAATTGCTCTAAAACAAGATAATAAATAAATAAATCACTTTTATTTAATTAACTAGCTTTTGGCCGCGACTTCGTCCGGTAGTGTTTAATAAAAATGTAATTCGTTTTTACTCTCTTATTCTTATAATTTTATTTTAAAGAAATTAATTATATAAAGAAGTGCTAATAATGCACTTCAGCGCGCCATCTCGGATTCAACTCTTTAACTATAACTATGATTGAATCTCAATGTCAACTTTTATCCTATAGAAAAGGGCTGTCTTTAGGGTTTTACGGGCAATTATTCAAATTATTCTTGCCATCAAAACCATCCTTGGACTATAACGAACATTTTAAAAAAAGAATTGGTCAAATTGATCTAGGCGTTGTTGAGTTATGCGCCTACCAACAGATTTTGCGATTCATTTTTATATTATAGATATTACTTACTTATCATATGGTTTATTGCCATATAAATGTGCTAAACTATTGATACACCATGTAACATTTACTTGGAGGATGTATCGGTAGATTGTGCACACAAAAAATGCATTTTCAAGCGTTTCTCCAAAAAAATACCATGGCACAAACGTCGGAATAATAAACGTGAATAATAATATGATTGGATAATAATACTTGTGATGGAACATGACGATTGGATTTGCTTCCAGGTCACTCATGTCAAGTGTTTTGCCTTTTTCCAAAACATCCGGGTGTTTTTTAACCATTAACCAGCCGACATGGCTGAAAAAGAAACCTCTTTTCGCATTGTGTGGATCAGCGTCTGTTTCAGCATGTTTATGATGCAGACGATGATCTCTCGCCCAAATATAGATACTGTTTTGATAAGTTGTGGAATACATCAACATCAGGATGATTTGTGCGATTTTGTTGGCTTTATATGCACGATGGGACCATAATCTGTGAGCCCCTGCTGTTATACCGAAAGCAGCAAAGAGTAAATAACCTTTCCCTGTGGATAAATTGAAATTTTGAGGTTAAAAAGTTGAAAGTTGAGGTTGGGAGAAAGAAAAATAAAAACTCACAGAAAAAAGTTGTTGACCATAAAATGCTGTATTTCCGGGTGAAACCATAGAACCCCATTATGTGTAAAGCTCCTAAAATGATGACATTTAACCAGACAATATTCCATTTGTACTTCTTTTTTGACCTTGTGTCATCTTCCCTGCTTGATCTGCAATAATACGTTTACATTTAATGCTTTTTTTTTCTTTTTAATTTTTTTTTCAAGAATTTATTTACTTGGTGATAACGCTTTGTACGATTTCGTTAATGGCTGACATGTTTAAACCCGGAAGTGCGTAGCTATGGTATGAGACGCAAAGTGAGTTGCATAAAAATAAAACAATAATTTTATACCTTTCGATTTGTAAGACAAAAACCTACGCTTAAAAATATAAACTACTCAAAGTATTACATGAATAGTGCATTAAGTGAGCTGTGTTTAAAGTGCTCATTATTGTAATTAATGTAATTAATGCGCATGTTTGTTATATTTAGGTTCATAACGGTGTGTAGTTTAATTCAAACGCAAATTTTTGGCTTTTAAAGTTTCTGGAGGTGGTATATTATAGTACAATCATTTCCGGTGGATTGTGACCCAAAATATAACCTGATTTCTATAACCTATTTGTTATATTTTGATGGAGTTACGGTATTTATAACTAGGGAACGGCCTAAATGTCAATTTTGTTTGATTTTATAAAATAATAAGCAGGATAAAGAAAAAAGAAAGAAAAAAGAAAGAAAAAAGTTGGAAATTATGTTATGTTGTTTGATATAATAGATTTTATTGTTTGACATCTGTCTAAATAACTAAACTGATTTAATATGATTATGACGAAGAAGTTTATAATAATCATCTATGATCTAATAATGAATCGCAAAATCTGTTGGTAAGCGCATAACTCAACAACGCCTAGACCAATTTGGCCAATTATTTTTTTTAAATGTTTGTTAACGTCCAAGGATGGTTTTTTCGGCGAGAAAAATTCGAATAATTGCCGGGAAAACCCCAAAGACAGCCCTTTTTTATAAGATAAAAAGTGGGCATTGAGATTCAATCATAGTTATAGTTAAATAGTTGATTCCGAGATGGCGCGCTGAAGTGCATTATTAGCAACTCTTTATATAATTAATTTTTTTTTAATTAAATTGCGACTCTTCTCGAACAAGAACAAGAGAGTAAAAACAAATTACATTTTTGAAATATTTATTTATAAACTTTATTGGAATATTGGATTTACAATTTTTATATTTTGAGTTAACATGTTTCGCCCAGAGGGCATCTTCATAAACTTCTCTGGGCGAAACATGTTAACTCAAAATATAAAAATTGTAAATCCAATATTCACGTAAAGTTTATAAATAAATATTTCAAATATACAATGGATTACGTTTCGCAAAATAAAGTAATAAATTACATTTTTATTAAAACACAACCGGGACGAAGTCGCGGGCAAAAGCAAGTTATTAATATATCGATAGCACAATGAATAATACAGGGAAAAATGTTATTTAGGATAGGTTGATTGACGTAAGTGTTTCCATCATTCGATAGTTAATTAGGGAGCACAAATTACATGGTATTTCCATGTTGAGATACAAAGTTTGTTAAAACAGCTAGTTTTATAATCTTTGACTTCAAATTGATAACAATTATTAGTATCTCACAAGCATAATGACCACACATTCAGTTGTAAAATAACTCGGAACAGTTAACATCTCTATTACAACACAATCACAATGACTCCTGCAATATCACAAATATTTACACGTAAAGTGTTATTAATTCTATTCGTGTGTGTATTAACACCTGCAGTATCCCCTAAGGAATATTTTTTGTTTAATGATACCGAGGTATGATCATCATTACCAAATTTAACAAACAAATTTAACTCTTAACCATATACATAACTTTCAGTTGAATTGGTTTGCTGCTTTCCATGCTTGTCATTTGAAAAACATGACATTAGCAACAATAAATTCCGAAGCCGAGCAAATTGATATTGGAAACTTAATTGGTAGTTGGATATCAACTAAGAAGGTTTATTGGACTTCGGGAACTGATCAAGCCAAAGAAGGAGAGTTTGTTTGGATGAGCACAGGACAACCAATTAGATACAAGAATTGGTATTATGGGGAACCCAATAACCATGGATCCCAGCATTGTCTTACTATTTCTAACATCAATAGTCATCAGTGGGATGACGACCAGTGTTCAAACGAGTATTTTTACATTTGTGAGGGGATAACTGAGTGTTCAAAGGAGATTGTATTTCTATATCCTAGGTTTGGGTTACAATAACAAGTAAAAGTAGTGGATTACACTAGGTATTAAAAAGGTACAATGTGCTTTTACGGAACTTTTACCCCCACTCCTATTTGCGGGTAGCGGACAATACCTAGCGTTCTACGCGTCTGGTAACCACACCACAGCATTCCAGATTCTTTGTTTTACTCCTTTAGGTCCGTTTTATTTAGTTTGTTGAAAGGAAAATAAGAATATTCAAGTTTTAACATTTTTTTGTTTTGAAATTGATTCAATTTATTCAATAAAATTAAATAAACTCAGATTATATTAATTTCTATTACATATTTTGATTTTTTACAAGTTGAAGGTCATTACAACTGATAATATTTCGACTTTATATCTCCTATGATTGTTGTACATAGTTAAATATAGATGGCGTTGTGAATACGTCTCAAAATAAAACTGAAACATTTTACTATGTATACATTCGTATTTCCACTGCAAATTTAAGATCATACTTCACAGGATCATTTCTGTAGTATATCTTCGCATACTCTTCACAAACGTGTTGAGTTATTGCAACCATGATGATGAGACGTAGCTCCACATCTTGAGCGTGAGGCTGCAATATTTTTCACTCTTCGGAGTGGGAACATTGTCACGATGATCGTTCAGACCACCTTTGGTGGTTTTACGGATGTGGGGCATTCAGAGTGGTTGCAAATTATTAACAATAACAAAATAGAATCTTTTATCTATTATTGTTCTTTCTTTTATATAATAGACAAGAATATTATGTTTAAAACTAAATATTTAATGTTTTTAATAATTTTACGGTTTTTTGTTGTAGGAATTTCTCGATTATTTTCTCCTGAACGTAGGCATTTTGCATCGATGATATTCTTTGAAATAGTTTTCCTGTCGGTGACCCAGCCTAACCAAAACAAGCAATCAATCATAATTGTTGTTAAATTACGTGTGTCGTTGTGAAATTCCCCGGTTTTGTAATCCTGTGGGAATGTATGATGATAGTTGTGAAACCCTTCACCGTAGGCAACCACACGCATGAATCCTTGTTCGACTGGTCCTATATTCCTATAAAAACATTACATTTATTGTTTTTATTAAGTAAAACACTATAAAAACATATAATTACTTATCATATGGTTTATTTCCGTATGAATGTGCTAAAGAATTGATACACCACACCAAATTAACTGAAATAATGTATCTGTAAATCGTTACACGAAAAATGGCGACTTTCCACGATGCTCCAAGTGCGTAATGCGCGAAACAAGATGGTAACACAGCTGCAATCAACAGAACTAAGAGATAATAATGTCTAAAACATAAATAAATTAATTTAACATTAAAATTTAGTATTTTGAAGTTATTAAAATGGAAAAAATAAATAAATTTAAAAAAAAACTAACCTATGTTGAAACATAGCTATTTTATTAGCTTATAAATCACTCATATCAATTGTTTTGCCTTTATTGATAACATCGGGATGTTTTTTCATCATTAACCATCCGACGTGACTGAAAAAGAATCCTCTTTTTGCGTTGTGGGGATCAGCATCTGTTTCAGAACATTTATGATGCAGGCGATGATCTCTCGCCCAAATATAAATACTGTTTTGATAGGTGCCATGAACATAAGAATAATTTGTGCTAATGTGTTAGCTTTATATGAACGATGAGCCCATAGACCAAGGCTGGCCAATGGATTTTCCTGGAGGGCCAAATCTTTTAGATTGCGGCGGCACCGGGCCACATACTATGGCCATTCATACATAAAATATTATACACATACAAAAGTTCCAACTTTGGTTTTTGCGGCGGGCAAATTCAAATGTCCTGGCGGGCCACTTCGTGGCCCGCGGGCCTGGGATTGGCCGGCCATGCCATAGACGATGTGCACCTCCAGTGATGCCCAATGTTGATATTACTCCGTAAACTATCACTTTAATTTAAAAAATTCAGTTTTTTTATGTTTTTGGTGGTTTTTACAGTTTTTTGAGGTTTTTTAACGTAATTACTTACTGAAAATATCTGCTGGTATATTTTGGAACTTTAGAAACATTCCGTATAATCCTGCGAGGTGTAAAATGCCGAGAACCATGATATTTGACCACACATATCGAACTTTTACAGTTTTCTGTAATTTTTGTTTCATCTTGTTTAATTTTTATTTTTACATCAATCTGTGGAGTTCTATGTTTGTATCTACTTATTTCGACTGTATGAATTTATTTTGTTACATAGTATTTGTTTATTTAAAGTTTTCTAAAGTGGGGATTTGTTTTTAGTTTACATATTTCCGGTATGTAATCATAGTATATTTCCACAAAAACAATACATATCAATACCAAAAATATTTACGGTATTGCTGATAGCAATTGGAAGTTTAGAAATGTTTAATTATTTACGACGAAATAAAAAAATACCTCAGATAATTCTAAAAATGAATTTCCTGGAGTAAAAACATTGTATTACGACGATATTTTTAGTTTTTATTACAAAAACTACTAAATAGCGTGACACGTTCTAAACTGCAATCTACGTATTGAAAGTGAGGTTATTTATCGAAATACATACAGGCAACTTAAGTACCCGAACTTATAAGAATCACAAATATTAACTTGTGTATCACTTGACTAAAACATCATATTATGACGAATTTTTGGTTTTTATTAGAACAAACTACAAAATGACGGTCTGAACGATCCTAATGACACGTTTTATACTGCCCTCTACGATTTAATAATTGTATTATTAATAGAGATCCGTATAGGCAACTAAAATATCAGCACTTCACGGAATAATGTATATTATCTTATATATAACATACAACATATTATTTAAATATTTTTATTAAAATTAAGTTTAATAACAAAATTAATATTTTAACAATACCACTTGTTTAAACGATACAATTACAATAATTTAACCTCAGCCTATAAATAACAATAGTGAAATCAATAAACGCAAATTTTTGGCTTTTAAAGTTTCTGGAGGTGGTATATTATAGTACAATCATTTCCGGTGGATTGTGACCCAAAATATAACCCGATTTCTATAACCTATTTGTTATATTTTGATCGTGTTACGGTATTTATAACTAGGGAACGGCCTAAATGTCAATTTTGTTTGATTTTATAAAATAATAAGCAGGATAAAGATAACGTCGATAACTTTGCGATTCGTTCTTTTCTATCTCGTTTAGTTTACGAGATATTAGCAATTGAAATAAAACGTCAAAAATTGAAAAATTGCACTTTTGAGCACTTTCAGTCGCGGTTTCAGTCGCGGTATCGAGAACAATGATAAAAAGTAATAAAGATTTGTTAAAATAAAATTACTATTTTCTGAAAATTTCATGTTTAAACAATTTAACTTTTGCAACTTTTAACACTTTCAATGCGTCTGGCAGGATGATAGAACCGACCAAACTGTCTGGCGTCAAAGAAAACACAGTTTCATAGCTCTCTGCATAATGTGTGTCAAATTCAGCTTTCCTAATATAACGAAAGTAAAAAAGTTCAAAAATATTATAGTTTAGGGGTGTCTGGCTAGGGTTGGAACCATACCAGGTGACTGGCAATGAGCAGCGCATGTTATAATAATGTTACGAACAAAATATGCAAAAATGGAGTTTGTTAAAATAACGAAACATAAGTCATCAAGTGTACATCTTTGTTAGCTGTTAACTGCCAAAGGAACCACGATCCAGGTTTCATAATTGGGGATCGTTCTTACCTGTGTTGGAGAAACGCATGAACAAAATTTCATCTTTCCTAAAATGACGAAACTCTGGCCGTCACGGCCTCTTAGTCTATAATCTTCTATAATAGATTTTATTGTTTGACATCTGTCAAAATAACAAAACTGATTTAATATGATTATGACGAAGAAGTTGATAATAATCTTCTATGATATAATAATGAACCGCTAAATCTGTTGGTAAGCGCATAACTCAACAACGCCTAGACCAATTTGGCCAATTCTTTTTTTAAAATGTTTGTTAAAGTCCAAGGATGGTTTTCACGGCGAGAAAAATTCGAATAATTGCCGGGAAAACCCTAAAGACAGCCCTTTTCGATAGGATAAAAGTTGACATTGAGATTCAATCATAGTTATAGTTAAATAGTTGAATCCGAGAAGGCGCGCTGAAATGCATTATTAGCAATGCTTCCTATAATTAATTTTTTTGTAAATAAAATTGCACATCTTATTGATAGAATTGAAACATACCTACTATGTCTAGAACAAGAGAGTAAAAACAAATTACATTTTTATTAAAACACTACCGGGACGAAGTCGCGGGCAAAAACTGGTTATTAATATATCGATAGCACAATGGATAATACAGGGAAAATGTTATTTAGGTTTGGTTGATTGACATAAGTGTCTCCATCATTCGATAGTTAATTAGGGAGCACAAAATACATTGTATTTCCATGTTGAGATACAAAGTTTGCTAAAACAGCTAGTTTTATAATCTTTGACCTCAAATTGATAACAATTATTGGTATCTCACAAGCATAATGACCACACATTCAGTTGTAAAACAAATCGGAACAGTTTACATCTCTATTACAACACAATCACAATGACTCCTGCAACATCACAAATATTTACACGTAAAGTGTTATTAATTCTATTCGTGTGTGTATTAACACCTGCAGTATCCCCTAAAGAATATTTTTCGTTTAATGATACCGAGGTATGATCATCATTACCAAATGTAACAAACAAATTTAACTCTTAACCATATACATAACTTTCAGTTGAATTGGTTTGCTGCTTTCCATGCTTGTCATTTGAAAAACATGACATTAGCAACAATAAATTCCGAAGCCGAATAAATTGATATTGGAAACTTAATTGGTAGTTGGGGATCAGTTAAGAAGGTTTATTGGACATCGGGAACTGATCAAGCCAAAGAAGGAGAGTTTGTTTGGATGAGCACAGGACAACCAATTAGATACAAGAATTGGTATTATGGGGAACCCAATAACCATGGATCCCAGCATTGTCTTACTGTTTCTAACATCAATAGTCATCAGTGGGATGACGACCAGTGTTCAAACAAGTATTTTTACATTTGTGAGGAGAAAACTGAGTGTTCAAGGGAGATTGTGTTTGACTTACTTATATCCTAAGGTTAGGTTACATTAACAAGTAAAAGTAGTGGATTACGTTAGGTATTAAAAAGGTACAACGCGGTTTTACGTAACTTTTACCCCCACTACTATTTGCGGGTAGCTGACAATACCTATCGTCCTACGCGTCTGATGACCCCACCAGAGCATTCCAGATGCTTCCCTTTCATCACTTTAGGGATTGTCCATTAATCTTTAGTCTCTATCGAACAGCCGAAGAGTAAACATCTCCATAAACATGAACATGAATACTCAACGTAATTCCACCAAGCCTTACGAAAAAATCAACATGCCCTTATTAGGGCAACAACCCACTGCATCCACGAAGACGACCACCAATTCAACGCCCTCTGACATCTCTGAATTATTAAAACACTTTCAAGAAGAAAACGCGGCTCTAAAATTCCAAATTGAGCAACTTAAACACTTTATTGAAACGAAGGAAAAGATTCACGACAAGAATCTATCGCGAGATAGATATGCTTTGCCCGTCAAGAATAGATACAACGACCTGCCAATGGAAGAAGAAATCCATACCGACCACGAGGAAGCGCAGGAAGAAGTGGAAGAAGAGCCTTTCCAGGAGGTTCAAAACAAAAGACGCAAGCGGAAAAACAACGAACAAAACGAAAACGACGCACGAAATCACGCACAACAAATCAATCAAATCAACCGTTCTAACATTGGAATCGATACAAATGCAACTACGACACCCAATACCCACCAAAAATTACCTCCAATCGTGATCAAATCTAAAATTATAAATTATAAACAATTTCACCAGAAAATCATTACAACTACAGCGCAAACTCCAACAATCTTTTACGGGAACAGAACAAAAATATTTGTGAAATCGGACAACGACTACAAAAAACTTATTAATTTATTCGACCATCAACAACTAGAGTATTTTTCCTATCGCAAACTGACAGAAGCTACAAAATCTCTTGTCATCAAAACTGTACCATTTTTGGAAGAAGAAGAACTTACGAAGTTTTACAAACAGCAACATCCGGGCGTGCTATACGTGCGGAAAATGAAAAGCAAAAAAGATGACTCGGAAAGTCGATCATACCTAATTAAACTCACGTCGGAAACCAACATAAATGACATTAAAAAAATCAAAAGCATAGACGGTGCATTCATCCACTACGAACGCTATATAAAACCCACGAAAATAACAATGTGTCGAAGATGCCAGGAGTTCGGCCACGGAACAGAGAACTGCCGGAGCGCCCCAAGATGCGTTAAATGTCCAAAAAATCATCTCACTCAGGACTGCGATAAGGAGCCAGATGCACCACCGATATGCACAAATTGTACCGGACCTCACCCAGCAAACTTCACCGGATGCCCTGCTTACAACAGGTATGTACAACAAAAACACATTAAAGTAGCTGACGTTAGAACTCCAAACCTCACAATCAACGACAAGACATTCCCGCTTCCAAAGCCATATTACAAAGCAACACCTTCCATTGCGCAAAACTCCTCGCCAAAAAATACACACACAAATAACACTAACACCACTCCTAATACTCATCATCCCATGCAATCATATATAAACATCCTACAAAAATTCCAAAAAATCAAACCTGAAATTGACAACGCTCCAACGGAGGTGGAGAAACTAATAGTTATTCTTAAACATTATGGATCCTAAATCCTTAAATCATTTAAAAATCATTACATGGAACGCATGCTCCCTACAAAACAAAATCCTTCAATTTCGACATTTTCTAGAACAAAACAAAATTCATGTTGCATGTATACAAGAAGCCTCCAAATCCAAAAAACCTCTTCCAAAAATTGTGAATTACAATCTTATTTCCAACAAAAAAATTACAATATACATTAAAAAAGAACTTCACTATGATCAACTCCTCGAAACCGAAAACTCAATTAGCATCCTAGTAAATAAAATTCGCATTACCAACTTCTATAATTATCCGAAATTTGCATCTGACCTTAACGAATTAAAATATATCACAAAATTTCCAAATACCATAATCCTTGGCGACTTTAACGCGAAACACACGAACTGGAATAATTCATCAACTAACCA